AAAAAAAAAAAAAAAAAAAGATTCAAAGAAGCCGAGGGAGGTTATAGCATCACACCACTAAATCGGTCAGCTAACCCATTCATCTGCATCGCTCCCGATTCCGAGAAAAGGATGTTTTCCACGACGAAATTCGGTCCGAACCAACCGGCTTCAGGGGACGATCAAAGTTTATTTTTGTGAAGGAGAAAAACGGTGAAAATCTTTTCTTTTGGGAAAGTTAAGTTGCCACCGGGATTTGGTGGATATGGTTAAAACCTCTTCAATAGGAGCTAGGGAGGTACTATAGTTCTTCTTGTTGGTATAGTATAGACGGATGGGATTTTGTTGAAACGCGCTAAGGAGCTCGATGGTTCCCTGTCCACTATATATGGCTGTCTGATTGTGTAGACGTCATAGTTTATCCGTTCTCGTTTCAACTTGTTTCTCGTCTCTTTTAACTAATCTTATTGCTGTAAGGCCAAGTTTGCCACTTGCTAAACCGGTGTATGGAGGTAGATGTCCAACATTCACAGGGGTATGACTTGGTAGAAATTGGAAATGCCGAAATAAGTAGTAATCGTAGTAAATACAAATCATTTATCTTTCCTTAACTCCTTCTAGATGGGGAAGCTCATGCGCGTCTATACACGCCTAGGGACCATGCAGCTCGGAGGACCGCCAGTCCCCAGGCCATTCCAATGCTGTCGCGAATCACATTCAACTTGCTTCCAGTCACTTCTCTCCAGCCAACTGGAACTTCCGCCACTGGGATTCCCGAGAATTCAGCAAGCATGAGCATTTCCACGTCGAAAATCCATCCCTCCGAGTGCATATACGGGATGATATAAGGCAGCGATGTTCGGGAGAACAATTTAAAGCCGCATTGGGTATCTTTGATGGTAGCAGTCTTGGCAGGTGTCAAAAGCCATAAGATTAAGTGAAAAGAGTGCATCAGGAAATTGCGTAACTTCGACCGCTGTATAACATGTCAATTAGTCCAGATGCCGCGACAGGGTTTAGTGCACGGAATTGACCGAGTAATTCACAGAGGGATGATTCTCTCACCTTAACAACAGCTTCACTCCCAACCATATGCGCTCGGGAGCCCACCGCTACCCCACGGCCTTCGGTGTCCTCGATGTCCTGGCAAGCAGTGACAAGTTTCCCAAGATCCTGGAAATCACTAGCTCCGTCGGCGTCGGCAAAGACCACATATTGACCCCGGACATGTCTCATGCCGTGGGTGACGGCGCCTCCTTTTCCTCGGTTCTCAGACAGCGTCACGACTCGAATTGTCCCTGGGGGTATGTGAACCCCCTCTTGAGTGCCTGGGGTCCAAGGACCAGCATAACCTTTGGGGTGCAGTGAGAGTTGATGGTCTCGGGCAAAACTAAACGCCATCTCTTCAGTTTTATCCCTAGACCCGTCAGATACAATGATTATCTCCCAGCCCTTCTCGGTTCCAGGACCTGTCGCTGCATGGCCGTTCATATTCCCATTGGCCGGTTTCCGCTGTCGAATTGTCTTTTCCTCTTTGGCAATACCATTTTCATCAATAGTATTGTGTAGCGTTCCATATGACCGCTCTAAGTAGTTGACAGCTTCTTCCAACATGCCCCCAAGCCGTTTCTCCTCATTGTAGGCTGGTATCACCACGGACATAAAAAGGTCGGCTTTTTCAATAGTTGATTGATCGGGTGTCCGATTGGGGCGCTTGGACAGGGAATCTTGCCAGCAAGGTAATTGCTGGGGTTCCGTGATTGATCCATCCGTCGACAGTGTTCGGTATTTCTTCTCTTCTGGAAAGGGTTCTCGGGGTACAGGGGCGACGAAAAAGAGCGCTATGTAAGCCTGCACACGTATGCGAAAGAAAGAAGGCCAGTTAGTCAATCTTCATAAATAGCCCTAGGGACCAATTGTATCATATAGAAAGAACACTGTCAGGAAGGTAGGATATAAGACACATGGCACTTACGAGTACGAAAGCCCCGAGCAGAGTCGCGATAAGAGCGGCAAGGAGAATATTTGGGGGAACGCTGGAAAGGAGCTGGGCGCATTGAGCGCAAACCTCAGTCCACGGTTCTTGTGACATGGTAGAGTCGAACAATTGTAGATATTGAGGATACGTTGTCTGGTACAAGTATAGTATGAGCTTAAGCGCTCAACTGAACAGGGACAATCCGGACTTGGCCAGCCATGCGACACGGAGCCTGTCTTGGAGAAAGAACTACTATGAAAATCGGACAGAATGATCGAGGAAGAGCATTATGGACGGGGACGTCGAGATGGATGGGGGAGACGATGTGAGGGGGAAACAAGCGGACATATCTCCGACACGTTCCTGTCGCCAGCTTGGCCTTTTGGTGTTAGTGGATTCCGCTGCGCGGGTACTCATTGGAGGATTTGGGGCGGTTTGGCGGCGGATGTTCGTAAGGCACCCCACAGTTTTAGCGTCCCACGATTCTTGCGATGGATATCCAACAACGTAAGCCTTTAGGTCTGGAATACTAGTTGCTGGTTTAGGCTAATTAACGACGCCCCTGTCCATTAGAATCCTTTTTGATTCGATCTGAGAGTATTGACCAGCACCCTTGCAATAGTTGAAAAAATAAATCGCAGATATTACAGAGCTAACTCTTGTCAAACATTCCATACCAAGCTAATCGACACGCAGTGGAGAAAGGAAGTATATGTGGTTCAAGATAGTACACTATTATAGTGGGCGAAAGCTGCGCCTGGGATGTATTTGCAAGTTTCCGCAGAAGCAACTGTAGGTTAGCAACAATTCCCATTTCACCATAAATGGAGAAATTAGGATACGAGTCTTAACCGGGCTTGGAAGTAGCCGCGGGAGGGATGTTTAATATAAACCTCCCCTGTTCATATATTCATTTCATCGTTTGGCGGTCGGCCGAGGAGTATGTGTCCTGATCTTTCCTTGAATTATAGCTCACACACGTCGACATTATCATGGTGGACAGTAGAGAAAGTGAAGAAAAGTAATGGTCTCAAGAGCCCGATAAAACGCAAACGATGTTTACCAATTTTCAATCTACCGCGGTCTTCCTGGTCAACACGGCTCCCTAATGACATAACTGTATGAGGCAGTGCACCCATTTGTAAATGAAGAGCCACATAGAACATGGCAACCAGATTTGAAGCACCCTTCCTACTTACAAGGCTCCGAGCCTTGTCAGGGCTGACGGGTGGACGAAGTCCTTGCTGATTGACCAGATCTGGTGGCCTTTAAACCTTTCACTACAGACCTAGACTTTGCCGCTTCAGCGAAGGCAAGTTGTTCGCCGACCAAGGCTAACAATGCGGGTATTCTACTGACGTAGTATGCAACACACTGCCATCATTAAAGGTGATGTGCACGTATTTATGCTGGCTTCGAGATCTGCCCAGGAGTCATCGATAGCACGCTCTGCTTGAGACATGGCGGCGAGTCCGATCCAGGTTAGGGGACACAGGAGAGGACAGAAGAAGCGGTGTCCACGCAAGGGAAGGCAACTGTCCAGAGTCTTATTCTTTACAAAATCATTTGGGACCGATACCCGATAACCTTCAGCAGTCCAAGCGATAAACTGTATGCCCAGAGACAATGTTTCTATTCGTCCTTGGCTCGGGTAGACCGGGGATAGGCGAGGCTCGGTCGATTTGGCACGCAATGACCCATCCCCTTGACATCTAACGGTCGTATTTGCTGGCATCCGAGCACCACGAACTATACACTGAGACATACTAGTAAGCTGACGCATTATCGGCAAGACTCCTAGTGTAGAAAGAGAGACAGGCTGGTTGCTCTGTTCAAGACAACCTGGCAGGATAGGTGTAACTTGTGACTTTTATACCTAGGCGAGTATGAAAGACAGTTTGCAGAATTGACTCATAACAGAAACTACTGACTGTTGCGTATTAGTACCCACAAGAGGCTCGAGGCTCACGCGCGTTGATGTTTGCTGGAGCCAGGAATGCAAGTCGATGCGGACAGGTGGTGCGAGTTGCTTGAACTAGCCAATCAGGGGACCCGTGACAATCGGCAGGCGATTTAGGCCGTCAGGCAACTCTTCCAAATCTGAACTACGATACCCGTGTCTATCGGTAACTTTCCAGAGCACAGCCTTCTCGACAATTCACTATTAATAGCACGGAATCGGATCGCATTTAGAATGGTTGGTGGATTATTAAACAATGAGATAATTGCAACGGAAGTCTACAAGGATTGATCGTTGGGTATTGGCAAGCATTTAAATTGTCGGTGAACATCATGGTCATTGTCAGATCCACGAGGATAGATCGCAGAACTGGTATGGATCGAGAAGTGCGTCATAGAACAGCATCATGGGTGCGCCACATAATATGTGGCGCTACCACTGGTTGGAGCGGTTCTGTTCGATTCTCTTCACGTCCTAGACGATCGGTATATCTCGTAGATTAGAATTGATCTTCAATGCAGTATCCAGATTAGTTATCGTACATTGGTGGGATCCTTGAAAAAGGAAAAATAAAATAAAATAAAATAAAGGTTGGTTGTTTTTTTTTATTATTTTTTGCTTTTTTTTACCGGGCGGGAGAAATTATTCAGGGATCAACCGGTAAGCTACAAACACAATAGTCTAGAAGGCAACTGAAAGGCGGGCTGACTATCCGGAAGTGGCTTGCTTTGACTTGGGAATATTAGGCATTATTAAGTAAAGTATAACCCCAGCCAGCTTCGGACGATTTCCTGCTGCCCCTCTCCGCCTTCAACCTCTCTCTTCAACACCATGGTTGTCACTTTTTGCTCCATATCTTAACTGTTCTTATTTTTCACTCTTTGAGTCACGTCGTGATATTCCTATAGTTGTGGGTTTTCTTCGTGTGTCAATGCACCGCGTCCCGATCTAATTTGTTCGTTTATCTACTAGGCAGATGGATGGAAGATGAGGCTAGTTGCCTAACCCATAATATTACCTCCCTCTTTCCTTCATAAGTAACCTCTTTGTCCCAGGTAAGCTTTTGAATATTCTCTTTGTACCATAATTAGACCCACTTTTTGTTATATCTCTCTTCTGCAACGTGCTCCAGAGCCTCCAATATATGAACATAGACTGCACAATTCGGGAGGCTCTGTGACTGGAACGGATCAACTCTTTCTAACACTCTCGGTCTTTCCTCGTATCAAGCAAGCTTGATTTATTTTTACGCATTTAGCATACTCTAATACACCCTTGGTAAATAAACAAGACTATTTCTTTCTTTCATTTTTCCTTTTTTCAATTTTTTTTTTTTTTAACATCCTGTTTCTCTTGAACCTGATATTTTCTGGAACTTCGGAGTTAAGCCGCTAACGGAACCAGATGACATATCGTCTATGCTTTTACCAACTACAATGAGCGACGATAATGTTGATCGGGAAACCTTTCCTTTACGATTCCGAGATCCTGTAAGAGACCAGCATTTGGGTTCTCCCGAAGTTGGAGTCGAGGCAGACTTCTCCAAGTGAGTAATTCACGCATCGTTAGGTGGCGTCTGTTAAAAGATGTGTCGAGGATGCCACCAGCCACTCACCGGCCATTGCAGCAAGATGTTGACCTTTTACGCAGGAAGCCGGTTGTACCATTAGTATCGGATGCTGGGTCCCCAGCAGGGTCATCTTCAACCAACCAGGCGCGCCACTCCACCAGTTCTTCCCTTTTGAAGAGACTTGAGTCGAGTGGTGATGTTCCGACTGGTTATCTCGCAGATGGCCTAAGTGACCCGGATAGCGTATGGGTATCTCCGAACAAGAGGCGCTGTCAGTCACGGCAAAGCAGACGGGGGCCATCCAGCGCCTCTCCCGATCGTCCAATCCGCAGGCCAATTACTGAAAGTCCAATGGCAAAGGCCCAATTCAACGAAACCGATACTCACTTTCGTAGTGCTTCTACTAAATCGCCGGGCGATCTCAATGGGGAATTTTCACAGACACACCACCAAAGAGACTCCAACCAGATTTTGAATGAAAGCCCACATATACCGAATGCGAACCTTACACAGGGCGCTATGGCTTCCGCGCCTATATCAAACGAATCTAGAGAGAGTTTGAGCCATGAACAGAAGATGGTTGGAGGGCACTCTGCGGTAGCTGGAGGTATAGAATCAACTGGGATCATCTTACAGCCAGAAACTCATCCTATAACAGAAGATCAATTAGCCAATGAGGTTCGAGGTATCTACGCCGGGCTCGTCATGGTGGAGAAGAAGTGTATCGACATCGTCAAACAACAATTTGTACAGGAAAGCGAGTTGTCCCATCAGCAATGGCAAGCCTTGATCGCCCTACATCGAACCTTACTCCAAGAGCATCACGACTTTTTCATGGCCTCGCAACATCCGTCGGCTAACCTAGCTTTGAGAAAATCGTCAGAAAAGTACAATGTGCCCGCTCGTATGTGGCGCTACGGAATACAGACATTTCTGGAATTATTACATCGTCGACTTCCCGAATCCCTCGAACACATGCTGACGTTCATTTATCTGGCTTACTCAATGTTGACACTGCTGTTAGAGACCGTCCCGGCATTTGAAGAAACCTGGATTGAGTGCCTTGGAGACCTGTCAAGATATGGGGTTGTTATTGAAGAACGTGGCTTGCTGGATCATGAGATCTGGGTTGGAATTGCAAGACATTGGTACAATAAGGCAGTAGATAAGAACCCTGATGTCGGCAGGATCCAACACCATCTCGGGGTTCTAGCGCGGCCCGATATTGTCCAGCAGCTGTTTTACTACACAAAATCCCTGGTTAGTGTGCGTCCATTCCCACGCACCAGGGTGAGTATCCTGCGCTTCTTTAGCCCGCTCTTGCAAGGTCCAAGAGTGATTGGTTACCCCCATGTCACGACCGCCTTTGTGTCCGCCCATGGCTACCTTTTTACGCAAGCTACTACAGTTCATTTCATTAAATCAGCGGATGAGTTCTTGTTATCCTTGGAAAAGTATATTCCCCGAGTGGGCGTGACTTTCAGAATGCAGGGAGTTTACCTCACTTCTTCTAATTTTGCGGCAATGCTAGAATACAGTAACAGTGATTCTCTCCTATGCGCTGAATTTCACCAAGTGGCTACGGAGCATCCAAACCCATTTGAGAGCCTCGCTGCTGCCGAGGACCCCGTCACAAGCGCCCATGAGGCTGTGACTAGTTTCCTTGCACTTGGGGCTCAAAAGGATCTCTCCCAACTGGCTTATGGGTCTTCCCTTGCTTTTGAGACGTTCTCCGTTATGCTTGAACATGTTAACAACATGAATCTATTCCCCGCACTCCATACCTCCCTGGCATTCCTATGGTGTCTGTCATATACCGCGTCTGGTATGAAATGTGTTGAAGCCGTAGTTCCTTGGAACAGAATTGTCATCTTCCTCAATATGATCATTCAACCGAGTTTTCTTCAAAGACTGGTTCAGGGTTGGTTGACCTCACTGGATGAATTTGACTTCAACTTGATCGAGGGGGCCGAGCTTCCTATCTCTAATGAAACAAGTTGGCTTCCGGAAGACTTCCTCATTCGTGGCCAGCTCTGGAGCCAAGTTTATTATCCTTCATCGTTCTTTGAGAATTGCCCTTCTGATCAAGATGGGCGGAATGTCGAACGAGAGTCCCTGAGTATCTCTAGAATGTACCGGTGTCTCTGGTTGGGTGTGAGACTGGCGAAGGTGTGTGCTCGTGGGCAAGCGAGAGTGTGGATGCTTTTACTGACATCTTTTAGTTCAATCGTTGGATATCATACGACCCTTCTTCGCGACAGTTTTCCCTGACGCCATTTGCTCTGGAACTCGAGACGGCTCTGAAATCTGAGGCAATTTCAGAACTCGAGAAGATGGTGGAAACAAAACCTGGTAGTGCTCTATACCTGGTAAGGCATAGGTTCCAGTTGCCCGGTCTACAAGACGGCGTACCGTGTCCTCCGTCAACAGGTTAAAATACATAATTCAAACATAGATATTCTTATGACAGGTCTGACGGAGTCTTCCGTGTCTTGTTTAGCCCTGCTAATGTGTTTAGACAATGGTTATATTAGCCAGGGCATCGTAAAGGGAAAACATAGTACGTAGAAACCCTAATAGTCATTGTTCCTGTCACGGGATTTCTGTACACGGAAAAGATTGTCAGGGTCGAGGAGAATTTCTGATAGAAGATGCTTAATGTTTGCCCGTGTGGCTGAATCACATACTACTCTGGCTTTACTACTATAAGTTGTCATTATATCTACAGTGAACTGAGTCAACTGACTTTCTACTGATTTGTATTATTGGAGACCTTTTGCTACTTGAGAGAAGACACCTTCTTATACTAAATGGTCACGAGCGACAGCAGGTTAGCCAGTCATATAAAGTGTTTCGAACTTGAAATCTCCCAAACCTTTGTCGCAATGGCCCAGAATGAACCTGGCCCCACACAGTTGCTACAGAGTCGCATATACTAACCTTGCTGTTCCCAACCTACTAGTCTCATTATTTGTCAAGTACATACATGCCGTGGTTCTGATTCTGTTCTTTCTGGTTACACCAACACTCACGAATCACACAAGGATGTCAACATTTGTGGTACGCCACTTCCAGGTTCTTTGTCTCCCTACTTGATGGACATTTTGCTAACAGTGTAATATACAGCAGTAGTGTCTTACATTGTGGAATCGATGCTCCTGAGCAGGATATTGGTGCTATTGATGTCGATTCACAGCTCCCTGGTGGCCTTTACATGTACATTGATAGGGTGGTACTTTAGGCTTAAATATGCAGCCCCCGACTCTCTACACCACTGGGTATCGGTACCAACGGACCGAAACAATATCCTTAGGACAGATACACAGACTACCTAGCAAGAGAGATGCAAGCGTGCCAAAGTCAACGTTTTCCAATAAAGAAGGCTCAAATCGACACAACCATGGGTACCGGCTCAACCGCATATTGTGCTTTAAGGCTAGGAATCCAACAGATTTATACTATCAATAATGACTGGAACATGAATTCTGGGTTTCTCAGGTCACTTCGGCTTATGCAGGACCTGGCATAGGTGAAGTATCTTCATTTTATGTTGTGGCTCCGCGAGGACACTCCCTGAAACCGGTGGAACCCAGAGACATATTAGCCTTTCCTTCTTCCTAGCACAGTCGATCTGTGACTCTGAGCAGCCCTCCATGATATGGTAAGGCTCAATCAGAATGTTTAATCCCAGCGAGCTATGATGTTTCCTCTACAAGCATTACTGCTTCTCTTCCCTCTGCTGGCTCTTGTTCATGGTGAGTACTCATGTTCTTAAGCGTGATACAGCCCTTATAGTATAAACGAACCCTCTTATTCAGCCGGAATGCTCTCTGCTCACTCACTAAAAAAAAGAGGGGGGATCGAAATCATCAAACCAGCCCAAGGCGATCGATTGAACGCCATGGATGGCCTCACAGTGAGATGGAAATACAACTCGTCACACGACCCTTTGGTGGCCGATTTCCAGATTGGGCAAGAAGGACACAATATTGTCCCACATACAATAGTCAAACTTAACGCCAGTTCTATTGCGTTTGAGTCTGAGCATGTTACAGGCCTTCTGGGTCCATCTGCATTCGTGAGGATATGGAACGCCGACTGGATAGACACCATGAGTGTTAAAGAACTCGCCAAAGTCAGTGGTTTTACCCTTACCACCGCGACTACCCTTGTGTCTATGACATCGTCGATACCTCTTACTACTATTACCAGACCAGGAACTGTTACTGGTTCCTCAGTCTCAAATGGCTCCCAGTCTATCACAGAAAAATCCAAGACAACGGGAACGTTGACAGCGATTCCCGATCCTATGCTGGAGGAAATCAGCCCAGCATTGCCCACAAGTGCAAAGGCAGGAATTGGAGTTAGCATATCCGTTGGGACGATCATGATTATCGCAGCCGCTGCCTTCCTTTTTGTGCGGAATCGCAGGAAGCAGGCCACTAGGGAAGATGTTCAAGCTGAGCTACCGGTTACACCCGCTCCGAAGAAAGTAGCAGTCATGTCTGAACCCGCAGAGCTCCAGTCAGCATCGACAACAAAGCATGAATCTTACGAACTGCCTGCATAATGGCCATGGTGGATGGAGTAAAGCTTTGGCATGTCTTCTCCAGGCGAGGCATGGCAGGAGCGGTGCAAGAATTCTGTTCCGTTAGGATAGTGAAAATGAATGTAATCATCATACTTCCATGTCAAAGATGCCTACATTGGGGACACTTGTGGAGTTTTATGATATTCGAAAACATACTCGAAACCAGGTACAACCCAGTGGTTTATAAAATGAAAAATGGATGAAAAAGCTTTCTCCAAATTGTACCTCTTCCTTATATTATTCAACTCTTGATTACATGCCCTTCCGTTTATCGTCCACTTGCCAGAACCTATAGATCCACTTAAGTCAAGTTACTATAATTCAGGTTAATCGAACAAAACCTCAGAATTCGAATCTCAAGCTGTTATGTTTATAAAGTCATAGACATAATTAAATACATCGATCAGCCAACAATGACACCAAAAAGCCCCTAGTCTCACAACACCTAGTAACCGGAGTTGCCGTATCCACCAGAGCGCTCACTGGATCCGTACGAATCACCTCGGTTGTTGGAACCGTAGGAATCAGAAGATCCATAGCTGTCATTCTTCGAGCCATAGTTGTTACCAGAGGGCCCGCTATCGTTGTCACGACGGCTAGAACCATAGCTATCATTCTTGGAACCGTAGGAATCCCCGGAGGATCCGTAGCTGTTGTCGTTGTCACGACGATCGGAACCGTAGCTGTCATTCTTCGAGCCGTAGGAGTCGTTGGAGGAGCCATAGCTATCCTTCTTAGAACCATAAGAGTTATTGTTATCATTGTCACGACGGCTAGAACCGTAGCTATCATTTTTAGAGCCATAAGAGTCATTCTTGGAACTGTAGCTGCTGTCGTTCTTGGAGCCATAAGAATCGTTCTTGGAGCCGTAGGTGTCGTTGGAAGAGCCGTAGCTATCCTTCTTAGAACCATAAGAGTTATTGTTATCATTGTCACGACTGCTAGAACCGTAACTATCATTTTTAGAGCCATAAGAGTCATTCTTGGAACTGTAGCTGCTGTCGTTCTTAGAGCCATAAGAATCGTTCTTGGAGCCGTAGGTGTCATTAGAAGAGCCGTAGCTATCCTTCTTAGAACCATAAGAATTATCGTTATCATTGTCACGACGGCTAGATCCATAAGAACTACTGGAAGTGCTGTGGTCCTTCTTGGAACCATAGGAATCGCCAGAGGACTCGTAGCTGTTGTCATTCTTAGAGCCATATGAACCACTAGAGGAGCCATGGTTATCCTTTGAGCCGTAGGAGTCATTGCCATTGTCACGGCTGGAGCCGTAGCTATCGTTCTTCGAGCCCGATCCGTAGGAATCATTCTTGGATCCGTAGCTGTTTCCGGAGGATCCGTAGGAGTCGTTGTCCTTGCGGTTGGTGGAACTGTAAGAATCGTTGGTGGAACCGTAGGAGCTGTTGTTGTTACCGGAGGAACCATAGCTGTCGTTGTCACGGCGGGAACCGTAGGAGTCGTTTCCTCCAGAACGGCTGGAGGAGTTGTAGGAATCAGAACCGCCGTAGCCAGAGTTTTCTGAGCGGTTTGAGGACTATGTGACTGTTAGTGGGGTATCGGTGTTTGGCCGGGCTTTGTATCTTACTCCGTAACTGTCGTCCTTGGACTGTAGCGTGCGATGGTGAGTTATTGTGAAATGTATCAATTGGGGTGAGGGGGTAGACATACACTGTACGAGTCATTCCCTACACTGGAGGACTGATAAACGTTAGTGCTGACAAGACTTGACTGAAATGCCAACAGGGGGATAGCATACTCCGTAAGAGTCATTGCCCTGGCGTGACTAGGAAGCATTAGCAATGTTTGAGAACAAGTAGTGAGCAATGAAATGAGCGAGACTTACGCCATAGCTATCATTTCCACCATAGCCGCCAGAGCGGCTGGAGCTCTGATAGGCAATTAATGTTAGTGCCCATCTTTACCATTGGAAGACGTGTGCGCAATGAACATACGTAGTCATTGTCGCGGTTGTTGTAAGACATTGTTGATGGCTTGTGTGTGTTGAGAAACTCGATTAGAGAGGAAGAATTGGAATGCAATTGAGACAATGTTCAGATATGGAAAAGGAATACGAAGGCAAGATGAGAACAAACAGACGCAAGAGAAAGCCGTAATGGCCATTATTTATATCTCAATCAGGGGGCATGAGGGGCAGCTCCATGTCGCTACCGGGCTTCCTCATCCAGGCAGCGATTTCCGGAGATCCCGTTCATACCCTTTCAGCTCATGAGGGGCAGAGGGAAGACCGCAATCACGCTATGCGCCCGTCCACAAATGAACAGATGTAGAGTGGGCACGATCCCATCTCTGCAGATCGAACGGTGTGGCAAAGTACGGCTGGGATGGAATGCGATTGGCCTCTCTTGGCACGGGTCAGGGGTCTGGTCCCATCTCTAAATTAGTTTGACCCAGAAGATAAGCCCAAACTACGTGAGTAGTATAAGGGATCAGCCACAGTTGGACCTTTTGCGTGATTTCATGGGGACTGTGGCGCAGTCCATTTAGGGTTCAATAGAGTGTCATTGACTCGACTCCGGTTCATTTTCCTGCACGTGAACATGAACTTAACCATCCTTTCATGCGAGATTTCCAAACTTTATCTCGGCGCCTGTTGAGGCCATACATACTAGTATTGCAGTGTGTCAGTTGCATTGACCCATTGCATTAGTATCACACGATCTCCTCCAGAGCTCTATTCCCCACTTGGTCAGCTGAAGGCAGCAAAAACCCAGACATCCAGACCCTTTGGACCCGGTATTAGCTCAACCATCAAAATACCACTAGAATTTGAGTTTCTTACGTATGTCTACGGCCCCTCCTTGTTCATTTCGCTTGCGGGGACTCTGCTCATGTCGTCTCTGGCCGACCGAGGGTACTCAAGTGTTGTGACGCCAAAAATGACATTAACCAGCTTTCAACGATATGTGTATAAACGTACTTGCAATTCGAACTGTATTAAGACTTGGTCTAAAGAGATTCGTTGATTGAAAGGGCGGTAATGGAGTTTGAGATCAGTTTCAACTCTTGAGTAACTATGCACGCCCTTATCTGATCAACTTAGCTATAACAACGTCAGCTCAATTGCAAGTTACTGTGCATGCGCTAATGAAAGCCAAGTTTTCAAAAATAATACATCGATTGGGTAATCGCAATTGAGCTGAGAGATATGCAGACGAAGATAATCTCTCAACCCTCCCGTCCATGTGGTTGATTTCTCGCGTGGATACCCTGTAGCGAACCCCACAGTTAGTAAAACTACTACGTATCTCAAGTCACCCCTCAGCCACACTTCTAGAAGAATCGCCGCTACTTCATCTGTGGACATTCACGACATAATGTTGTAGGGTCCTAATGCCATACTCGGTTCGGTCAAGGCCCCAGGAGGAGCAAGAGGCTGCTCGCTCGGCTCACAAAAGGCCTTGAAAGACAATACCTCAACGTCTGAGGGGTTTTTCTATATTAACATACTACCATAGTCTAATACCTCAGTACAGTGACAAAAGGACCTAGTGTAACTTGAATTAGGTCTATACTATGCTTTATTAACAGTATTGGATGCTCTTAAAACCCTAGGGGAGAGCTAGTTTCTTGAACTTGATATAAACCACGTCGGATGGCATCAAATTTCGGGTGTTAGCTACCTCGATGCAGATATATTCATTGCAGCTGGATAAAGATATATTGGGCGAAACCTTTGACTCACTCTATTCGTGAGGCTTTTACGAAAGGGACAAGATGCTAAAAGCCAAAAGTAAAAAAAGACCTAGCCTTCCACCTCGTCTTCTCTAAGCTATCGCTGTCTACTTTGAGTATTTATACCTATCTCGGAAATATATACTTTGTTTGCACGGATAATCACGGGTCACTCTATAATAATCACACGAATTTTTCATTCCTCAACAATGGTAAATATCCATCAGATTACAAGAATACGAATCTTATGATCTGGGCCTCTACACTCAGAAAAGAAGAGGCTTAAGATGCAATGTCAGTTAACGATGACACCATACAATAATACACAGTCTTATAGGAGAAAAAGCGACAGTCATTCCACTATTATCTGCAAGTTCCCATTCCATGGTGGGGTCAGCGGTCGTATAGATAGTATTGCACAATCACTGTGGAGATTGCACCATCAATGATAAGAAATCCGATCATTTAGGAAATTTACAAAAGCCGCTAGATGAAGTTGGCATATAGGCAAGGGATTATGACTTGTCATACATTTCATGAGAAGGGCTCCGCTTGGCATTTTGACAGCACTTGAACAAACCTTCAACATACGCCACATAGAGCCATGAGCAACAAGGGAGAAGAGAAACCCACGACTCGAAGAGCAGCAAAAACGGTTGAAGAGAAATATGCAGATGTCACATTACGCATTATCGAAGACCATGGTGATGAGTTCGGGCCCCTAAGTCCTGAGAAGGAGAAAAGATTGCGCCGGAAGCTGTATTTGAATATTATGGTTTTGCTTTCTGCAATTAACATTGTCCTGTTTGTGAGTATACCTGCAGTTGCTTCATGGGTAAATTCTAATGATCGGCTTGTAGATAGACAAGTCTACACTTGGTTACGCAGCGATTCTTGGGCTTTTCGAAGAGACCGGCATTTCTAAAAAGCAGTACAACGATTTAAATACTGTGTTCTATGTCGGTATGAGCTATTGCACTTACCTCTGTTATATTGGAGCAATTGCTGACATTGATTCGAGGCTACCTTGCCGCGCAATGGCCGGGACACTATCTTATGCAACGTCTACCCTTCGGAAAGTTTGTCAGCGTCATCGTCTTTCTATGGGCAGCGGTTATTTTCCTTCACTGCGTAGCGACCAAGTTCGCCGGCCTAGTAGTCCTCCGACTTGCCCTCGGTGCAGTGGAAGCTGTCATTGTACCCGCGATGGAAATGACCATCGGCATGTTCTTCAACCGTCAGGAACAATCCTTCCTCCAGCCCATTCTCTGGGTGACTTGCCAAGGAGCTCCCATCGTTGCCGGTTTCATCGCATACGGTTTGCTCTACAGCCATGGCGCAGTTCTTCCTTGGAAGCTTTTCATGATCGTTACCGGTGGAATCACCTTCCTCCTCTCTATCTGGGTTTGGTTCTGCTACCCGAGTAACCCTGCCGAAGCTCGGTTCCTGACTCTGGAAGAGAAAGTGCATGTTATTCGCCGAGTGCACGACTCCAGCCAGAGCTCGATCGAACAGAAGCGGTTCAAAAGATCTCAGCTCGTTGAAACTCTGCGTGACCCTATATCTTGGCTCTTCGCACTACAGGCTTTCACTCTGATGTACTCAAACAATCTTACCTATGGCCAACAGAATCTTCTCACAACTTCTCTTGGTGTTTCCCAGCTTGGTTCCACGCTCGTCGCTGTGGCAGGGGGCAGCTTCGGTGTCGTACTCTGTATCATCGCCACCTTTGTACTGAAATGGTTCCCAAAATATCTAGCGATTCATGGACTTTTCTGGTGTCTCCCTGCTATCGCGGGCGGAATCGGCATGGTGGCGATCCCCTGGGACAATAAACTCGCACTCTTAGCCTGTATGCTTCTAGCGGGACATACGTACGGTATCACCTATATCATCGCACTCGGCTGGACGACGTCTTCTGCAGCTGGATACACCAAGAAACTCACACGCAACGTGATGTTCATGCTCGGCTACAGCGTCGGCAATCTCGTATCCCCGCAGATCTGGGTCCCCAGTGCTGCACCCAGATACTACGGTGCATGGGCGTCCATGATAGTGATAAGTTGGGCAGGCACGCCCGCTATCTTGTTTATCATTTGGTTTATTCTAGCGCGGCGAAACGAGGAACGGAGAAAGTGGATTGCGGAACTGAGTGACAGTGAGCGTGAGGAGGGCTGTGTGGAACAGCTGGATGAGAATGGGCAAATCATCCGAAGGAAAGTTGACCTTGCGATGCTGGATTTGACTGATCTGGAGAATAAGTTTTTTATTTACCCACTCTAATTGCTAGGTAGGCTGTGAAAGTACTAGAGACCTCAAGGTTCCATCAGTGATCTTGAAATGTACAATGTAGTTCCCACCCATATATTTCGCAATTAGGGTGGAATCTCGAGATAGATGCTAGATAATGCCTATTTACGCATACCACTTCGCCCACGGTTCTATTGCAAGTTGAGCCGTCATCGAAAGACGACGTAAGTGAAGGAGCAGGCTACGACCACCACTTTATGCAGTTATACACGCAACTAAGTGGTAAGTATACCGATTTGTCTGGATGGCAAGACACTCTCGCGTTTGGATTCGTCAGTCTAGTTATCCATTACATGAGAGTTAGGCCATTTGAAAAAATTGATCCAACAATATACTACTACAAAGGCAACAATAGGGAGATAACTTGCTACCCGAGTGGGCCATCAACAGGAGATATTCATGCAATTGAAAAAAGGCATGTCTAGCATAGATACAAATAGTGTCTCATAAGGCTAAGAACCATTCTGGAACCCGTGAACCAATTCATCTCAGTGCCAAACTTCCCTGGCGAAGATCATGTGACCGAGATTGTTGATAGTCGTTCGCTGGAAACTGTACTCCAAATAATGCAATCACCGCCCCAATTAGTCCAAGATATGGGGAAATGGACAAGAATCAGCGAAGGAAGCATAGAAGAACAAGAAAGCAAGAAGAGGCTAGAGATGCACTACATAACGGTCGTAAATCGTAGATTCCACCACACATGGTATCCTCCATTACAGTAGTAGGTTAGGAGAGATAGATGCGGAGCTGCCTATAGTCAGCATAGAGTCACTGGAAACGGTGCAAAACTGTACCTTCTGCTTCACAGGAGTGCGGCAGAGCGGGCATAGCACCGCTGCCTTTGGTCGAGACCGATCCGACCGCGCATGCTGCTCAGCACACCAGCGGCAAAGAATCGCATGTCCACAAGGAATGAGTACAGTATCCACAAGCTGACTCATGCAGATTTTACACTCGAGGTTGACAGTCAGCTCCTCGTCATCCTTGGGTTCCGGACGCCCATCCTTCTGATCGTCAAGCCCCTTTGCGTGCGACGCGGCTTCTTCCTGTTGACGACGATGGCGGCGAAGGTAGTTTTCCTCATATAGCTGCAAAGCATGCGTTTCACTGGAACGTGCGGAACGCAGTAGCTCTCTCATTTGGAGTCTTCGAGAGAGCTCAATTTGTTCCTGCTGAGTAAGTGGTGGGGGCAACTGAGTCTCGCTCCCCGTATTGGGCAAAACGTGCGATGTTCCAGTCATCGTAATGTGATTCCTGTGGATATGTGGGGAAAGTCCATTTGAGGTATTTGGCTCCCTTATAGACCGAGTTCGCAAATGTAAATTCTGAGAATTTGTCCTACTATGTAGCTGGTGCACAGATGGGGAACTTGAAGCAATACTATGAGTGCGATGCTGCCGCCTATGATGAATCGATGTAGATGTAGGGGAAACCCCTGCTTGTGGAAACTGGCCATATGGGCGAGATCGAAATGATGCCTGCCGATTAAGCGAAGGAGCTATAGGGACATTCTGGCCCGTTGCCCCTAGTGTTGCCGACTGGGTATTAGCAGCATTCGGAACTTGTGCCGTGTTTTGATATGGTATAAGCTGCTGTAAAGCCTGAGCGGGATAAGGAAAGACGTCTTGATAATAAGTATTCGGAGGTACGAATGGAGGAATGGTCTGCCCAGTCATCGCAGATGATCTTTGAAAGCCTGCTTGAGAAAGTTCAGACCCCTGAGGCCCATTATTCCCGTACTGAATCTGTTCAGTGCTGTCCAGGCTAACTGATTCGCCAAATTGGTTCTGCATATTAGGAAATGAGTCATTGCTGTGCAAGTATGGCGGAGGAAACGTAGCAAATTGGTCAGGAACCCGAGAAAAAGAGAGGCCGCTATGTGTTGTAGGTGTCCCAAATATGTTTGGACCTGGGAGATCTGATCATCGATTAGCAATTATGGGAATTGGAAAACGAGCATTACTTACAGAGACCACTGGCTGCGTTAGGAAGTCCATGCGGAAGATAAGGACTGGAATCAACAGCCTGCGCGCTCAGGATACTTTGGTTTGTAGAGTTCTGCATGTTCAGTGACCCAGAAGAATTCATACCCCCAGGACTGTTCATGACGGAAGCTGACAAGTTGGGATTAATCCTGGGGAGCTCAGTTATATTGCTTGAGTCCCAGGATACGACAGGTTGCGCCATCAGGAGAGACTCTGTCAGCAATTGCAGGTTATTGAGGATTGTTAAAGTCCCGTGACGGATGGACTGAAGCTCTTCTCGGAGAGTTTCAATACTACCAGACTGAGATAGACGATGGCGTGGAAGTGCTGTTTGAAAGGGGGCTCGAGAAGTGTCAGAGATGTTGTTCGAGTGGGACACTATGAAATCGCCAGGAAAGATTTCGGATGAAGATGGTATATTGGCAAAGGTGAGTAGCCGCAGATGGGGATTACAAGCACCCCAGTATTCTAAATCACAAGACACGGACCTGTGAGCGATCTAGACAGTGAAGGTTCAAGACAAAAATGCACTAAATAAACATGAAAGAACATTCGATGAGTAAAATTGCGTAGACAATCAATGCGACAGGAACACTGTGCAAGCATAGGGACTTCAACGATGGAAATACGGACCCTCACACCTCCAGCAGTATCTGCGACGGGTTGTTTCTATACTGTTTTGTATATTGTGCTCCTCTGCGGCTGATCGATTTCTTCCCGGTAGATCTGAACAATACAACATACACAAGCAACAAACCGAGCTCAGATGAAGACAGCCGATAGCATGCTTGTGAGTGCAACTTGTACTGGTAGGTGAAGGGGACCAAGCAAACATCGTTTATTGCCAGTCGGTCCCAAACTCATTGATAGGTAGACAAAGCAAGTATTTCGTAGATACTATGCTTCTAACCATGTCGTAGTCACATCCAGCCGATAACGAGCAGATGACGGGTCAACCGAAATATATAAGCACAAGGTGACGTCCAAATTCAAGGTTCCAAAGGAAATGCAGGGTGAATTATTGATAGGCAGCCGTCCCCAAAATCTGGTTCTAGTAGTTATACGGCAACTGCTGGCGACACAAGAGACCTCGGAGACATGATTTTGTTTGGTTCCACACTCTCCAGTGAGATAGCGGCTCCTAGGAAAGGAATAGCCACGAAAGCTGAACTTGAGCGGCAACGGGAGACTACCCACAAACTGACTTGTCGCCCTAGAGATGTTAAAGGACCTCAATTAGGCGCCTTCCTTTGGCTTTTGTTTATCTTTTTTCCCCTCCCTGCTTTTCTCTCCTTAAAGTATTTCAGATCAAGTCCACTATGGAGAGCCAAACGGAACGCAACCGTGAGAGGAAGCTGACGGCCTGACGTTTGGACGACGTTGCTAGCTCTAGACCTTAGCCCAGGCGAGTCGGGGGGAACAACATCAGCGCCTTGCACTAGACTGCGCCTAAGGGGCGAGAAAGTAAAAGAAACCACCAGGGATGGGCAAGGGTCTTTAGCCTCGGCGCCTAGAAGCCCACCGTGGAAGGTCTGCCCGGTTCTATCCAATTAGTGAGATCTTAAACCGAGTCTAGTTGCAGGGGGCGTTGGTGTTAGGTTGGGGAAGGGGTAGAAGAAATTAAAAAAAGGAAGGGGAAAAAAAGAAAGAAAATAAATCAATTAATTGGAAATTTAAATAGACAGAAAACGACACAGCAAGCTAGGACTTTCCCGGGTTGATCCCAGAGAAAGCAAGCAAAAGCTCAGGCGGATATCAAGGTTACACTTCGCATAAATGATCCACTAAATATAATGAATCAGGATTATAGTATATACGGTCCCGTCTGATGTTCCGGATGATCGCAAAAGAATGGGAAATCGGAAAATCAAAAGAGGGGAGCGGGAAGACAAGAAATACAACTCAGACAAAGACCCAAAGGACCGTCAGCGAACCGAGTGATCCACTGCTGCAGGGCCAGCCGACCAGAGTTGCATGAGCAATGAGAATGAGGAAGTCATGATGATAAGAAAGGGTAGGACTAGACCCAGATTGGCACGAGTCCCGAGTCGACCGATCGGCGACTTCAAGAGTGGGGAACAATTAGTTAAATTCAGATTGTTTGTCCTCCGTTGAATGTAGGAACTGATGACAGAATGACTGGATACTAAATGAAACATAACGATGGCCTGACTCCGCCGCTTTAATATCGAATGGGAGAGCACAAAGCGGCGCTGTTGGTTTGTTTGCTTTGGTTCAGAAGTTCACCCGCAACGTCATCAAGAGCTCCTGGGCTCCACTTAAGTTAGCTCCACTTCCACTTCATCCGGCGTGCTGGTAGTACTACCTTGTTGGTAAGTCACCTCCGCGGTGGATGCTGCTATCTCCGAGTCTTCTCCTTCAGGACAAAATTCTAGATTCATTTTTTTTTGAGTCTGATACCGCCGTTACCCTTTAAACGTTCCTTCTTGCAAGTGGACCAATCCATGAGATTCGCCCGGTGGCTGTCCGTGTGGCCAACCCTTCTATCGGTACCAAACAACATAACCAGACTTCCAATGTCCACTTTTACAATTCCGTGTGACCATGGCCAGCAATCCCTGTCTGTAAATTCCACGCCTGATCTCAACAAGGATGATCTATTGCGCTTCCCTGCTTTCCAGATCTGGCTGTCTACCCTGCAACAATCGTTAAAGCGGCAACAAGACCCCTCACACGAGTTCCACAAGGACCCTTATGTCCTACGCAAGATTGATATCCAGGCCGTTGATTTTTTCAAGGGAGGACGATTAGGGTTCGTGAAATTCAAAGCTGATGTATCGAACGGAGATGGAGAGTCACTTCCTGGAAGCGTTTTTCTTCGTGGGGGCAGTGTAGGAATGCTGGTAAGCCGCCCAAATCATCTCTCCTCTTTCACTTGTCCGTATCACTGTTTGACATTCACCTCTGTTGGTATTCCAATAGCTTTTGCTCCAACCAGATGACGTGCACCCCTCAATGGAAGACGAAAAGCGGGCGATTCTGACCATTCAGCCCCGCATTCCTGCGGGTTCCCTTGAGTTTGCCGAAATACCCGCCGGAATGCTTGACGATGCCGGTTCCTTTGCTGGAGGAGCAGCGAAGGAAATACAAGAAGAAACTGGCTTGACGATTCCTCAGGATGAACTGATCGATATGACCTCGCTTGCATTGCAATCAGTTGCAGGCCCCGAGGGCGTAGAGACATTGCAAAAGGCTATATATCCATCGGCTGGCGGAAGCGACGAGTTTATTCCTTTATTCTTGTGTCAGAAGCGGATGCCGCGTAAGGATATTGAGAAACTACAGGGACGATTGACCGGGCTACGTGAGGAAGGGGAGAAGATCACGCTAAAATTAGTTCCTTTGAAGGAACTGTGGAAGGAGGGATTACGGGATGGAAAGACACTCGCAGCATGGGCGCTGTATAAAGGACTCAAAGAGGAGGGGAAAATATGAATTAGACATGGGTCTTTCCCTGACGGCCGCGTCATCGAATTGCCGTAGGGCTTTACAGCAGAGTGTCGAATGGATATAAAGATGCATCACATTGACGTTTATAACAACGCTAAACCTCATCTATAAGCGGTAATTGAAAGTTCGTGCTATCAGCTGCTCAAATCTATAGCTTCCACTTCTGCGCAAGTTCGATACCCTCTGCTATTGTTCCCACGCGGGCATCAATAGCATATCCTTCGGCCTCAAGTTTTTTCATTTCTCCGAAAAGCGAGGCTAGCGGCACAGTGAAAGATTCGATGAATTCGTTTTCTTCGAGTTGTGGCTGAGGGTTTTGGTTCTCTGGTAAGGACATATCTACCCGGACATGAACCATATTGAGGTTAGTGTTACAAAAGCCGGGATCTGCGATTATATCTGTTAGCATTCTCCACTCGAATATCCTGGAATGCAACAAGACACCCCACGTGCAGTCAGATACGAAGTGCCACCATACCATTATACATCACGGTACTCGTTTGCTCCGCCACTCCCACATAGCCCGTTTCCTCCTTAAGCTCACGCACGGCACATTCTTCCACTGTCTCGCCAGCATCTATGAGGCCAGCCGGAACTTCAATAACCACCTTGTCAATAGGGGGACGATACTGTTTCTGGAGAAGGAGTTCTGGGCCCGTCGACTTGTTGAGAATGGTCACTATCCCCACGCCGTCAATTGCGCAGTTTGCCGGGCGGGTCTAAAAGTACAGAAGCAAGTCAGCTCGGTATTCTGACTAGAGGTCCTGCGCACCCAATCCTTCGTATAAGCAAGGGGGCTTCCTCCCATTGAGAACTTGGAGCCTTGGCACAATAGTAACCGGTGCGCTGGCTCAAAGAATTGGAATGACCTCACCTGCCGCTCTGCTGACTCCCACGTCCTTTCTACGCCGGTAGGATCCCGGTATGTAGTCTTGACTAATCTCGTCCATCTAGCCTCTTTAGGGTCCTGTGAAAATGAACACCAACATTAGTATAAATACGAAATCCCTAAGCCAGAAGATTTTATAATAATGAAATCAAATTCCAAAACATGAAAAGAGAATACATACCAAAGGACCCCTAGCAATAATCTCCGATCTCAAAGTCTTAGGATCAGACATGGTACCAAGCTCTAACGAAAACACGGAACAACCCGTTCAATTAACTCAATCCTACCCACAATCTAACCGTCAACACTCTAAGAGTCACAGGATAATCCAATAAAACCCCACCTATAAGTCAAGTACAATGGAAGTACTATATATGACGTTCTCTGGGGTAAAGGACACCACTTAGTGTTAGTTAATGCTAGCTCGGAGACGATGTTGTCGGAGGGGCCGCAGAAGGAGGGGTTAGATTGTCTTATCCACCGAAGGGCTAGCCCTAATCATATCTGGGGGTGGGGAAATGATTCCCGATTAGAAGTTTCTTGGAGTATACTTGTTCATGTACTTGTTATTGAATCGTTGATCTTGTATAATCTGTGAGTGTTTGCCTTCCTTGTTTTAAATTTAGAATGGCTACTCTTGTTGGCTATGAGGTAGTATGCATCATGAAGAGGGAGAGAGGTAACTAATGAAGGGAAGGAGCAGGTTCTAGTGTACGGTAACAGAAAGGAAAGAGGAATTTGGCGCCTCAGGCTTGCGCCTGTTATCCTTCGATCTTTAGGGTACTCTAGAACAGAAAATAGAGAATAGAGACCAAGCAAGGAGAAAAATCAAATATAAGTATATAAGCAGGTCAAAAATCAAACTTACAAAAAGCTCACCCTCCGTCCCCGGCGCTTTCAGCACCGGCGTCATAAGGAAAGGCTACGGAAACCTCGAAGGATTTTACTAGTAGGAGTCCTAGAGGCGAGCAGAGGCGGTTTCAAACCCTGCTCGAGCCTAGGACTAGGGGCCCTCGGAACCAAAGCTGGTGCCTTATGGCTCGACCGTCGAGGCACTTCCCCCGTGTTACTGGTATTCTCGGACACTTAAAACATCTGTTCACTATGATTGCAGGAAGATGTCTGGAAGAAGCAGCGGCGGCTGCGAGGGGCCTCGTGGATCAGGCAGCGGAGTAGCATGCCTGGGAGCGGTGAGTCGGGGACTACTAGTACCTAAGGCGTCTTATGGCCGATTTGTGGTCTCAGAAGCTTGGGCCAGTGATCTTACGCGATATGGAGCATGGGAAATATGTGGGCCATGATTGCCCCGGGATTGCTTGATTACGTGCATTTAGCGCTGCGGTCGTGTTCGTTTGAATGGTGGGCTGCCACTACTGTAATATCCCGTCTAGTAGGAACATAATTGGGGTTTGGATAAGAATTGTGGAGAACATTTCTATTGTATGTCTACAGTCTGTAGCTTTCCTCACTATGTATCTCTATCCATGGAACCTGTCTATGGATGAAGTAGAATAGTGTCAGAGACATAGATCCGATTATCGTGTTAAATAATCTGGGTCAAAAAGGGAAATGGTCGAGCCCTTGCAAAGGACAGACCCCGCGAACGGGTAAGCCGACCGAATGGAATTGAATATAATAGCCGGAATGAGAAATTAAGTGTAATCGAAGATAGCGGCCCATGTTCAATGGAGTCCAATTGCGCTTGCTGTCATTACTTCGTGTCGACGTTCGGGAGAGGTGATGACTGGTGAGAGGGATAGTCTGCTCAAGCTGACTCGATTTGAGAGAGACAGTCCTGGAACTCTGACCAGTCCTTCATGATGACTTTGGCGCCAAGATCCTTAAGGGCTTTCGTCATCTCGCGCTTCTTCTCATCGCCGGGGTAGCTGCCAACGTAGCCGATGACGTGGATGCCGGCACGGATGGCGCTAAGCGCACCAGACTTGCTGTCCTCGACAGTAACAGTCTCTTCCGACTTCTTATTGCACTTTTCAAGGGCGTGGAGGTAGATGGCCGGGTCGGGCTTAGAGGTGGGCTTGGGGAGAGAGGTTGCAGCACTAAAGACCATGTCCTCGTCAAAGAACTTGTCCTGTCCGACTTTCTTAATGGAAGCCTGGACACGGCGCAAGGCAGATGAGGAGACAACTGCCATGTGGTACTTCTTGGCCTTGTACAACTTCTCAAGTTCCTCGTTGGCGCCAACGCATGGCTGAGCTTTTGCTTCCAGCTTAGCAATGACTTTGTCCTCCTCCTTCTTAACGAACGCTTCAAGTTCGTCTTCAGGCATCTTGAAGTTGTACTTGGCTTGGAGGGAGATCATCATTCCACGGAAGTTCTGACCGACGAAGTCTTGGATCAGCTGGTCCCCTGTGTAGCGATCAGAGATGTCGCGGCTCTCCAAGATCTCATTTGTAAGGTCGGCGCATGCCTCAAAGGCCAACTCCTCGGAGAGGACTAGGGTGTTGTCGCAATCGAAGAAGATTTCGGTAATCTGAATAGTAGCAAGGTTAGTTGGCTATGGCTCAAGTAGTGACAGGTATCAGCATGGCTTAGGGCTAACCTTAGGCATGATGGCTGTGGTGTATTGTATTGGATTCTATGTATAGAAGTCAAGTGTAGATGTAATGTGAGGTTTGAAGGGAGATATCAAGAATTCACGGGTGAGGGTGAACAGACAGAATGAAAAAGAAAATGGGAGTGATGACCAGGGGAAGGGCTGTGGAGTGAATGGTACAAAGAAACTTTGGTTGTAGGGACAGTTGTACGCCTTTAAGTAGAATTGTGAAAAGAGGAAAATGCCTAAGGGGTTTCCGATCAATATACTTTTAAGGTACCCAACGCTACACATGAGAGTCCACCAGTGATTCAAAGGGGGGCATATCCATACAATGCGCATAATAACCCCTCCGAGGAAGGCGGCATGGCGGGGGCCTGAGGTCATATCGTGACGTTCGCGACTGGGCATGGGCCTATAATGGCGGCCGAGACACGGCGGCCATCGGGTCTACACCAGCACACTAAACTGAAGTTAGCAAGCACCCGCTGCCATTCCCTCTTCGGGTAACGCTGCCTGTCCCCTCTCACTAGCCCATTCAAGCATAGCGTTGTGCCCTGATGGAAATGTAAAGAAACCGGATTGCGCAGTTGCGAATCGGCTGGAAGACTCATTCCAGTGTTTTCAATCGATCCCCTTGTGTTCATCTTTCTTCAACTTTCTACGTGAACCATCCAATAGGATCGGAATTTTTACTACACCGGTGAGCTTTTTGTTTCTCTTTTCTTCCTCGATCCGTAGTGGGACAGATCCATTGAACAAGGCATACATTACGTACGGAGTAGTAATGCTGTACTTCCGTACAAAGCTGGCAACCTTCGGAATGATCCCCCTCAACTACTAATCTCTACTAGTAGTAGGTTGTCAGAGCAATTCTACATCCTGACCATTGTCGAGTCACCCGGGATGCTCATGCGAGGGGCCATATTCAGACAGGGACCAGTCTAAACGTCCGGAGGGCAGTGGTCCACGCCGAGCATGTTTGTTAGATGCCATGTTTTAGTAGTGATTTAGTCAGGAGAACTAAGCCACAGATCAGCTGATGATCTCTAAATATGCCAATATTATATTATTTGGAACCATCCACTATCTATTATATTTGTAGCCACCGCAGTGCATCAAAGAGTCAATGACACGTAACCTCAGCTACAGAGTCAGGCACCGATATCAGATATCAGCATACAAACTGCTGTAGGTACGTAGTACTACTACTACGTAGGTACAAATCTTCCATTCTCCACTCCGCGCGTGGATGAATCGATCTCTTGAACGCCACCGCCCAATGATATTGACCTTGATGGGGCCTGAGGCCAAGTCATTATTGGCTAATTTACCAGTACCGTTATGGGCCCCTCTTTTTTTCACATATGATCCTTCTGAGTAACTTGGACGGAGAGGACATAGTCTAGCAATAGTGAACTATTTCCTTTTTCAAGCAATCTACCTGTTGCTAATTTCGCCCCGAAACCTTCCCCTCCCGTGGCCAAAATGGGTAGTGATTCTGATCCCTTCCCGGTGTCCGTATCATCTCTTCATTTCCCCTCCAAAGAGCAAACTATTTCCCAAACGCTGTCGTCCTTGCGGCGATCAGCCCTCTCCATCACAAACCGACTTCAATCGATTGAAACCGACGCCACCTTTGTCCGTGAAGTTGCTGACTACTACGATCTCCCCTTGGTCGCCAACGAGAGATGTGGTAGTTGGTATATCCCACCGGAGGCCAAAGCTGGCAGCGCTTACTTCAAGAGCACGGATGGTCATATGGGCCAATGGGACTTTAGCTTCCGTAGACTAAACCTGCAGATTCTACCCATTTCTCAGAAGCATGGAGGGTAAGTGAGCGTATCACGGCTCCTTCAGAACCTCCCTTCGGTCCGCTTTTTCCTTGGACTACCGCTGACCACCAATGACGGCTGCAGCTGCATCATTGTTGACTCAACGCGCCGGGGGAAATGTAAGTGCTAACGACCACTTTGTTGATATTCGGCTGCTCGTGTCGCACTGTCTCACAAACCGCCAGTGATGCCTGATGCCTTATCCAAAACGGTTCCGATCTGGTGTGCGGTAATCAATCGAGCACTATTTCCGTCCGATACTGCATACCATCCCGTGCAATTTCCGCCGAATTTTTTAGGTGCCTCCGAAGAGTCACAGATTGAGCACAGGATCGATGGTTTTGTTAAATCGCTCAAGGTAACATTTCCCTATTTTCGCAAAAAGGGTGACCGTGCCCTATTTGAACATAGGCTGATTGGCTTCTAGGATCTCAAGCTCGATTTAGATGATCTCAAGCAAAAACTAGGAAAGCCCATTCGGGTCGCCTGGGCGAATCGCTCATATTTTTATCCAACTAATCTACAAAAGGGAGATGCATATAATCTCTTTGTTCTCTGCTCTGCTTCCAAGCGTGTCCACGGCGCGGAAATGTCGGAGGGTGGTTACATCCAAGGAGCAGGAGATGATAGTGAGGGTTGGGCGCACGGGCTAACGCCGCCAGTTTTCTGGGCACACAAGTCCACGCTTGCTGCAACCGGAGAGGAAGATCTACCGGAACTCATTGAGAAATTGGTAGAAGAGCACCGAAAGGAAGCTGGCGGCCAGCAAGCAACTTTGATAATGCCAACTCGAAACTTATACATCAGCCCAACAGACCCTCGATTAAACGAGGGTGGTACTTATGATTTAGTCATTGATTGCAACGGAAATCCGGAGGCTTCAGAGGGGAATCCAAAGCGACTAAACCTTGGTTGTGGAGTCTCTAAACTGGGGAGTCGCGACCTACGGAAGCATCTACATCAGGTTCTCGCCTTCGCCAATTCTCAGCTGGAGTCGAACCCGTCACAATCACTGCTCGTAACATGCGAGTCTGGGAAAGATCTTTCCGCAGGCGCTTTGCTCGCCATATTGTGCCTATGTTATGATGACCAGGGCAAGTATTCCTACATCCGATCCCTATGTGATCATGCTAATCATACAACAGGAATCTTTGCTGGATCTCATGCGAAAAATAAGATCGACAAGCAATTCATCCGACAGCGACTTGCGTGGATCGTGTCATCCAAGCATGACACGAACCCTTCACGCGCTACACTCCAATCTGTTAACGCGTTTCTTATGGAACGACCAGATTATTAATAGGTAGATTCTTTGGCATTTCACCTGTGGCTCAGGTGCACCTTTATTCATCATACGTCCTAGCGTGGATCTATTCGTTTTCAACGGCCTCCACAATAGCTCCAGCGCTTCCCTGATCCAGGGCATTCAACACAGCCATATCCTCCTCGCTGATTTCAAAGTCAAATACATTGGCATTGGCCACAATCCGATCAGGGTTATCGGACTTGGGCAGCGGTACCCATTCCTTCTGTAGAGCGTAGCGTACCAAGATCTGCTGGGTTGTCTTTCCATATTTCTTCGCCAGGTCGACAAGTGTAGGATCGTTGGCTTTATAGTTGCGCACAATTGGAGAGTAAGCCTCAACAATGATGCCATGCTTCTTACAATACGCATCGACGACTCGCTGTTGACACCAGGGATGGAGCTAATGGGTAGATAGTTAGTACCGTTCACACTCGCCTATAAAATCACATCCAGGACAGACAAGCTCACCTCAATCTGGTTCACATGCGGCGGCCAAACCTTCGCATATGACTTTATCTCCTCAATGTGCTTCACGCCCCAGTTGCTAACACCAATGCTCTTTGTCTTCCCTTCCTCAAGGAGTCTCTCCAGCGCCTGCCACATCTCCTTCCGGCCCGACGCGCCCGAGTTGGCGCTGTGAATCAGAAACAAATCTACATATCCATCCGGACCCCCTATCTTCTCCACGCTGGCCAGCAGCTTACTATAGGTCGCTTCAGGCGAGCCACCGGGGACAAGGATCTTAGTAGTCACGAAAATGTCGCTGCGCGGGATGCCCGAGTCGCGAATCGCATCGCCGACCTCCTTTTCATTCGCGTAAAACTGAGCCGTATCAACGTGGCGATAACCCGCCTTTAAAGCATTCAAAGTAGACTGCACACACTGAGTCGGTGGCGAGCGATAAACACCGAACCCAAGGCGCGGGATCTTCACCTCCGACTTGGGGAGGGGTAACAAATCCGTAATGGTAAGTTTCGCAGCCATGATAAAATCACGCAGGGGTCGCACAGCAAAACCCAAAATTTAAAATAAATAAAATAAAAATCAAAAACAGAGTCTAAGCTCAAGACAATACCGTAAAAGCCGACCGACTCAACAAACAAAAATGTAACCAGGTAACTCGAGACCCGAAGCAGCAAGCAGAAGGGATTCGGCTGTGGTAGGTTGCGCGGGAGACAATTACCCCTCCCGACACATGATATCATACCAAAACGAAACCCTTCCAGTCTAAACCCCTTCCGGTGGAAATAGCTTTGACTACTGGATCGGGTAAAGTCAACATGATGAACTCCATCCGAACTTAACTTCTCATCTCGGTTACATTCGCTCTGACGATTGCGATCGTTACACTCCTCCTGCTCTGCCGAACCCGTCCGGGGTCTTGACTTGCTTGAATCCTAGCGAAGAATTCGTACATACCCTCCCCCAGGACCTCCCTTGCTTGAATACGGGAACGTACCACGCAGGATCGAATCTCTACCGTCCCACGTGTGCCTCCTCTGTACGACGTTCAATGGAATGTAAGGGATCGGGCTGCCATCCCTTGCGGCGAGACGGTTTTCATGATGCGTACAGTTGGGTTTGTCGGGCAGAATAGACTTTTTTGTCTTTTGGTTTTTTATTTTTATTTTTATTTTTTGAGAGAGAAATCTTATGATGTAGTCATCATTGTCGCTGGGTAAATATATCAGGTTTATTCATTTGAATACGGATATGCGGTATATACTTGCAGGTGGCTTTTAATCCCTCATTATGCATGACAGAACTCCGTACTAGTACTACTTCAATTGGGATCAAGTAGAATACAAATAAAAAAATTATTATGCTTTCGGAATTGCCGTCCTTGGCTTAGCATGGATGTACAACTGTTTTACAGGGATTGTACCGATTCGTGAGCATATACTTTGGAGAAAGGTACGATGTCCGCAAGTTTTCTCGAAATAGATTTATAACTTTTTTTCCTTTTTTCCTGTTTTTTTAACCCTTAAAACAAAAAGAGCAGTTGAATGAGAGGATTCTTCTTTATATATGTTCTATCGTTCATAAATATACATAGACACATTGATGCTAAAAACGCGACATGACTATAAACAAAAGACGGGTATCTGTACAGGGTATTCCGTTCACCGGCAGGAATGACTTCGGCTAACCCATGGCGCCTGTGTTGGGGGAGTACCCAACCTATGACTTGTATCTCAAGGCCATAAAGAGGGGGTGCAGGCGGTATTTGAAACTATTACGTAAATTTAATCACACCTTTGCAATTCCCCTCGTCCTCATGTCATGATGATTCTGCTGACAGGCAGAGAAATGAGGGATCCACAACGCCATTGATAATACCAAGCTACTGGTTTTATCATTGGATTAGCCACTGTGTCCGCCTGCCGTGGGACGGCAAGGGATAGCTAGCTGAAAGTCAAAAATTTAAGCTGGGGGACTGCATGAAAAGACGCCTCTAACGCTGCCCTCGCGGTAATTGTTGATCTGGCATGATAGTATTAGCATTTAAATCTAGATAGAAGAGAGGATAAGGCAAAACTTACAATATCATCGACACTGGAGTAGGTGCCACCAACAAGCGTGACAAGACCGATGAGTAACACGATCACATTGATAGCACCCAGAGCAAGGTTCTTGGGCTCATTCCATTTGCCCTCGCGAATGAGAATGAACCACATCAGGGCCGGGAAGTAGAAAGTGAAGCCGGAGACGAAGAGGGCCGAGCAAATCGACAGCAGATCGTTGAAAAAGGGGATAACCTCAGCGATAACAAAAGCGACGATGGTAGCTACAGTGATAACGGCCAACCAGGTAATCCAGCCCATCTTGGTGTTGATGTATCGGATAGGAGAGTTCTTGAAAATGCGGCCGTGAACCAAACGGCCCAGCACGACGGTGTTGATAGAACCACTGATGAAAATAACGGGAAGGGCGATACCGAAGGCCACTTTGCTCAACAAATTGCCAGCGGACAGCAGAGCGGGGCTACCCACATCAACACCGACGAAGGCATAGATCAGCGAACCAGTCAGGGTGTAGATAATAATCTCGGTAATACCCAAAGCCCAGATAGACTTGACGTAGTCCTTAGGAGTGTGCATTTCGTCCATGAAGGAGAATTGGCAGAGAGCGAAACTGTAGGCGAAGATAATGTTGGAGATTGCAATGAAACCGTCGGTGAAGGTGAGGCCTTCCTGTGGCCAGGCAGACCAATTGACATTAGAGAGTCCAATTTCCTGAGTGTTCTTGACACCAGTGCCGATGATGGTGATGCCAATTGCGGCAATAATCGAGACGAAGTCGATGTAACCCAGAATAGCCATTTCGGTGAAACTCGGCGGTACTGCGAGGAGCAGCAGAATCACAGCAGACACGACTCCCCAAACAACGGAGCAGACATCACTGCTAGTGATGTTCACAAATGCAATCGTACCAGTCAGACAATGCGAGCCGGTAAGGAAGAGAAGTTCCAAGATGAGCATAATGTTGATCAGTTCTTTACCGAAGCGACCAAACATAAGCTGGCCAGCATCGGGGTAGTGAGCGACATGTGGGAACTTCAATTTCACTTGACCGATAATGTGACTAGTATAGACAGCGACAAGACCCAGGCCAACGGTACAGATGACACCAGCCACCATACCAAGCTTCGCAAAACTAGAAGGAATGGACAAACTTCCGAGGGCAACGGCCTCCACAATAAGCACGACGGTGAGACGCTTCCAACCAAGACGGCTGAACTTATGGATACCATCCTCGACAATGTCCCTTTCCCTCTCATCCATTTCACCAACTAAGTCCCCATCATAGTGAGGGAGGACACCCTTCTCGGCCCCGGCCTCCATGGCTTTGTTATTGGCCTTGTCGAGGTCAGAGATATCTTCTGAAGAGTGGCCCATTGTGAAAGCTGGTGGGAGGGTGGAGGAGATGCTGGTAAAATGAGAACGAGGAAAGGGCGAGAAGGGGAAAAAAAAAATGTGGGCTGTTTCCCTGTCGGACCACGTTCCTGAGAGTCTGGGAAGAGAGCAGAATTTGAGGAAAGTCCGGCCACGGCAGTTATATAATCGAAGTAGCAGACTTGGACCGATTTGGAAGCCAGCGGAAAGGACTCGGAAGGGCACCGTATACTTTGCCACTAAGCCTCTGTGCCCGCCGGTTGCCCAAGAGTGCTTGCATGAAAACTGCTGTGGTGTGATTGGGTTTGGAATTTCGAAAGAATAATGATAGTGCGTTTTTTCTGTTACTAATAAGATTTGGTGGCGTTACGTTTATCTTGAATGGTCGAACCATATGGAGAACAAGCTCACTCCAGCTGTTGGTCTGACCAACTAGATCTTAGTCTGGCCCGTCCACGAATCCGGATCTGACCTAGTGTGAAACTCTCGGGCTTTCGGTCAATCAGCCTCAGCCACCGAATGATAACGGGAGAAGAAAAAAAAATTAATTACAGAGGCTAATTGTGACATGATTGCAACTGGTAAGAGTAAAACGTGGGGATGCTGGGGACAAAAGTGGGCATCACTCATACTCCTCCCCAATAGGCAACCTTGATAATGCGTCTCTTCGGTGGGTTATCAGTTTCTAAAGTGAACGACAACGTGGCAAAGTAAAGGAAATGCGGTAGCAGTTCTCCATTCCTCTGTCTCTTGTCACGCAATACTTATTCCAACCAACACTCTCAGTCAAGAGGCCATTGATTATATCGCACCGCTTAATACCCCATACCTAGCAATACGATTACGGTTTGCCTAAAACCTTCTATTACCTAAATCACTACCACCATCATTTTGTGGGGATCAATTTTCCACCATTGAACATACTCTAGACTTCCAACTAATTTTAGGCTTCTTTTGGCAATTCATGCATAGATTCCTCTGAGCGGGCCATGTTGGAGAACATTGGAGAACCGACAGGGATATGCGGTGGGTAGACGCGGCGACAGAATAAGATGGGGTCAGATGGTGATGTGACCATGACTTCTACCGAGTATGCCATGTGCAACAATTCTATGACAAACTGCCAAGTTCTGTATAGCTCCCTAAGCTATATCGCTACCAATATATTCGCTCGCCCAATCCCACCAAGACTTCTTGGAAGTTCTAGGCGCTTCAAAACTTTTACTCTTATGCATTTGTCAGAGGGCTTGGTAAGCCCTACTAGGTTGCCTGATGAATGCCTGAGCCCTGCCAAGTTTTCAAGGTTCCAAAAGCGGCATGCCGCATTGGTTGCAGTAACGTGGGCCCTTACAGCTTCGGGCTCAGTAGCTTTCCTGAATCTTCCGAAGGATCGGCACCATTGCCCGCTTCTTTGAACTTTCATTAATCAAATTCTAACTCTTGAGGGGATTTAATATACTTGCAGATCCGGACAAGTACTCCGTACATAGTGAGCGGTACTATAATTTCAAGCTTACTGCGCTACCTGAAAATGTCCTAACCTTCTTTGCGTAGGAAATTCTTTCTTTCTAAAGAGCCTTAGGTGCCCGGTATTATGATGGAATGTTTCGCCGTAGAATATCCGTTATCAGTTAATACGATTCCTATTGATAGATAATATCTCTTTATCTTTAGGTTAATATGTATGCCCCCTTTGTTACAAGGAAGCTCTTATCGCCTTTCTACGATCAAGCGGTGAATATCTTTGAAGGTATCTACTCCTTAAAAGGGGTAGTATCATGAAAATCTGGATAGTATGAGACCAGAGCGGGTTAGCTTCGGCTCGGGAGATGAGAAAGGGAAGCATACCGAAACGGACACATAAACGAAGACGTGTTGAAGAGGAGAAGACTCCGCATAAGTTCAACAATGTCCCAGTCTGGAGAAAGGATCTTCGCCCGTGGAAAACCGAGAACTTGAGACATTTCCATTCTTTCTTGTCAAGGAACTCTGAGTGTTTGTTGGAACCTCGACGCTGAAGTATCCAAAAGTTAAATTATCTTCTTTTTCGCTCTCCCTCCCTCTTCCTTTCCCTTCTTCATCTTTATTTTCGTCAATACAAAAAAAAAAAAAAAAAAAAGACCAATCCATCATTGTTACATCCTGGTCTCAAATTCTAGAAATTCACTACGAATAGTTTTGTTGAGTTCCTTGCGAAACCTGGGGAAATGCAAGACTTGGTTTGTCTGTTTGGTGAGGTTGATATTCACGGTTCAGTGTGGTGTTCATAGTGGTTGCTCTACCAATATAATGGTCCTCGTCATAATATTATCTTTTTTTTTCTCTTCTAAAATTTCCCTTTCCCCATGCTGTGACCTGCATATAAGCTAAAATGTCCCATCGCTGGAATCTGTGGAGAGAGTTTCACCCAAAGATTGACATGAAGAATGGTTTTGGTTGCTGTGGGGGCGGCGAGGGTTTGTTGACATAGCCAACTAAGGGATAGCGGTGCTGCCTTCGAAGTACGAACTCCTAATCTTAGCTCACTAATTATTGCCCTCTCCGCTCACTGTGCTTCCAGCCACTAAAACAGGCTGCACACTTGCATCGTTTACCGCTTTGTTTCTTTTCTAATTAGTTCCGGCTGAAGATCCTACCATTTCCATTCAAGGACTACCCCTCTATCAAATTGTATCCCTCGTCTGTGCTACTATTCGACGCTATCTCCAACCTCCCTTCGGATCAGCCCTGAATGTCCTCAACCATTACCGTGATTCACCATGTTGACCGTTGAAAATTCATGGGTCAATGTTCAGCAGAAAACCTTTACGAAATGGTCAGTTTCCTTTAGCCGCTCACTGTTGCTTCCCCTCGATCGGAGTCGGCCCCGTGCGTCTATCGGTCCCCCTTGATCTCATCTTGTCTTAATTTGTCTCATCCAATTTTTGGTCCCACTCGGCTGACGCTGTCAATCTTTCAGGCTCAACGATAAGTTGAAGGTTCGAAGACTTTTCATTGAAGATCTAGTATCTGACCTCTCCAACGGCGTGAGTGAGCCCCGCTATCCGATACCTCGATAAGCTTCCCCTTGCCTCTACCAAGACGTCGGAGGTAAAAATAATCGAAAAAGGAGAGGGAGTGAGAGACATGGTGCGCAGAGACTTACACAGCTAACACAGATCATCCTCATTCACCTTCTCGAAATCCTCGGCGGCGAGCCCCTCGGTAAATATGCCTCGAATCCCAGATTGCGCGTGCAAAAGTTTGAGAATGTCAACAAGAGTCTGGACACTATAAAGGGGAGGGGAATTCAGATGACAAACATCGGTGCAGAGGACGTTGTAGATGGTAATAGGAAGATCATCTTGGGACTAATATGGACTCTCATTCTGAGATTCACCATCAGCGATATCAATGAGGAAGGTATGACCGCAAAGGAGGGTCTGTTACTGTGGTGTCAAAGGAAAACTGCATGCTACGAAGAAGTTGAGGTCCGGGACTTTTCCACCAGCTGGAACGATGGCCTGGCGTTTTGTGCCCTTCTGGATATCCATCGCCCTGATTTAATCGACTTCGACGCACTTGATAAAAAGGACCACCGTGGAAACATGAAATTGGCATTTGAAATTGCTGCTAATGAAATTGGCATTCCCGACCTGCTTGACGTGGACGATGTCTGCGATGTCCCAAGACCTGATGATCGGTCGTTGATGACTTACATCGCGTATTGGTTCCATGCCTTCTCCCAGCTGGAGCGAGTCGAGAATGCCGGGAGACGAGTCGAAAAGTTCATCCACAACATGCATGGCGCTTGGGAGATGCAGAACTCGTATGAAAGAAGAATGAAGGAACTTCTGCGCCTCATTAGAGCCCAACGCGAGGAATGGAAGAACGCTTCTTTCGAAGGAACGTACAAGGATGCCAAAGACCAGGCCTATCAATTTTCCTTGTACAAGAAAAAGCAGAAACGACAATGGGTCGCTGAAAAATCCGACCTTGCTGCCCTGTTGGGTAACATCAAAACTAAGCTCAGCACCTACCGTCTCCGGCCTTATGACCCCCCTGCAGAGCTAAGTCTTGAGGTTTGCGACCAGGAGTGGGAATGTCTGACGCGCGATGAGCATGAACGTAGTCAGCTCATCAACGAGACGATTCGAGATATCAAGAATGCCCTACGTCGTTCCTTCGCGGACAAAGCGAATGACTTCGCACTAACTTTGAAGACTCTATCTCTTGCAATATCCGGTCTTGATGGCGATGTAGAAGACCAGTTAGCCCATGTTAAGAGACTCAATGACAACCTTCCTCCCCTTGATGCGTTTTTAGATACTATTGCGGAGATAGACGAGCAGTGTGTGGAAGCGAACATTGAAGAGAACGATTACACAACATATACACTAGATGAACTCTCCTACGAGTTAAGCCTAGTCAAGTCGAGCATCTCCAAGAAGCTAGCTTTCCTTGACAATCAGCTTGTGGCTCGAAACATGACGAATCTGACCCCGATCCAGTTGGAAGAGTTTGAATCAGTATTTAGACATTTCGATCGCGACTCCTCAAACACTCTTCATGAGCTTGAGTTCTCTGCTGCCCTTGCCAGTCTTGGACTAGTATATGACGAGGATGAGATGCACGAGGTATACGTTGAGACGTGTGGCCCAGCTAGACTAGCACAGAACGCTGGTGTTAGCTTCGAACAGTTTATCCGTTTCATGGTCAGTGTGACTGAGGATCAAAACACAGCCGAACAAGTGTTGCAGAGTTTCCGTGAGGTCGCAGATGGCAAGGTATGTTGCAACAGGAGGCTACGTCGCCCTGTTTAGTGCAATCACTGACTATGAATAGCCATATGTCACTGAACTTGATCTTCGACACTCGCTTATTCCCGATGAAGTTATTGACCATCTTGTTCAAACCATGCCTAGGCATGAAGTATTTGACCGAGGTGAAGACCAAAATGAACCCAAGTACGACTACTACAGCTTCATGGAGAAGATGATGGAGAGTGGCAACCGTGGACAGAGTGATGCCGCTTCCAATGGCGGGGTTTAATAAGGTTTCGTATCGCACCATTGGCGTTTTGTCTTTTCTTCACATCCTCTAATACTTTTCTATTGGAAGCTGCTACTGGTGTTCTCTGGAGCTATAGGGAGGGGTATGTCTTGATCGGCGACCACATGGAATATGCATACCGGACTATGACGAGACTTTTGGTGTTCTTGCATCGCATCCTGGATTTACTTTGTCTCTACTCCCTTTATGATGCCTGTTGGCAATTGCTCACATGTACACCACATTGGTGGGGGCAGAAGTAGTTATGGAAATAAACAAAGTATCTATAACGAAAGCTGTAGTGTTAATGAGATGTCTTCGCCATGGCGATTGCCTATGACCGAGTATACGAAATCGCAACCTGTACAGTATTTATTAGGGGCTGCCAGCTCATGAACCTGGCAGAAGGGCATACGCAGCGGAGGAATCACATGAACTGTGATTACTAACTTATAAATTACTAAGATTATCTAAATCAACTATACTAACTGCCTAGATTTCTTTAGGTATACTATCTAGATCACCTACCTTACCTAAATAGGCAGAGCTGCCTATTCGAATAATCTAGAAATATGGAATCCACTGAGTACTAACTAGTAGTATAATGCTTGCTTCGCTTCACTCCGCTGAAAATCACGTGATGATTCATTCCGCTCGAGCTTTCTAGAGCGTGTCTCCGGCCTAGTGTTTCTCTTTCTCCGGCTCACCTTAACCCCAACGTCAACCCTTTCTCCCTTCATCAACTGTGCACGTTTGTACTTTGACTTCTAGGGATTGCTCCGGCTTGACAGCAATTTATTCCGTTTCTTTACTGTAGCGATACCTTTCATGTCCACCATGGACCGCAGCTTGGATGAGATCATTGCGGAGCGTCCTGTAAGTCGTCCGAGTCGCGCCAATTCCAATTCGACCATATCATATTGTCGCCATTCCTTCGATAACCGGTTAACTGACATGTAAAACTTCTAGCAAAAACAAAATCGGGGCGGCCGCCGTCCTCCTCAAGGTCGTCGCCGTGATGGCGTAAGAAAGGTATTTCTACAACTCCGCTATTGCATTCATCGTATATATCTCTTCTCTTGTTTTCATACTAACCGACCTGCCTTCTAAAATAGGTCCTCCCTCCCAACTCTCTTCCGAACCCTCTACGCGCATCTTGAGAAGCATAGTTCGCTGGCCTCGTAGTTGTCTTGGAATAGACATTCGGCCGCGGAATCCGCAGACGATGGAGCAGTTGCCATGATACTTGAGATGATTTCGAGCTGACCTTGTCCTTTTTTGCGACCACAACAGTCTTATAGAGAAGAACGCCCTGATTTAGATTTGTAAATACGCCCTTTCCTTAATCTGCAATTGTGTTAAGTTTGCTGACAAACTTGGATTCGATATTACAGGGATTGGGTACACGACAAATATGAAGACGACAGAGATTGTGCGTTTTGAACCTTACCCGGGCACTTGCCACGGAACCTCTAGTTTTCCATTCTTACCCAATCTGTTCAGCACGCCCATCTCGTGCCCCTCGACGACCACGCGGTGACCGCTATTCCCCGCCACCAGACCAGTATGTCTAGCTTGTCTGCACAATGTTCCGCATGGCGTGTACTAACCCTTTGATAGCGCCCCTACTGGAGCTAAGCTTCGTATTGAGAACCTTCATTACGATATTACAGAAAGTGATCTTGAGGTAAGGATGTCGGTCTTATTAGTTTCTCTTCTAGGCCGTCTAATGGATTTTTCCCCCAGGATCTGTTTAGTCGAATTGGCCCGGTCAGCAACCTATCTCTCGTCTATGACCGAGCTGGGCGCTCTGAGGGTGTCGCTTTCGTTACATATGCACGTACCAGCGATGCGAGAACGGCCATAAGCGAGTTTGACGGTGCGAATGCTAAAGGACAACCTATTCGTGTGACTCTTGTCTCCACAGGTGGTGGACGGCGAGACCGGAATCCCTTTGACAACGTTGAAAGACCTAAGGGTAGCTTGTTTGACCGTGTGGAGCGGCCACGCGATCGTGACTCTCGCAGTCTTAGCCCCGGAAGTGGACATGAAAGTGCTGACGATGGTGCACGTCGCCGTCGTGGCCGCCGGGGAGGTGGCGGACGCTACCGACGTAGCGATGTCTCCAAGCCAGCTCCGGATCATATAGATCGGTATGTTCCTGGGCAGCGATCGCCGGCACGTCGTCCTGCCAACGGACGACGCCAGGGCCAAGGCGAGAGCCGTCGCGCCCCTGCTACTCGACCCAAGAAGACGCAGGAAGAGCTGGACCAAGAGATGGACGATTACTGGGGCACTGCGAACACTGGTGCTAGCACTGCTGACAAAGAGACTGTTCCGGATGAGCCGCAGCAAATTGCGCCTCCGACTACTGCTGCTGCTGGCGACGACGATGTTGACATGATCGAGTAAATCCAATTATCAACACTTGTAACTAGTTAATACCTGGGTTTCGAAAATTTCGCGTCAAATTGGGAAGGATAATCAAATGTTATTATTTCTTTACACAAAGGCCCGTCTATGCTTAAGTCATAATAGTTCGAAGCCATTGACCATGCAACTCGACTCATACAAATATATAGAATCAACCAAGCTGATCTCTAATCTCTCTGTTATTTTCATTAAAGATGCTGCCGGGGAAAAGCTATTTCAAGCCAATAAAAGCGTACACCTAAATACAAACTAGGCATAGCATAATAGCTAAGCACCAAATGCGATATTTTCAGATGACCTCCGAGGTCCATACTTCCGTATCTGCAGAATAATAGGCAGAGGGGCGTTTCACAGATATGGTGTTACTTTCACCGCCATAAACCATATGGCTCTCTACATGCCTTCCACAATTTGATTGTGCCATCCTCGCTTCCTGTGCCATAGAGTTTGCCGTCGGGCGAGAAACTAACAGACCAGATCGGGCCGTGGTGGCCTTTTTGGACTTCTGTTGAGGTATTAGTTCAGCTTATATATCAATGTGGATTAGAATGAGTGGAGAGAGAACATACCCAGCTCTTCATCCGTCCGGAGGTCATAAACTCGCGCCCAAGTGTCGTCTGCACTTCCGGTTACCAGTCGACCGGTTTCATTGTTGACAGCGGCGCTAGCGACCTCGTACCCGAAGTCAGATTTCTTGAGCAGGCGACCGGGGCTTGAGCCATCGAATAGATAGACGGATTTGCCCGCGGCGACTGTAAGGATACCGGGGTCATTGGGACGGACGGCCAAGGTATTCAATTCACAGCTACCAATGGTACCCTCGACGGTGTACTCGATGACGGGATGGCGAGAGCGCAGATCCCACCATCTGATTTTACGATCTTCCGCGGCTGTCGTGAGGATATTGTAGTCCTGGTTCCAGACGATGGACTTAATGGTTCCACCGTGGACACCCGGACCGATCTCATAACTGGTTACTCCGGTGCCGTTTTCCCCCGCTGATGAGGGGAAGGTCGGTGAGGATGAGTTGCTACCACTGTTGCTGCGGGATAGGTCGAAGATGCGAAGCTTCTTTTCAAAGCCGCCTGTGGCTAGAACCTGGGGAGATGGCTGCATGGGAAATGCAACTGCCCGGACGATGTGGGAGTGTTGTAGTGTATGAAGACATTCGCCTGTATGAGTGTCCCATACTTTTCTGCAGACATGCATTAGTGGTTTGCTACAGCTGCCGGGGGGGAAATGAGCTTCCCCAACTCACGCGGAGAAATCGGCCGCAGCCGTTGCTGCTATGGTGGCATCTGTTGAGAGTCTGGCTTGCCAGACTGCGCCTTTGTGGCCGAGAAAAGTTCCAATCCTGTATTGTGGTTAGTGATCTTTGTCATGGATGGGAAGAGATAGCCCTGAAGGATACGTACCAATCACCGGTGATACCGTCGCGGAGCATGGGGTTGTTGTCTGCAAAGGATTAGTTTAACGCATTTCCGCTTGGGCAATGATCAGGGACATACCCTTGCAAGCGGATATAAGGTAATACTGGTCATCTTCCACTGTGGAAGAAAAGTCGATATGCGGCACGGGACGAGAGTGTCCGTGGCAGGTCAAGGGGACCACTTTTGTGAGGTCTGCGGGATATGAGTAACCATCGATGGTGGAGGTTTCAAGCAGTTATGACATTACCTGACGCCATTTCAGCTTTCAATTGGAGGTTGTAAATTGACAATTTCTCGGTATTAGAGTGGTTTCATTCAATTCAATTCAATTCTGTGCGGCCGTTATGTAATGATCTGATGTTCAAACGCGGAGACGACGAAACCCGTCCAAGAACAGAAAGAATGGAAGAAATGAGAAGAGCTTGAAAACGACGTGGATATGAGTTTATGTAGAAGTACAGAAGAAAATTCGTCAGTCTCGTCAAGTCATCAACTCAAGTACGGCGGGGTTGTAGTAATAATGATTGAGAAATCTTGGGTGGAGGAAATAAAGTAATTAGAGGGAAAGAGAAGGAGAATTCAGTCAACAGAACTGTCCACCGCAGCAAACCAATCCGCAACCCTTCAAGAGAATAAAGAAAAGGGGAGACCCCGACCTAAAAGGAAGAGAGCTTGAAGTCGCGAGGTGAACTTCTTTTTTGATATTCGTTCAACCCACCGGCATTTGTTTCAATTGTCCGACACACCGCACTAAGGCCGATCAGGACTAATGCTAGTGCACGTGAGGCGTGTAGCTGGACCCACACTTGTTTGCCCAACTTTAATCATGTATTGGAACACAAAACACTTTTCAATATCATTGCGCTCAGAATACTGGACAGCAAGGTATGCCAGTCTCCCTCATTTCTAGCCACTGACAACATTTCATACCACCTCCTGTTAAATCTGCAGACAACAGCTCAAGGAGCGATATACTCACCGCCAATTCCTTCGATAACCGATTATGCCATTTTAATGCAGGCCACTATGCTAACCGTGTCCAAAATGGCATATTATAGGGAAATTACCGCTGTGCATCATCATATGGTGTAAAATCTATCTTCGTGGCTTATTGAAGTGGTCAAGCCTGGCTACAGAACAAGTGCTAGTGAACGCATGTACTTTTGAATCGATTGTACAAGTCCACCAAGGCGATGTAAACAGTCGGATAGCCATAGTATTGGGTGTCAATGACCTCAATGTAAGCCGGAGCCATATCTCCTCGCATTTATTGCCCTTATATAATCATCGCAGGTAGCTGTACTAGATAGCAGCACTTGTCCATCCTTGTAGGTAGGTTCCATGCTTCCAGCTCCTTCCTCTTTGTGATGAATAATACTATTCGATACCTCCCCATCATTGGTTCACTATATACCCTTGCTTTCCCCACTTAGTCGTTTCTGTTGACCACGTATACATACCTACTACTAGTAGTAGTAGATAGCAATCGCTGCTGCAGATCTCTCTGTTGTACCGAGGATCTAAACAGCATACGCATCGAAACACTAGATCTGGTATGCCTCTTGAAACAGTAATGGTGGAATATTATCATGCCAGTCCACAAAGAAGTCTAGGGGCGACGTGTACAACAGCTCTCCAGCCGCCGATCCATGGCCAATGGGATAATCATAAACACCCGCTAGCTATTTATTCATTTGTTCGTCAGTTGCAGAGGTCAACCGACCCCAAGGCACGCGGCATCTCCAGGTCCTTGACTATTGGTAGCCCGCCAGTTTTTGACCGCGGGCAAGGTCGGTTAACCAAGGTCCCGGGTTAGCATATATGCGATCAGAATAGCAGAAAAGTCTCCTCGACTCAGACGACCCAGGGATCTTGGAACACAGCAGCGTCGAGAATATGCATTTATTGTGAGTGGCCATCAATATCTGGCTAGAGCCAACACATAGCTCGCTTAGATAAAAGTTGAAGGATCAGATTGCCGCCCAGAAAATTTTTGACCGTGGTGGAAGCCTTTGTCAAGTGACCTAAGTAGACCCCAGTCATCCCATGCGATGTCGAGTAGCAATTCAAGTGACATGCGAACTGCATTCCTGTGTTGCATGAGAGCTCCATTTCCGTTCGATACAAACAACGCGATATCAGAAATGCACACAAAACTCACTACAAGAATTAAATCTGATATCAATAAATTGTTGTTTAACTGCGCAATAGCAAGTCTATGTCCCACACTGTGATCATAAACTGACAAAGCCACTGTCTCACACAAAAAGCACCTCTCTTTCCCCGGGTCTCACGCCCTCTCTTAGATCTGGCATTTCAAGCAATGTAGCCCCCGTTCACATTATCCGCAGAAGGATGAGCATCGTTCCCCTGTATCCTGGCATTCTCAACATTGTTCGCCTTGTTGATCGGGGTAGTATTGCTTTCAGCACGTTTGTTTGACTTATCAACAGACACTTCGTTTGCAGGAATCTATATACGTGATTAGTAATTCTAGAATATAACACTACTCGATTTCCGTACTTTCAGAGTAGGTGCAGCTAACGCAGAAGTAGCTAAGAACAAGCCGGCAAGAATACTGGGCTGCGTTGTTGGATGTTCCATTATAATCGGTAGTCGCTGTACTCTGAAATACACGTTTAATAAAGGCATAGATATGCGGCTGCGTCGTAGATAAAGAGAGTTACAATGCTTGTAGGCAAAGGACTTTTTCTAATGCTCTCCGGGCTATATACTTCCTTCTATTTTAGACGCCAACGGTTGCAGCTAAGCCCTCTCGAGCCTTCAGATAGGGGCTATCTAAATCCAGAAACCAGGAGATGAGCTCAATTTTTCGTAGATGATCTCGTTTGATCGCCACTTTCACCTTAAAACAACACCGACCAACATACATGTACTCTATCAACTAGACTAGATGCACTATCGTATATATAGACAACAATTGACAGGTTATACCCCAAACGAAGCATTCGCCACGCTCGATCCTAGAGCTATTTACAGATAGTTTCTAAACCTTGCATAGGATCTACTTACTAAATGATCTACATTTAACTATTTAGCGCTAGAATGCTCCAGTAGGGCTGTTATACGTATCATATATGGAAATACAACAGGAGCTGCAGTTCATACACCTGTATCCCATAGTCAATTAAGCATTGCATACCCTGAGAGTCCTCATATTAGTTTATTACAACTATCTGAAACGCTTATGCACGGTGGGCTTCTATACCTGCCATATCTCCTCAACAAAGCCCAAATTTGAGAAGGTCCTCGTTGAGAGTTCTAAGGATCTGCAGGTCTGTGGTCCCATTCTCCATAATCCCGCAAGCTTCTTAAGGTCCCAGAGCCAATATCAAATACACTACATTGAGAGTCAAATGGAAGATCGTCAATATGCGCGAGCATAATTCTTGTAATGTGGCAAAAGTGATTCGTAAGTGAGTACTAAGTACATGAGGATGAATTATCGCCTGCGAAGTTGTGAGTTGTTGTCTGGCAGGATACTATGGCAAGCTTTCGTCAAGCATAAATATATTATATATATATATATCTCTTGGTTTCACCCGCCGAAACGGGGGTTGTTTTATGGAGATTTGTCGAAACCTACGGTTTGGTGTAGCTAAGTCTATGTATGGAGCGTTCTCTGGTCCTGAGTATAGCAGAGCTCATGATATTTATTAATGTCATTCATGTATTGTTTAGCTGGCCCGGCTTCCAACTGGAGACCTTGGTGGCTAAAAGCAGCAATCAGCTGGTGCCTGGGCTGACCCACTGGTCTAGGCTTTGAATTTCTAGCAGCTTCTACTCCACCGCCCACGTGACTGGGACTCCGCGGATCTTATTGTTCATGTCCCTTAGTAAGTACTAGTATGAGTGACTAACTAGTTCCCTGGTACGTTAGTAACCAAGAGACCAGCACAGCAACTCTCACTCAGGTCAATCCCTCCGTCTCGTTATAGGACCTGGTCATTTTTCCGACAATATTATCTTTGCACAGGTTCTCTCACTTGCCTTCTCCTAGCCCTCTGGGAGTGAACTTTATGTATGCCTGACTTCAAGATCTCCGCTTCTCTGGAGGGCCACAGCGATGATGTAAGAAGGTCCCCGACTGTTGATGTCCACAACAAGTGGTATCTCAGTTATTTTTTTTGACAACTGACCATCTCTAACGATGTTCGCAGGTTCGTGCTGTGGCCTTTCCCAACACGAATGCCGTGTTTTCGGCTTCTCGCGATGCGACTGTCCGACTCTGGAAGCTTGTATCTACCCCGCCCCCAACATACGACTACACCATCACATCCTCCGGCTCCGGTTTTATCAACGCCATAGCCTATTACCCACCCACCCCCGAATTTCCTGATGGTCTGGTATTTTCCGGAGGCCAGGACACTATCATCGAGGCAAGACAACCTGGTAAGGCGTCGGATGACAATGCGGATGCTATGCTTCTAGGGCATGCCCACAATATCTGCGCTCTGGATGTGTCACCCGAAGGCGGCTGGGTTGTTAGTGGAAGCTGGGACTCTACGGCTAAGTTATGGAAACTTGGGAAATGGGAGTGCGATGTAACCTTCGAGGGTCACCAGGGGAGTGTCTGGGCGGTGCTTGCATATGATAAGGATACAGTTATTACCGGTATGTATCATATTATTGGCTAGGTATACCGTATGACTCCTATGCTAATACGCCTATAGGCTGTGCAGATAAAGCTATAAGGATCTTTAATTCCTCAGGAACACTTTTGAAGACTATCCAAGATTCTCGGGATGTTGTCAGGGCCCTTTGTAAGGTTCCTGCGTCGAATCCCACTGGTGCACAATTCGCGTCGGCCGGCAATGACGGTGTAATCCGTTTGTACACCATAAAGGGCCAGGTAGTCGCAGAACTTCATGGCCACGAAAGTTTTATTTACTCTTTAGATGCATTACCGTCGGGTGAGTTGGTGAGCTCCGGGGAAGATCGCACAGTGAGGATCTGGAGCGGCACGCAGTGCGTGCAAACCATCACTCATCCGGCGATCTCGGTGTGGGGAGTTGCTGCTTGCAAAGAAAACGGTGATATTGTCACAGGTGCCAGCGACCGTGTGACTCGGGTCTTCACCCGGAGCGAAGAACGGGTAGCAAGCGCTGAGGTAGTGGAGCAGTTCGAGAAATCTGTTAAAGAGTCCTCGATACCCGAACAACAAGTAGGAAAAATCAATAAGGAGAAATTACCGGGGCCCGGGTTTCTTCAGCAGAAATCTGGCACGAAAGATGGCCAGGTGCAAATGATTCGACAAAATGATGGCAGCGTAACCGCCCATACATGGTCGGTGGCGTCGCAGGAATGGGTGGCCGTGGGCACGGTGGTCGATTCTGCTGCCAGCAGTGGAAGGAAGACGGATTATCTAGGCCAGGATTATGACTATGTCTTCGACGTTGACGTCGAAGATGGGAAACCGCCTCTCAAGCTCCCGTACAATGTCTCTCAAAACCCGTACGAAGCTGCAACGAAGTTTATTCAGGACAATGAACTGTCCATGAACTATCTTGATCAAGTGGCACAATTTATTGTCCAAAACACACAGGGTGCGACTATTGGCCAGTCTACCCAAGGATCAACTCCTGCTGGCGCCGACCCTTGGGGCCAGGAGAACCGTTACCGTCCTGGGGAAGCCTCCGCTCAACCTCCTGCTCAACCACCTTCTGTTCCTGAATCCCGCCCCAAAGTTCTTCCCCAGAAGACATACCTTTCTATCAAAACCGCCAACTTGAAGGTGATTGCGAAGAAGCTACAAGAAATCAATGAGCAGCTTGTGTCGTCTGGGTCGAAGGAGCTATCCCTGAGCCCCCCTGAAGTAGACACAGTCGTCTCACTATGCAATCACCTGGAGACCCCAGAGAGTCTCAAGCAATTCCCTACTTTGGAGACCGGACTTGGATTACTGTTTAAAGTTGCAACGGGCTGGCCTGTGCCAAATAGACTCCCAGGTCTTGATCTCCTTCGTTTATCTGCGGCTGCAACACCCGTGACTGCTACCGCAAACTACAACGGCCAAGACCTTGTAACTGGCATCCTATCAAGCGGCATATTTGATACTTCTTCGAACGTCAACAATGCAATGCTTTCAGTCCGAATGCTGGCCAACCTCTTCGAAACCGGTCCTGGCCGACAGCTGGTTATCAGTAGGTTCGATCAGGTCATACCCGCTGTAAAATCGGTACTGAGTAGCAGCGGTGCAACACCAAACCGCAATCTTACCATTGCAGTTGCAACTCTGTACATTAATGTCTCTGTTTATCTCACCTCTGAAGGTAGAGGGTCTGCCCCAGAGTCTTCTGAACGAGGTCTGGTGCTCCTCGCCGAATTGGTGCAGATGATCGTCGGTGAGAAGGACTCCGAAGCGGTATATCGGAGCCTTGTCGCCTTGGGCACATTGATCAAGGGGCTTAGTGAGGAAGTCAGGAGTGCTGCTACAGATGTCTACGACCTTAGCCAAGTCATAGGGAATGTGTTGACCTCGGGTCCCGGGAAGGAGCCTAGGGTCAAGGGCGTCGTCGGTGAGATCAGGGAGTCGTTGCAATAAGGCAAAGCTTAAACGGCCTTTTTCGCGCATATGATGCACTCCAGGATTAGACACAATCATCTTTAATGATAGCCATGCATCTTACATTATTAGACTCAACAACGTTAGGCAATCCACACACGCTGTACATATGAGCTAACCTCAACGAGTCACGTTGGCCTTCTTCTAGACAGCAAAACATTAAATACAATCGTAATAGATATTTTTAGAGCCTTCCCTCGGCACCAACCCCAACCTCCACTATTTGATCAATACCTGGGTAACTGGGAAGGTCCAGGCCGTACTTCTCTGTGATACTCTTCGTCAAAAACCGACCACCGAGGAAATGCCTCCCCTGGTAATACTTCACACACGGTTTTGGGGCTGTTAAACTGATTAGATACTCTGGCATAAACTTAGACCCGGGGCCTTCCTTAGGTGGGCCATCCTCTATATCCCAAGAGCTGGGCGCATCGATGCTTAGTACAGGCACCGAAGCCGCCTCGATCTGAGAGACGATGGTCGGGAAAGGGTCGCGGAGGGGACCACCGAAAGAAAAACCGAAAATTGCATCAACTAGGAGATCAGCAGATTTGATTGCGACGGGGAAATCGGTAATGAATGGCACGGAGAGGTTGTCGAGTTGGGTTTTGAGACGCTGTTGATGGGTTTAGCTTTGGCTGCAGCCAAGTAGATAGGTTGGCGCACGTACCTGGTAAAGTTCGTTCTTGCCCTCTTTCGGATAATAAACGGATGGCTTATAACCATACTGAGCGAGGTGGCGAGCAGCGACTAGACCATCTCCCCCTATTATTTCCGTTAACCTATGTCCCATCCCGGTGGTCTTGATGTTAACTTACCGTTGTTGCCGGGGCCGCAGACAACTAGGACGTTCTTCCCAGCACTTGGAGGATGTACGCGGTAGACTAGATAGGATTCTGTGAGTGGGATGTACTGTTTGTCCAGTTTCTTTCAATTCGCGTCTCACCTGCTTGCGAAACAGACAATCCCGCGAGTTCCATCAGTTGGTCCAGGGACCATCCTCCGATCTCCATCAGGTCTTTGTCTAGGGATGCGGCATCTTTAGAAGAAATAGCCTATATGAAGAGCTTAATTTTGATATATGATTGGAATCGTGTAATAAAAGGAAGCGAACCTTCAACGACATCCTGGCGGTTCTACTGTAGTATCGAATTGAGGCGGGGAACGGATACCGTTTGAGTACTGCCAATCCAGAACGAAACATATATCTCTTAATTGAGAAGACGGGACAATAGATTGTAGAACTCAATATTCTCCAGCTAACTAATAAATCTGAGCAACGAACAATTGTCTAACTCAAGCACACGATGGAGCTCAACTCAATAAATAACCCCAAAGAAGCTGTGGTGGGATCTGATTACATCATACCTTATCATCCCATACACCGCCTAGCACTAATCCGCATTCTGTAATTCCGGATCAACGTATTCTCCGGCAATCTGCGAAATTGCCGCGGAAGTCTTGCTCTCCTGCTTCAGATCCAGCGTATAGACCTTCTGTCGGACACTCACTGCTGCCGGTCAATTCCATCCAGTCTTCAAAATGGTCGTCCGTATTCGCCTGGCCCGATTTGGGAACAAGCACCAGCCATTTTACAACATTGTCGTTGCGCAGGCACGGTACGTTTGTCTACGTTTTTCTTATCCTTTTTCCTTCCGAGTCTAGACTTTACTCCATGCGAACAAGCCAAAGTGACCAACGAGAGGAGTCAGCTGTGTAGCTAATATAACGTGAACACTACAGAAGTGCTCGTAACTCGAAGCCCTTGGAGGTCATTGGCACTTACAACCCCGTCCCGCAACGCCCTACAAACCTCTCCGACGAGGAAGCCCGCAGCGCAAGACCATACAAGGAAGTATCACTTGATCGCTCCCGAGCCAAGTATTGGATCGGTGTTGGAGCGCAGCCCAGTGATGGTGTGTGGCGGTTACTGAGCCTGGTATGTGAATGATGAGTCTAGAATACGAGGTCAGACTGTGATAGATGGTGTGAACTGACGGTAATGGGATACAGGCTGGCATCGGCGATGGCAGAACGAAGACACAGAACTAAGGTCTGTTTCGTTCATACCCGAATTTCTTGTATTGATTTATGCACTGTTATCCGATCTTTGTGTTGGTGATTGAAGGGGATGGCCTATTTGACTCGATAAAATCTCGAGTGCTACGTTTTGGCATTTTCCATGGCGTTATTGCGTGAACCTTTTTCTAAATATATCGGTTCAATAACCAGTCCTTTTACCTGTACATTATGTGAGCTGATTGTGTTTAATTGTGGCATGAGAGAATCGCACTCGTCGATTATGGATTGATAACAATAAGTTGGGAGGGCTATGCTACGCCATGAGCGGTTGATCTTCCCTGCCCGTATGCAGGTTAAGTCTGGTGCACGTTCAATTTCGCGGATTGCCGGCAGAACTTGTGGGCTAGAGTACGCCTTGGGCCTATCGGGGATTCCACCGGCATTGCAAGATGAAACATGGGAGGTATAGGGAGCCGCTCAGTGGTCAAAAGTGTACGGAGTACTCCGTACAATGCGCCGCATCTCTAGGTAGCCTCTTAATAGATCGTCGACTTGAAATTGGCGTGTTCACAATTAGTCCTTGTCTCGGGTTTGTGGTGTTGAAGAACCACGGTGATTTATACACCCCCGAATTCAAGCCCTATTGTCTTACATATCTCGAAAATGAGAAACCTACGCACTAAATCTCTGTGGCAAGTCCTTGTATACACCCTTGTACGCGCTAACGATGTGTCTACTGCTTGTAAGTTTCCTCCACATTTCGCGTTGTAATGAGCTAAAGTTGATACCATGATATCAGTGGAAATTATGGCTGCATAAGCATCATTGGATGTGGTCAATATCTACTTTTGCTGTCCTGGAGACAATCGCTCCTGGTATGCAATCAATGATAGTCTATATAAGCGTCATAATGAGCGACATATAATACAGATGAGACAAGGATGCCGCCCATCTCCACCTATCGCCTCGAGGTGTGCCATGATCACACCAATACGCGAATGTACTTGGAAAGAAAAAGAGGCAGCGAGCCAGCATCTGACATCATCCCAGTGAGTCACCGTAGGCACGATCGAACCGTATAATTGCCGTAGGCAGCGCTGAACATGGATGCAGGTTAGTAATCTTCCTAGAATACGTACACAATCTGTTTAGCGCGCGTATTTGAAATGCTTCTGTTGGTGCTAGACTTCGTGCTTCGTCCATCCACCCACCCACCCCTAGATTCGCATCGGCTTCTCTGCCCACCCCCTCTTCTACAGACCAAGTTGGAAGTGCCGGGCATGAACCAATTGTTGCGAGGAGCCCGGCGTCCAGACACCATGGAGGCAAAGGTGATTGGTCAGCGTTAGGAAATTCCAGATGGAAGATCAGCAGTAGAGTTTGAGCTTTCCCACGGATTCATGGCAGCCACTAGGCTTCGCTCTTTGGCACAGGTATCCTCTGCAATTGTTGTTAGTTTGATGGGAGATGGGGGGGCTTAGAGTTCCATCCGTCGACTCTTACGGTCGTAGTTTATCTCTGGCTGGGGTAAGGGAATTTATCATTTGGGATTAGTTGGTTGTGGTCACTATGAACAACGGTCGGGAAGGTTTTGTCTATTTTACATTGATTATTATTATTATTCTTTTTCCCTTGGGTAATTCCCCCTAAGCCCATTCCGAGTCTCCTGCACTCTTTCCTCTCGTCACATGAGGAAATCCATCCACGGACCAGACGAGACGACATGGCATTGACCGATACAGAGGTACACATAGGGTACTGCATGGTGCCGACTGATGACGAAACTAAAGGAGCGCACATTAAACCTGTTCCTGGTCAACTAAGCTGCCAAATGTCGAGTAATTCTCTGGCGCGATCGAAAGAGCTATGCGCGATGTAGCAGTCATCGGCATCCGCGGTCCGAGGGAGCTTGAATGAATGTACATACGTAGAGCAACATTTTTCTGGTCAGCTGGAGGTTAACTAGTGTACCCCATATTGGCCGACTTTGGTGTTTATTGTCCTCGGAGAGTATCCTTGGAAGTCAAGGGGCAAGCTGACTCGTAGGTTATTGGTACTGATAAGGAAGGAGAGTGACTCCGGCTGAATGCCATCAATTCAGTGGACTAACTATGAGTGGGTATGCCTTTTGTTGCAAGGTATGCGGTACCTGAGTCAACCATTCAGTTCTAGTAAACAATAGAACCTTAAAATCGGGGGAAAAGAGAATAAAAAGGGAATGTGAATACGGACGGAAGAAAAATAAGCCAATGCTAAATTATCGTTAATATAATTCAATGTAGAAGGAATTTGTCCCTACACTCATTCGGGTATGGTCGTAGGTACACAGTATCTATCGAGGAAACGCTTCGGGCCTCTATCCACGTCCTTTCCCCCAAAACACACGCACTAAACGTTCGCATCCGGAATACTCAGGCAATGTTTGCGTAGTGGTAGGTAGCCTTAGGCTTGCTGCACTCGGTAAATCATGCTGCAAAATCAGGATATGACAGTGCCCACTCCAGGGGCCGGCCAGGACTAGACACTGGATCTATTTTAACAGAAGGCTTTCAGGGTCGATCGACTTCATACCAGTGCTCACAATAGCGCGTCGTGTCAACTGAATCGTCGGGTCGCGCATCTGGTGTTTAGCGGCTTCGATTGGACAGCCCTTTAGTTAGCGTTCTTAGTCACGACGTCGCTGGTGATTAATTCCTTGCTTTCTTGGGTTTAGTTCGGCGAGTGTACTTTTACTCACTCAATCTTGTCCTGGAACGGAGTCAGACTCGATCCGTGGACCAAAAGGACGCACTGCCGCCCCCAGTACATTCAACTGACACCATCGTTCCCTCCCAGTTCCCTATTATTCATTCATTTCATTGTTATTGGGGAAAAGACCGTTCCGGACTTTGCAACGGGACAACTCATTTCTGGTTTCTTACGATCGTTCTCTGTTATTCCTTATCAACCTTTTCTTTTTCATTTTTTATTTTTCCCTTATTACCCATTCATATTCCAACTGTCATTTCGTTCCCCTGTGAAATACATATTTTCATATATATATCATTCTTTGATTCTGTGAAATTACCACCAGGTAACGGCAATACATACTATACTCTATTCCGTCATCCAGTGTCCGTAGGTACAGACTGTACCACTGGAGAGAACCTGTTACCAGCTTTACTTACTGCCACCCCTCTCCGGCCTCCCCCCCAAAACCCAATCTAACTTTATCCTTCCCCCGAACTCTCACACTTCTCTCCTGTCCTTTCATTGCTCCATCGCCCTTCTCCTCTTCCACCTTTACTCTTTCTTCCCACCTCCCCCCTGATACGATTCTTTCTTCCCACCATCGCCTTAACTATCTTTTCATCCTCTAGCCACTCCCTCTCGTTTCTCTTTCCCTTCGCATTTGCTTCGTCCGTCTATTCCCGTCGTGCGATCATTATTCGTCTCCTTGTCGGTTGATCGGTCTACTCGGCCCGCTGTCGCATCGCTTCTTCACAATATTCACGATCCGTTCGTCCTCGACTCGCCTTGGCGCATCCCAACGACGAATAAATGAATTGATTATTGTCACTGTCACTGTGGATCACATTTTCAGGTTAAATAAACTTATAATCTGTGACGCACTTCTCAGCGTTAGGCACCTGTCACCTGTTGCCTCCCGTTGCCCACCTCCCCTTACCTGGAGAACCTAATCCTACCGTTATCGCTCGTGGGATTTTGTCGATCCATTTAACAACTGGGATCATCGATCCGCGAGGTATGAGTGGCAGTTCGAATCAGTCTACCCGTACGAGTCCTGGGTCCTTGAGTACCACTCATCGCACGCCGTCCGTGTCGTCGGGCGCGTCGCCTCCACATCAGTCGCTTCAATCCTCTCAGGCGCCTTTAACGGCCCAGAATGCGATGTCGACCGACGTGTACACTTCATCCACATCGCAGGCGTCAACATCACTAGGTCCCACCTTTACTTATCCATTCACACCTCTCGGTCCGCCGTCGGCCTTCGATAACATGCCTGCCGCCACCATGCGCCTAAGCGATGCTGATCGGTCGGCGCAGGGCCTCAACGGCTTCATTCGACCCGGAACAGGCGGTGCGATCCTAATGCGAAAACTTCCGAAGAGCACTAGTCTCGAGCTGTTGCGCAGCATGCTTCTCTTTGCTAAAGATCTTGTGGATATTGAGTTTGAACAGAACAGCCCTCCCGAAGATAACGGGTATGTGAGTGCAGTCGCACGATTCAGTACGGTCGCGGCAGCTGAAGAGGCGCGGGCTTTGCTCGATGGCAAGCCGAACTCTAATAATGATGCGAACATGATCGTGGAAATGTATAATGGCCCTGTTGGCTCAGCTCTGGGGGGACCCAGGCGCAATACAATTGACCACACCGCGACGCGTAGCCTATTAGGGGGTGTTACGTCTAATGGACATTTGTCGCGGCATTCATCCCGCTTTAACGGTACTTTTCAGAGCCTGGAGAAGCTGACGGTGGCGAACGCATCCAACTCGTCGGCCAGCGATACCCTACCTCCTGAATCAAGTTCGCGCATCCATAGCCTTTTCTCGCCCCAGTCCCCGATCGGAAATGGTGTCCATGATCTGCCGCGCGTCAGTGGTAAGTCAATGATTGATCAGGACCTCGACGAAGATACGGGTGAGCTTCTCAAAGATCCCGTGGGCTATGCAGAGAACGGGCACTCCGGTTCTGTTTCCATCCCCCGTCGCTCAACCAATCCCCAGTTCCCCACGAATCAGTTTGCCAACTTGTCACTGGCGACCAGTCTGTCTTCGCCACCGTTACCGAATTACGCTCCTGGAGGTTCGGCCCATATGGGAATCCCTGCCCCCTCGACCGCATATCCCCAGTCGATGACCAACAACTTGGGTGGGAACCATGGGCTCCCTTACAGTAATCCACATACGCCTCGTCACAGTTTGCCTGCCGCAAACCCGAACGACATGAATCCACCTTGCAACACTTTGTATGTGGGCAACCTGCCACCGGACGCGTCGGAAGAGGAGCTAAAAGCTCTTTTTATGAAGCAGCGTGGATACAAACGCCTCTGCTTCCGCAATAAGCAAAACGGACCCATGTGCTTCGTGGAGTTCGAGGACGTGGGCACAGCCGGCAAGTCCTTGAACGAACTGTATGGCTACAAACTTTCCAACAGCATCAAGACCGGTATTCGCCTTAGTTTTTCGAAGAACCCCCTGGGAGTTCGTTCTGGGCAGCCGGGTTCCATGAGTGCATCTAATAATGTTGCATCTCAAGGTGCAGTTTCTGGAGGTAGTAGCCTTGGTGGCATGCATAACCATATGTTCTCTACTGTCAGCGGGCCTCCTCCGGGTCTTTCAGCCCCTCCAGGCCTAGTGCCACCACTGCAGTTGCGAAACAACGGAGCCGTGCATCCCTCTGGCCATCCCCACGCGCCAGTACCAAACAACGGCTCCTTCCACCCGAATACCGGCCTAGGGATTCGGACAAACCATATAAATTCCATGATGTCCCCTACCACCCCACTCTCCGGAGGGGTCCCTGGCGGTGGCTCAGGACCGAACATGGGAGGATTTAATTCTTATTATCCCGACTACATGATGGGTCGGTAGAAAGATGCAGCATATCGTGGAGATAATGTCCGACATGTTTGATGACGATCACTGGGTTTCTGGCGCATTGGGGATTTGATTTGATATTTCACGAGCTAGATTAGCATTTGGAGGCTCCCCTTCCTCCTGGGAGTAAGGAACATGGGACTCTGGCTTCTATAGCTTGCTTGTCGTTTTCGCTTCTTCCTCCCTCATCCTCCTTTCGTTTCCTTGCAATGTACCTGAACAACACGGGATTGTGGGTCTTCCATTACTATTTTCTTCTTTTGGGGGTGCATTATCGTCTTGACAGTTGATTGATTTTTCTTTTTCTTTTTTTTCTCTTTTCCCCCCCCTTTATACCTTGCTGACAAGTGGCTCCGTGTTTGTTATTCCCCTGTTGTTGTGTTTCGTACACATTCATACCCTGTGCTGTACTGCGATTTCTGAATTATTGATAATAGTGTTGTTCGAGGAGTTGTCTCAAGACGAGCTTCGTCTGTGGTCAATCAGTGGCATCGAGTCCATGTTGCATTCATTCATCCGGCGTCACTGTCTGATTCAGAGGGGTTCAGCAATGCTTTTCTTTCTACATGGATGGGTTATTGTCACTTTGTCCCTTGGGTTTACGAGGAATACCATCCCCCCTCTCATTTTTACTTACCTTCATGAATGCCTGCTTGCTTGTTAGGTCAAGGAAGTAAAGCTCTCCTATTGAAACAAAAACAGAAACAAAACAAAAAAAAAAGAGCGGCATGATACTGGGTTTCAGCTCATTATTCCCATCCCATGTTATGATAAAGGTCTGCGACGGTTACATGAAAACACCCATTGTGAGAGGCGTTCTTCACGGGCTATACACTGAGATACATTTCTGGGATCCTTTACGTCCGGCTTTGGCCAGTTGATTTGTAGCGGATTGCTCTTTGCTCTTCATTTAACTTGCATTCTTGCGAGCAGCGTGGTGCCTTTTATTGTTGAATTAGGGAGCATATCTGGGTTTTTCTTATCCGGTTCTTTCAACCTTCATTTACACTGGCAGTTGGGTGGAGGGAAAGAGGCGTACCTACATCGATTTTTTATCTTCATTCCGCGGGAATTTGCTCTTCGTGTACTTGATACATTCAATGAACTTGTAATCGCTATTGCCAACGTGTCAACTAAGAATCATTACAATAAGTCGTGGGTTTAATTATAGTAAGAACCATGGGTTCCATGAGCTATGCACATATGTCCAAGTTGAGTTAGGCCCGTTGGTACCTATCACGTGATCACTCCGCGCGAAAAAGTTTCTTCCTCGTCCTCCGTTTGATCTGTTGACATCTATCCTCTATACCACCTACAACCCCCTCAACAGACACCAATTGGGCTAACCTGAATTGATGCAAGCCCATTGTGACCTGATACCCTCTTTGTTACTTAGATAGTGTTGTCTTATACCCCGTTCACCATGCCACCACGAGTACAGAATCAGCTCGTGACCAACTCTCTCCTACCCTACCTCTCTTCCTTCACCTCTACCTCCACAATCTCCAAGATCCCTACCCAATGTTCTTCCTCATCAATTCCATCCACATCTCGGCGGACGTGCCGTCCCTTCTCTTCGACCGTGGCCTCTCAAACGAGACTTCGCAATGAGATGTTCACTTGGCTGAACGGTGAAGGCGCCGCTCTGAAGAACTACATTCCCGGGTCAACCAACTATCTCACACAAATCAAGGAGAGAGATGAACAACCTACCGGACGGACCCGCCCGTTCCCATTAAACCAGAACTTTGTCAGCGAGTCTATCTTGAGTGAAGAGCTGAGGCACGAGATATACGACCGCGTCGTAAATCAGAAGAAGAGTGTCAGAGCTGTCAGTGTAGATCTGGGAGTCGACATGCGGAGAGTCGGTGCTGTTGTGAGGTTAGTTGAGTTAGAAAAGCGTCAGAAACAACAGGTATGTGTTCATCTCTTACTCATTTCCCTCTCCGACCCTGCTCAGGTCCCTTCACCACAATGCAATGATGAGACAATTATAAAATCGATTAGTCTTTATGACCCGGTCTAACCGACCGGGAATGGTTACAAAGCCTAATAACTGATTGCATCCAATTCCGCTTAAAATATTCTACATTTCAATTGTCGGACTGGATCTTTACTAATAAATCAAATCTCAGGGTAAATCACTAGCCTTGCCATACGCTCGGGCCATCCATGAAATGGTACCCACAACACCCCTATACGAAGACACCCGCGACAACCGTAACCGCCCTCACGAGTCAATTAACGATCTTCCCGTCCACAAACTGACTGACCCTCAAATCTTCTACCCTGTCTCCGAATCCCGCCAATTCAACCGTGTCGACGCTGGTCGTGTCTTCTCCGCCGCCCCAGCTCTCGAAAACAAGCAAGTCACCAACGACACTGCCGACCCGGCAGAAGCGATCAGCCGCATAACGCAAACCCCCTCCAATATTGAGAAGGTTGGAAAAGGCGAGGCTGAACAGCAAGTCCTCCAGCCCGCGGACGCCCGTATTCCGCACCCCCACCTTGTCGCGCACGAGCGCTTCCGTCAGTCTAAGCCAACAGAATACCGCGAGATCTTCAAGGCATATAACGAACGTCTTCGTCAGGAGGAAACCGCAGAGAAGGAGCGCAAGCGCCTTGCCAAGGAGCGCCAGGAGCAGCAACAAATGAAGGTCCAGCCCGAGTCTTCGCGCTTTGAGTTCCGCTTCAAGGACGTCGTCGTCAGCAAGGAAACAACCGGGTCAGACGGTCGTGGCTCCAAGGCCCCGGGTCTCAGATATGGTGTCCCCAGCTATGAGCGGAAGAAGGGCCAAGTCAAGATCCCCACACGCGTGGAGGTTTAAGGTCCGGATTATCCCCGCTAGTTGGGATGTCATTCCGGTCTGTGTCTCTATATCAATACCTCTTATCTTTCTTACGCTTTTGTATTTCTATACTCCTCTGTACAGATATGGATGTGATGGGTCAGCGTTCGCTTGTACTTATAACTGAATTGAATTGACGTCGTAAAGACTAGATACTGATCAAATTCCCTACATTATCTTTTTCTTGGTTAGAGCCTCGTACGATGTCGCAACGTAGACAGTAATAATTATCGTCAGAAAACTGATAAGGTACTGGTCGGTGCAGTTTTGTGAACAGTGCTAGCAAAACAATCTCAGGTGATTCAAGTTTACCCCTTTGGCGGATCACGAACACTAATGCCTACATTGCCCTACCAGGATACTACACATCTTATCGAATGAAACAACTGAACATGTGAAATCTCGATCGTATGCTTGAGCAAGCCCCTGGAGGTGGATATATAAATATGAAAATAACCTGTAAAACACCACGAAAGATGAAGAAGCCGCCCACCCCCCAATTAAATCAGCGAACAACAGTGCTATAATCGAATCAACAGGGGCTATGCTGGGTATCCATAGAAGCCTCAAATAGCGGAACAAACTCACGCAACAACATCAACCATGCATGTATTGTAACAAAAAGAGACCGGCTAACCGAGAGGCCCGAAAATCAAAATAGACGTGAATTCCTGCAGCTCAAATGGCATCCGGAGCCGCGTCGTGGTGACTCGAAGTCTCCTTAACAGGCACAGTAGTCAACGGGCTTGCAGGAGAGTCAGGTGCTTCCCCTCCAGAAGAGTCTTCTGGCAAGAGATCCGATGGTTTGGGAAGATGCAAAAACTGGGATGCCGTGTCTTGGAAAGATGAATCCGGCAAGGCAGAAGATTTATTTGTCATACGTCCGTTTTCCAATTGTGCATGTGTAGGTGTCGCTGATGACTGGTTATCAGTCGCATATCCTCGCCATTTGCGCCAGCCTTCAAAGTCAATCAGAGCCTGCATGCATCCCCATTCTGTCACCTTCTGCTCCAGCCATTCGAAACGCACAGGCTATAAATGTGTTAGCTTTAGCCACACGCAAGACATTTACAATAAGGCGTACCTTGGTCAAGAAGTCATTGCAGCCTGCAGCCAATGCTTCATGTCGGTCACTTTGCAGACTGCTGGCAGTTAACGCGACAATGATGACGGGACTTTTGAACAACGAAAGGTCATGCAATACGTCCTCCTCTTTCAGAGAATCATGGGTTTCGGGGTCTATTTCCGGTGGGGCCATTGCGGTGGCACTTGCAGCGCTTGACCGTCCGGACGCCGTCTTGGGGAAAACACCTATGCCGTTCAACCGCTCAAGCCGGCGAATTTCTTTTGTCGCATCTAAGCCGTTCATAACGGGCAATTGGATATCCATCAAGACAAGGTGAAAGCCCCCTTCCCGCCACCTCTTGACCGCTTCTTCACCATTTGCGGCGCATTTCCAGCGCACGCTAAGACGCTTCATGAATGCCTCTAACAACCTCTGGTTAATGACGTTATCTTCAACGATGAGAACATTGATTGGTGGCACAGTGCCCTCGATGAGTCCTCCGAACGCTGCACTCAATGACTGCGCAGGGCTCTTTTTGGGTTTTGCCGACTGACGAGGGCGAGGTGATGCCCCGCGTGCAGGAGGGGTCATCGATTTATTCTGAGGTGATTCCGGAGGCGGGACAGGTGGAGTAGGGACTTGTGGAGCTGGCTGCGGAGGTATGGCAGTCTGTTGGGCCCCAGCATCTATAAGCAGTCAGCACACGTCTTCAAAGTGGACCCCAAGCCGGTTAGATTCGTTGAAATATTAGATCACTAACCCTTCGAGCTGGCTGATTGCCCTAATACGGTGGGCGAATTTGTAGTGTGCCGAGTAAGAGGAGGCCGGCGGGTATGGCGATTGCCCCGGCTCCCTGGAGAAGGTAATGGCGGTGCCATCCCGGTCGTGAGGATACTTATAGACGGGGCTGGATGGGCACTGACACTTCCCGAAGAATTGGATGCATGGGCTGGCGGGGTCGGAATATTGGGATGGATCGGCATGAGAGGGAAATATTCGTTGTGTTCGCCCGGTTCAGTTTGCTCATAGTAGATCGAATGACGCGGTGACGGTTTCGGCGTCCGTCGTGGCGGTATGTCGATAATCAGGGCCTCCTCTATCGTTTGGCCGCCTGGAAAATAAGAGTCCACCACTGTGACCAATGGCTCTTCTGGACTTAGCATCCGATCCGGGGTTTCCTGTTTGTTCGGCCCTTCCCGAGCAGCGATGCGAACGACGATATCAGGTGCGTCGAACGTCTTTCCCAGCGAGTTGGCGTATTTCATGATTACCTGATCGCGTAGCTCGTCAACAAGAGCATCATGTGCGGTCGGCACCAAAGTGGCCGAGCCCCCTGGCCGTCTAACCCAGATCTTGCGTTGTTGCATCCCAGCAGTACCGGTGGCAAGGCGGCTACTACCGTCGTTTTCTAGGGAGGTTCTCGGCTGCTCGAGTAGATCGCTAATCAAGTGCTGGTGAGACGGGGCAAAAAGCGATTGACGACGCGAGCCGAGACTAGGACGTTTTGGGATTGAAACGGTACTGGAGATAGGTGCTTGGCTATGGGGTGTAGCGGAAGGTTTCTCCGCAACAGCAGTCAGGGGCGTAGGTAACTGGGGTTCGCCGACCGTAGACCCTGTACGGTCCCGCCCTTGGTTGTACGCAGCCTGAGACGCTCCACTGCCCGAAGTCGGCAGAGGCGGGGTCGCTGTTGAAGCAAAAGGTAACTGTTGTAGTAGCTCGTTCGAACCAATCAACCGTGGTGGGGACTTAAGAAAGTCCGGGGGCAAGCTATGACGGTCGGTTACAGCGCAGAAGCGATCGAGATTCGACTCGAGAAGTTGTCGCTCCTGTGGCCCTGAGGTGGGAGCTAGGGGATTTTGATTCAATGGCCCTAGAGCTCGGGTCTTCCTGCGTAGTCGTGATGGTTCTTCTTCCCGAGGAAAATGTGATTTCCCTACCGAGCCTTCGTCAACGGAACCGTAATACCGCCCCCGTTCTGCCGATGGACTCGCGGGGGGAGCGGAGGTATCGTCCGAGGTTGAACGCTGAGCAGTAGACAGCGAAGAGACAGAATTATACGAACGGGGTTGAGCGAAGCCCTTGTCGGATGTGAGGGGAGAGCGCAAAGGCACTGGCGATAAGGAGTTGGAGTTGGCGGTACTGGAATTTGGCACGAGGAAAGGTTCCGCTCCAGTGGCCGCCTTGACAGTTGACGATCGCCGCAGCACTTTGGCTTTAAACTTGCTCCAGGAATTGGTCGTCGACATGGCTGAGCCCCAACCACGATAGCTTATTACAATCAGGGACCAGGAAAAAAAAATAAATTTTTCTTAGAAAAAAAAATGAAAAAGAAAAAAGAGAGGGAAAAAAGGGAACCGAACAAAACAGGCCAGGAAACAGAATGTAAAGGAGTGTATCAGATGAATGAGTGGACACTATACTGTCACCTCCATTATTCCTCACGCTTGAAATGGTCAAGACGGCGAGAGACTGAGACCATCACCAGCAACGACAACGACAACTATAACTGTGGCACACTGTGCGGTGATTGACGGGGTAAGTGGAAGGGCAGCGCGGACGATTGAGCTCCTCATCTCTTTTATAGGAGAAACAGGGAACGAACGCAAGTCGAACTATCGTATAAGTCTTTCTTTCCACTGTTCTCCTTCGAGATGGGAAAATCAAAGGAAGCAAAAGAAGAAGAAAAAGAAGAAGAAAAAGAAAAAGAAAAGGGAAAAGAAAGAGAAAGAGAGAAACGAGGGCAAAAGAGGGAACGGAGAGAGGTTGAGGGGAAGTTCAGTTGTCGAACGACCCCGGTAGTTGTTGTCTGGTTACTCAACAAGGCAATTGCTTCAGCAGTCACGGGGAATTCCTACCTTACCTAAAGTCCAGGGATTTTAACCCGTACGATTCCCCGTACCGTGTAGTATAATAATAGTAAATAGTGCTCCGTAATAGTAATAATAATATCGGATGATAATAGGAGGAGGGCGTAAATCCAGTCAATCTCTCCTGAAAGACCCAACGCTTGGGCCGCAAAGACTCCCCGGCGAAGTGAGACTTGTCAATGAGAGCAGAAGCGAAGGGAAACCCGAGATGAGCAAATATTATTGGGAAAGAGATTTCAGCGGTCGTCGCCTCATTTCGATGGTGCATGCAGCGTTGACATGTCAGCGTTTTATGCATGTACAGTAGTACCTAAGGGAACTAACTAGTTTAGAATCGTAGCTAGTCTCTGACACTATCTATATTAAGTCAGGGAGGTTTCATAACAAGAAGTGCACGGACTCCTCGTAGAATTCCAATTGATCGATAAGATGGTACCGAACCATTGCAATTACATTCCATTTGTTCTCATCGCTCGATAGAAGAATGCAAATTCGAGGATGTCCGTTCAGAGGGACTGCATTTATACTTCCATAAAATTGCTAGAGCTCCGGATAAGGTTTTGGTAGATCCTGACCTATCACATGTCCAATCTATAATCTACGATATCCGGCTTTTCACTCTCTACCAAATCCTAATGGAAAACGCGGGACACCAGGAAAGACCCAAGCTTCACGACTAAGACGAGACAGGTTAACCACATGAGAGGCCAAAGGGCTGAGGACCTCCTGATCAACCACTAATGAACTATCAAGGTGTGTTGGTCACAAACTGAAGGCCATTCGCCTTAAAGTGATATCTGGCAAGGTGGCAAAATATAAAGAGGATATAGTATTGTGGCATGGTCAGCAGGTAAGCTTTTCAGTTCTAAATGTCGACTCGAGCGAAGCTTTGGAAATACAAATCTACGGCATTTGGCGCACGTGGCAAATGCTGACACAGGATCAAAAGATCGTAATTTTACTACAACCTTGATGACATACTTCAGAGTATGAAGCATCAACGTCTTTTTTCTTCTGCACTATATTTCGCTTGCGCTGGTTGGCATTGCGTTATCCTACACACGCTGGTAAGCGGATGGGATCCTTGCTACGCTCAGAAGAGTCAGAAGATACACCCGTCTTTATTGCTTAAGGCTGGAACAAAGCTTTGATTTCGAACACCTAGGAAAAGCTTAACCATTCTAGTCCAACATAAATAAACATCGAAGTATGTAATGAGTTATGTCCGGAACATGACAGATGAAACTTATAAAGCATAATGTATCAGCGCGCAGATGCCCGCTCAAAGAAGCTCCGACAAAGAGATCGATAGCCGAACATGCGCTATACAAAACGGAAAGAAAGTACCGACCAAGGATTGTTGAAACAAGAAAAAACCATCAAGACGTAACGTGACTTCGCAAACCAGACTCGCGCCGAGTGATACTACTCGAAGGGTATCAAAGATAATTTTACTCGCAACAAAATGGCGAGGACCATGAAAAAACCAAAAAGAGAAGAAAGAAAGCGTTACACAGGGAAGATCCATCCAGATCACAACAAGATCAAATAATTCGATGGAGCAATACCTGTGTCTCCATTGGATTTCCTGGCCTGCCACCACCTGCCGCTAACATCGGACACTTCCAATATCTCATGTTTGGTAAAGCTGATCTCATTGGCGTCTTCTGGGTTGGCATCATACGAATAGATTGCCTTTGCCCGGTACGGGTATTCGGTTGGTTGAGGAACCTCGTTCTCGTTGCTATTGCCAGGCAAGTTGGCGTTCGAAGGATTGCCAAATCGAGGTTGCGATGAGCTGCGGTTTTCCGAACCAGGGGCACCACCTGGGTAGCCCGATACGGGCGATGACGTCTCAAAACCATTGAGCTGTGCCGATGTATACATTTGAGGTGCCTGACTGGAAGTCGTTTCAGGTCGGTTTCCGAAAGCCGTAGACATGGGCCTGCCGTTTCCATATGCTCCGGCATGTTCCTTCTGAAGAGCGAACGAATCAATGAATCCACGATGTGAGGCTTGCGGCGTTGATCCGAAATAGAATATCCAGATAACCTATTCAAACCGTGAGTTATATTCGATACCTTGAAACCGTGGTGAGACTCACTATCACCATAGACATGAGGATAAATCCGGCACCTGCAGCTTGCGACGCAGAATCACTGCGATATACCAACGAATTCACACCAAGTGTTGTGATTACCATACCAGCGGAAAGATACCCCACAATCTATTGTCGATTAGCTTTGGCTCATGTGCATAAAAAGTACCAGGAAAACCATACAGCTACACTGTAGACGGAACCGGTGTCCGTGCCAAATACGAACGTCATCCCAAGAATAATACAAAGCGAATAAGCGACTCCCCACCACGAATAGGTAGGATAGCCACGGGCATTAATAGCCGAGACAATCGACGATATGAATGCAATGACCCATGCCAGCTACAAATGAGACCCCATTAGCATCAATCACCGAGACTGGATTACTCCGCTGCCTGAGACACATACTATCGAAATGGAGATCGTTGCAAGCGCGAACGGGTCGCCGAGGATATTGCTTGGACGGAATCTCGCCATTTTTCGAGGACTTTCGTTATAAGGGCTCGGCTTATGTAGAGATGAGGAATGCGTGGAGTAAGACACCATGAATGTGGTAAAAGGGCGAAAGAGAATATATAGGGGGTTGGTTCAACTAAATGGCTGAGGAGGTATATCCCGTCCTTGGCTGTATAATCGTGATGACTTTATAATCTGTCCTTTGCGTTCTTTAAACAAGATCAAGTGACCGACTAAGGTTCCCAAGAAATATCAGTTGTTGCTTATGACAATATATGGCATTTATCGATGAAGTCAGCGTGTTACTATCAAGCGGTTAGTTTCGTTGTTTAGTTATAGACGCGAAGGACAGAGAACATGTAGATCAATTGGCGGTGGATCAAAAACATCGTGAATGACAACAACACGAACCAGTAACTCGTGATAAAAAAATATAAATAAAAAAAATAGAATAAAATAAAATAGAAGAACAGAGGCGGTCAGTCAGCGCAAATGCATGATCGTACCTTGGAGGTAAAGCAAGAATATTGACAAGGAGGCTGGTCAAGGTAAAGTTAAAAGATAAAAAAAAATCAAAATAAAAAAAATAAAGGAGCACTATATTCTGAGACAACAATCAAGAGTCCAAAGAGCGCGTTCCTTGAGAGGTTGATTGAGGGAAGTTTGGAAACAAGAATGCCCCTTGCAGGCAACAACTAAACAACAGCACCTGGCTGGAGGAAGGAAAGATCAAGATGAAACGTTAGAAGGGATGACAGTGAAAGAGAGGGGGAAAGAGTGGAAACGAGTGAAAAGTCGATCACGTAAAAGCGACTGATGAGTGAAGGAGTGATAGAAAAGAAACAAAGATGGGGAAAGTGAAGTGCAAAACGTTGAACAAGTCGAGTACTTCGTCCAGTCGGGAAAAGGAGAGAAGATGGGACGGGAGGGGAAAGAATGTGGACTGGACACTGAGGCAGCAAGGCAGAGATACTACAACGCTAGAGTACGGCTTGGCAGGTTTCACACCCACTGGTGTTGAAGCGTCCACGCGAACCCCGTTTCCACAAACACACGGACTCCACTTGATTGGTTGCTGTTCCTAGTTTGGCCCCTGGCCTAGAAGATCGAGAACGCATAGCGACTGGTCCTCACCCTAACTAAGTTTCTGTCGTTACTATTCTTATGCAGATTATGAACATTAGTACTAAGTAGTAGTACGCGATGACACACTTGGGATTTTTTTTATTCTCTTTTCCTTTTCTAGTTCTTACAATTACTTACCTATGTATGGAGTACTTACTTGTATACGTTAAATTTGCTCTTGGTAACACACGGCCAAAGGATTCTATTCCCTCATAGCCTATCATCTTGTCCCCACATACACCCTCATTGTTACAAATCCCCATCGACTGAACTCTCTGAATGACAATTAAATGGCGCTGCCTATCATGATTACCATATAGTATGACAAGACCCATGGCACTCAAAGATCGAAATGAGATCTTGATTTAAAACTGTCCGAATGGATCCCCCTTCTCCGCTTGCGATGGACGACACGCAACTCGGTCTTTGCTTTAATAACTGTTAGTGCGGATAGTGGATTCCTCTCATTAAATTCTGGCCAGGGCTGAGGCTGAAATGTGTGGCATGAGTGGCTTGACGGCATCATAAAAGAGTAAAGGATCAACATGGTGTCCAAATTTCACATCCACGAATGGATCCTGATTTATGGAACGTTGCTGGTAATTTGCATGAGTAGGTTTTGGGAAATCCTTCAGTTTTCATTACCATACTATTGACCCCTACACTTACTACACTAAATATGCTAATTAATGAGGTCCTATAGTCGGGATCCAGAAAACAAAAAAGGAACACCACAAAGTAGGGCTACGTACGTATTCACATGAAGAAGGCAACTGTATGGCTTTTTGTTTTGGTGGAGTAAAGATGCAGAGAAATTTTTTGTTACTTTCTATCCATTGATTTTCCTTGTTTCCAGTAATGGATGGGCCAGTGCCAGATCCGCATCCGTTCGCTCTTATCAAGCAACGCCCCAAAAGCCTATATTCCATGTAGTGCAGAAACCTACACTCGAGGATAACCTATTCTTTTCTGTCTGAATCTAGACCCATCCATGTCGTGGATCCAAAGACCCTGTTGCAACTCTTGGTCCGATAGGCAATACTTGCAGACCCCAGTACACTGGTCATTTTAATTTAACAATTATGCACAACGCTTATTAGCCAAGAGATGGGGAAATTGCAACCGAGGCGAGGTATAAAATTCAATACCCACTCTATAACGGTAATTTCGGCAAGATCCCAACTTCTCCGAGCCCCGGAAGCATGCAAGGGTCCATATGATGACCATGGGCTTCCTATGTGCCTTGCACCGTCATCTGATAGTTCCGAAGAATCGTGCATGCTGATCGTGCGTATGGGTGGAAAATTAAGCGGTCATGCACGAACCCCCTGTCTTGTTTCGTCGTGAGTCAACATAAGTCCTGAACAATTCTTTTCGATCGGTCTAGTTTGCCATCTGCAATGGGTGTCTGTACCTTGCGCTCTCTGCAGGGGTTACGGCCTTCTTCTAGACTAGGACGGCTTATGTGGTAATTTTGGTCACATAGTCCTAGTTTCGTTCTTTCTAATATCTCGGAGATTACGTGAGAATCCACAACAGTAAACGAGGTGCTGCATCAATTCAAAGTACGGAAAATGTAAGCTATGAGGTATCATAAGTCGTAACGCACAAGACCAAAATCATCATCAAGTCGCTCAGAGTTCTTTCGCCCTTCGCTGCCTCATCACTTCCTCCCTTTTCACTTCCCGCTCAACATCCTCAAGGCGCCCTTCCCATTCCGCCCAGCATTCGCCACCCCCAACCAAGGCAACCTCATACCATCGCTGTAAAGCTCGCGCTGTCCGTACACGTAGTTCCGAGATCTGCTTCGCTTGCTCCTCCTGCACCTGCGCCAATTGATCCAATCGCGGCTGAAGCTGGATGAGGGAGGCCGATGTCTGCGTATCCGGGATCGGCAGATCGTTTAATGACGTGAGCCGCGAGGCGGTCTCTGGAAATGCAGAAGCATACGATAACACAATTGAGGCGAGATTCTGGGTTGTCAAGTTTTCGGGGAGGGTTTGAGGTGGTGTTGGGCGAAAGAGGTCGGGGAAGCGATCATCTAGAACAGTATATTAGTTTGTGCGTACGATGATAGTATGATGAGTTTCCGTACGGAGAAGAAGTACATCCCGCACCGCGGGAATGTTTCGACTAAGTCTCTCGAGCTCTCGCTCTAGGCTGAGAAGACGACGCGAGACACTGTCATCGAGAGAAGCTGGCTTCGCGGGTGCGGTGGGAACACCCGTCCAATTTGCGTCGCCTGTGAGAAGGTAGATGAGTCGCCGTAGGCGAGATTCGAGCAATTCAATTGTCGCCCCGGCTACTGCCTCGTTCTCGAGAGTCATTGTATATGTGTAGTAGTAATCTATGGAAACTGAGCGTCATCGTTCAACCAAACCCACGTTGGGGTTTGGATGCAAACATGACATACATACAAACATACCAAATAGGGGACTATGTGGGGATATGTTGTAGTACTGTTTATGAACAGTCGCCGGAGATTGATTCATGTAGACGACAACGCGGGGCAAGGGAAAATTACTAAACCTAATGTATCCCGCTGATATTCTGCAGCTTTCACTCAAGTGGAGATATAAAGGTGATTTACATATGAACCGGTGTACTTGAGTTCTGTACTTGGTATATTGCCAAATATGTATCCTTAATACTTCATATGTATCGCTCCCAACATATAGACACTGGTCATGCATAGCAGCTACATCGTCGTCGCACTTTCACCATTACTGGTTCCATGAGGTACTGGTACCCGGCGAATATTGTACAGGACCTGCTGTACTACCCTGACCTAGCAGAGCTCGCCCTCCCCTTTCTTGCATTTCCTGACCCGACTCCACCGCGTCACTGAAGCTTGAAACTTGATAGTCGAACACGTTCACATTTGCAGCGCCCGAGGTGGTTACTTGCTGATCATTTTGGGTTAGTTCATTCATTTCCGTGCTCTCATCCTGGCGAGTGGCAGAGTTCGAGTCCTCATTCTGCCTGCCAGATGCATCTTCTGGCCGGTCTTGTTCTTTGAACTCAACGTCAAATGCTGCATTGTCTGCATTGACAAATTCCTAGACCGGGGTTAGCTTAAGGTTTAATTATAGAGATAAGCAGAAATACCTGGAGTGGAGGTGGAATTGGCTCCTCTCGGAAATTCATCGCATTGCTATTAGCGTAGATGAGCAAAACATTTTTGGATTCTTCACGAGCCGCTTTAAGGACTTCGATTTCTCGAACTTTGCGCGCCGTATATCCAATCACATCTGCATTCTTGGAAGTGGATGAATCACTCTGCTGAGACTCTGCCTGCCGAGCTTTTGCGTCATCTGTTGAAAAGCTGATCCGCCACCACTGCCATTCATCGACGACTGTAGGTTCGGTGTCCGCCATCTTCGTATGATTGTTAGGTCTTAATACGTAAGTTACGTGTGGCTCAGTACACACGCCGCGCAGGGTATATTTATAATGAGGTGTTTTCCCTGAGATGTCCGACGGCTCAGTCAAAATCTTTGTGTAGCTTCGAAGGGTCTCAATAGCGCTCGCTTTTCTTTGGGCCAGCTCTGTTAAAGGTAGCATTAGTACCCAGAAGCACGATTTCGATAACGGAAGGTTTACCTTTCAGCTTATCATCAATTTTACGGGAGACTTCTCGCAGTTCATCTGCTAAACGTTTCGCCTCCGCGTTTGCCGCCTCTGGACTCAAAGACAACCCATTTGCGCCGTTCGCAAGGCTCTTGGGTAATGTTACGGAGACAGCAGAAGCAGCCTTCTCTAGCGTTTCCTTCAGAGTCATCCCTTTACTGTGCATAGCAGACTTTGACGCCGAAAAGCGATCGATTAGGTTCTCTATTTTAAAGATCCCGTCATATTCATGAAGCCTTTGGGCACGAAAGTCGCGAGAAAAGTCCCTGGAGTCAGCGAGATATCGATCAGGGTAGAAGACCGCAGGGATCTTCACGTCAACAGGTTTTGTACTATCTGTGCTTTCCAGTCTGATAGTGAATATCTCCCCTACATGCTCCAACCATACATCATCAAGCTCTTCACCAGGCCTATCTGACCAAATGGCGCGATCCAAAACGTCATAGAGGGTTTGCCCATGCTCAGGATCCACAATTGACTCAAGGATGAAGAAATCTTTGTGTATAGGTGTGTCATAAACAGTTAGAGGTCGTTTATATGCCTTCGACGAGAAAACAGTCGCCAACTGATTCCCAGGATCTGCTCGGACAGCGGCATCTTGCCAAGTTTCCAAAAACCTGCCTATGCTGCCTTCCGAGTCGTATGTATACATGCTTTTTAAGCTTGCAAGAGCATCCACGCTACCAAAGGAGCGTTCCGTAATATCTAGAAAGGCGACTAGCCTCTGCGTTTCGTAGATGATGTCATCCCAATCCGTGTCGCCATCGTGTGCATCCTGAATTGTAACTATTTTTGGAAGGTTTATAGGCTGTCCGTTCCACCACTGCGGGTCGTGCCCATAGTTCGAGAGGATCCTATTTCTCTGCAGGAGAGCTTCCCGGGCCAGGGGTATAGAGTGAAGGATGGTCAACAGCCCGCCTAGATATAGATTGTCTTCTGATGGACGCAGAAATGTTGGCTCGCCTTCCACTCTCTTACGGTCCCCCGGATTTGGACTGATGATGATTTCGCGAGCGCTTGAGTTAAATAAAGTCATTGCCCATGCACCTTCATCATAAAAGTCACGGGTGGCCCGGCCAAAGTTCGCCTTGTTTGAAGTTGTAACACCTGTCTCCTGTTGTCCAAGGTTTTGGTTCAAGGACATGGCCACTGCTTGCTGTAGCTCACGCTCTTCCTGCTCAGCAAGTGATAATCCTTTGTTGGGATCTGCCATAGCCCAGTGAGATCGAAGTTAGTGAGCTTGGTACAGTTTCGTAGTGAGGTGGTCTCACCCGTAGCGTTCTGCGAAGGCGGAGGGGTCGCCTGTTGATAATCAGGTCCTTGTGCTTGCTCGCCTAATGTGGTCGGTGGGCGTGAGGGAGGAATTGAGCTGGGAACTGGGTCGGAGTGTTCGATATGAAACGCTGCGAATGGCAGATAATTAGTAAATGTACGTGGTCCGCATCAAACCGGGGTTGGACGCACAGGGTATGTTTGGATCATTCAGGTAATTGGAGGCCTATAAAGAGAACGATTCTGGTCAGTAAAAATACCAAGTGAAACAAAATGCGAACCTGGAAAGAAAATGGGAATGATACCTGTGTCTGCGGACCCGTGGGATCTTCGAAGTAAGCATTGATGGCTTTATTTGAGTTGAGGTCATTGGCCTGGGGTAGATGATACATTAGCACGCGAATTATAGTGAAGAATGATGGAGACACTGTTAAAGTAAGAAGAGGTACAACTCAATACTAACTTTAAGGAAGCTGATTGCCTGTTCGCGACTTGTGCTTGTGAAGCTCACAAAGTTCACAATGGCTTCCTCTGTTGGTTCAGATGCCATGATGGAGCTCTGCGCTATTGACCAGCAGCACAGAGATGACAGGCTTGAAGAAGACAAATAAATACAACAATGAGGCTTGAAAAATTAATGATAGAAACGGGCACAGCCTCTCTTCCTGAGCACAAGGGGTACAAAAGAAACCCAAAGCATGTAGGTTAATTGTTTGAACCGCTTGAGCTTCCCCACCACATGACATGCGGCTGCCAAGAACTAGAGAGCGTCACTTTCCCGTTTGACGGTAAATCATCAACATTCAATGTCTCCTGCATGACAAAAAGCTGGTGTATATGGACAATACAGTACTCAACCACATCGCGTTGATATTAACAATTATCAAGAGTCAGTAAGTGGGTTTTAGACTCTTGAAAATATCCATGGTTCCATCGCAAATTGCTACTTTAAAATTGAGCCCTGATGAAGTATAGTCACGGGGACCATTGAATTTTGTTCTAAAAATACTGATAAAATAAGCGTGATCTACTACGAAATACATAGTAAGTTTCCTCGGTACTCCAAACGATACATACGAGAGCCAATGTTGTATAAGAAGATGATTATTAAGGGAAAAGGTGAAATTACCAAGATCCATAAGGAAAATAGGGGATTTACGACGTTCTGGATACAAATCGAGGTTCTAGACTCTTGAACTATTGTTTTCCCAGGTTCATAGCGTCTCCCAAATTAGCCGGTTAAGATAATACCTGATAATCCAGGCCATGGAACTACTCATTTATTGCAATCCCACCAATTTTCACCAGCCATCCTACTCTTAATTCGTTTCTTTTTGTCTTCTTTTCGCCTGAAGAATCAACTCAATTTCCGATACAAATATAATTGTTTCCAGTGTCCGACTTCGCTCCCGTGTCTATGTGACTGGCCTTCCGCCCCTCCATCCCGCCCCGCCAGAGGTCAGGCTCATTCTGCGTTGTCGGCTCTCTCCAGCGCTCCACTTTAACCAACCCTGAGCTGCTGTGGGGGAGAAACTGTTCTGTGTCGGTTTCGATTTTGTTTCTAATTGGCGTCCATCGAATCCGATTTAAGTGTACCAGGGCCCCGCGACGCATCATTTGACAATTTGAATTTTCTCCCATTCGGTTTTCCTCAAATATTTCATACGGTCGGAGTTCACCCCCGAGAACCACTCAAAATCCATCACGTCACGTTGTTCTCCCCGACCCTGCCGAACCGCTGCTGTCCGTTGGGATGGCCGCCGCTTTCGACGACGAAGACCTTTCGGTCCCCCTTCCATCATACGACCGCGATCGCCGTCGTGAACGTGCTCCTGGAACGACTCCTCCCAATTCGAATTTCGCTGGTATGACAATGCCCCCGCCATCACGGCCGCTCGGAAGGGGCGGTGATCCGTCAATGCAGTCCCCTGCGACCACGAGGGACATGCAGCGCCTCGATCAGTATCAAACCGTGAAGGTTCTAGGCGAGGGTTCTTTTGGTAAAGTCAAGTTGGCTATTCACCAACCTAGCGGTCGTCAGGTCGCTCTGAAGATTATATCTCGTCGCAAGCTGCTGTCGAGGGACATGGTTGGGCGTGTTGAACGTGAAATCCAGTACCTTCAATTGTTGCGGCATCCGCACATTATCAAGCTGTATAGTCCATACCCCTTCTTGGAAGTTAGCCACGAGCGAACTAAATAGCTGACTGGCTCATGTCTATGACAGATACACCGTCATTGCAACTAAAACCGACATTGTCATGGTCCTAGAATATGCGGAACGTGAACTTTTCGATTACCTGGTGAAGAGGGGCAGATGCAATGACGCCGAAGCTCGCAAGTTCTTCCAGCAGATAATTTGTGCTGTGGAATACTGCCACCGCCATAAGATCGTTCACCGGGATCTGAAGCCTGAGAACTTGCTCATTGATAGTGAAAAAAACGTCAAAATCGCTGATTTCGGGTTGAGCAACATTATGACAGATGGGAACTTCCTCAAGACTAGCTGTGGTAGCCCGAACTATGCAGCACCTGAAGTCATTTCCGGGAAGCTTTACGCGGGGCCTGAGGTGGATGTCTGGAGCTGTGGAGTCATTCTCTACGTGCTTTTAGTGGGACGACTTCCATTCGACGATGACTATATTCCGGCCCTTTTCAAGAAAATTGCCGCTGGCAATTTCCATATGCCTCCTTATATATCTTCCGGAGCCGCCCGGTTAATTAGGTCAATGCTGCAGGTGCACCCAGTTCATAGACTTACAATTCCTGAAATTCGCCAGGACCCATGGTTCCAAAAGGATCTTCCGAAATATCTTCAGCCACCGCCTGAGGAATTTATTGCAACAGGCGTGGATCCTAACAAGGCCATCGATCCACGCAAAATTGCGCCCGGGAAGCCGATATCAGTACAACACAAAATTCACCAGGTTGCCATCGCCAAGTTGGAACGAAATATGGGATATGGCCGTGAGGATATTGAGGACGCCCTGAAAAATCCTGAACCCAGTGCAATCAAAGATGCCTTCTTTATCATCGTAGAAAATGAGATGATGCAAACTAACTGTGAGTTTTGAGAGATATTCTCTAACCCCCTCTTCACTCCCAGAATTCGGACATCGATAGAGGCTGTTTGAGGGACGGTAGTATGCTAATATTTTGCCCTAGCGCCTACTGATGAGAATTTGATGCCCTCTGCACCCCTGCCACCTTCGGATCGGACATCACGCTCGTCGGCAGCAGCTGGCCGGACTACTGCTCACTCACAAGGAGCTCCGGCCGGGCCACCTACCAGAACTCGAAGTGGTTCACAGCGCCAGCCGTTCCAATTACATCAGCCAAGTGATTCGGATGACCTGGAAACGTCACGCGTAAGCCATGTTAGGATTTTGCCAACTAGTTTACCTTACGTCCATGACCAATTGATGGAGCAACGTGAGCGGGAACAGAGAGCTCGCGCTGCAGACCGTCTGGCGGAAGAGCAAGCTCGGTCAGGCTTGGATGCCCATGAAGATCCACATCGGTCTGGCTTTGATGGGCGGTCTTTAGATGAACAGGAGGCAACAGCCAAGGCCCTGAAGCCTCATTCTCGCAGCATCGTCGATCTAGACAAGTTGCGTCTCGAACCACCCGAAGTTCGTAATGCCCCGCACCAACCCAAGAAAACTCGGAAATGGCAATTTGGGATCCGGTCTCGTAACCAACCATACGAGGCAATGCTTTATCTCTATAAAGCTATTGCAGCGCAGAGAGGACGATGGGAAATCCTTCCAGCCGAGTCAGGTTAGTTCATCTGTAGCTCGAAGCTTTGGTTTAGTCTAAACTAATCATGTTGTCAAGGTACTCAAATAGGTTCTCAGTCTCCAGATGAACCTAAACCGCTCCAAAGCAAGTATCCGGATCTACCTTCGGACTACTATATTCCAAAAGACCCATGGTTCATACGGGCCCGTCTCTTGAAAGAAGGCGTCAAAGCACCTGGCTCGTCTGGCAGCGTGCATAGCAGCAGGAGTGATATCAGCGAACTTCGTAGGAGGTTCAATTTGACCGGTGGGCCATCCTCAGTGGATGAGAAAAGCCACAGTCCCAATGAACATTGGAGCACATCAGGCCCTTCTTCAGCTTCGCAGCATCATTCAATTCCGCGTGTTGCTTACGGTGTCTGGGTCTTCGTCGATATCCAGCTGTATCAACTGGAGGAAAATAACTACATGGTGGACTTCAAGTGTGATGGATACCAGAACGTGATTCGCGCGGAGAGCGATACCGAATGGCATCCTATTAGCAAAAGATTCCGGAACAAGGAAAAAGAGATAACTAGCCCTTATCCGTTCCTTGATGTTGCCTCTGATCTCGTGGCACAATTAGCGGTGGCAAGCTAGATTGCTGGTGGTCCTGATATTCATTCATCGGCGTACTCGGGGAAATCGGTGCATCTGGCGCGGCGTTCTGGTTCTTTAGTTATTCTACTTTCCTGCCTTTGCTTGAGTTGTTGCATGTCATCGGACAAAAGTCGGTCGACAAAAGAAGTTGCAGGTTTTTGAATATATAAGCAGCCGATTTCACATACAGTTCGTAATATTATTGTCTACTTATCATACCAGACTATGGTTTCAACTAAATGCGTTCCCACTGTCTCCAATATCTTGCTAAAGTACTTATATAATGCTGGCTGAGCTCCTTTGGGCCTCTCCATTGAACGCATTATTTCCCACTTCCCCACTCGCCCTTCCCACCCTGAGTGGGGAATCTGTATGCAGGGGATATCAAAGAATGCGAACTTCTGATAGGTAAATTCAGGAATTCTGAAAATGACTTGCTCCCATAAATTGTGAGGGGCAAACATCGGACTTCTGAGGGAATAAGCTGCTAATCCCATAACAAGGTATGTAAACCTTGAAAGAACGACATCGGTTCACCATATCTCCGGGGCCGTCATTTATATTACCGAAAAATCGTTGGAGAATGTCTCCCATTCAAGATATAGTCACCCATGATGATGTCCCTATCTTGATCATAGGAAGTGGCCCCTGTGGTCTCTTACTCGCCTTTATGCTCGCGCGGCTCGGAGGTAATTAATTATCTCTACTCTAGTTCCAATCATTATTGTGTACGACTCTAACCCTCTTAATTAGGTTCGGACATTGATCGTCGAACGCTATCCCACTAGACTAGATGCACCAAAGGCCCATGCACTGTCGCCCAGATCACTAGAGTTATGCCGTTAATTCGGGTTGGGTGTCAAGATCCGCAACATCGGGGCAAATCGTGAAGACGCTCACTGGGTGAACTTCGTTACTAGTCTGAGCAGGAAGCTTGTCGGTAGATTTCCATATGAGCGGATGGACGCTGGGGTCCTGAATGACACGCGTACAGTTCGTACTATGTGTGTCAGTGTTTGGTCCTGTGCCGTTGTATATGAATGCTAACGCTGACTTAGATGATACACAACATTCCTCAGCCGGAGTTTGAGGATCTGATTGCTCGATAATTGTCAAACCATGATCTCGTGGAAGTGCGCAAAAACCATTCTCTTGTTCAGTTGGAAAATGTACACATATGAAGATCACCCTCCCCGAATAGTCTGTAGACAGAGCTGACTTGGTATCTCCGTGGGCTCAAGCGTAGTGATTGTGTTCTGGCTAGTATTGAGGATCGCTCCACCCAGCGAGTGTATATCGTGAGATGCTCTTAGTGGGTTGCGACGGGGCAAAGAGTGCCGTTAGGAGGTTCCTAGGTATAGAGAGTGAGGGAGAAGATTCATGTGAGTTCAAACCAAGAAGCTCGGAGCTCTAGGGAATCGTTGACAATATATTTAGACGAAACTATCATGACCATACATATCAATGCTGACATGGGTCCCGTAGTTAAAGAACAGGTGGGCATGCTGTATTAGGTGATAGATCCCCAAGTATCTGGCTTTATAATAGGCTACGATCTATCAGGGAACCAAGTACTAATATGTAACTTTGATGTATGTGCAAAAGGTATACTAGATCCATCCTCGATGTTATACACTGACAGGGCCGCCCAATATATAGAGCATCAAACATCTAGTTGAGTCGTGGAATGACCGTTGAGGTTATCTCAGCTCCTCCAGGTTGCTGTTCGGACGTGCTGTTTAACGGAAACCATCTTCAAAACATCAGCAATGCAAATGATAGGGTAAGTGGAGTGGTACTGTATATAGACCCGAAAATAGCCTTACCAGAACTGGTCAGTCTGGAATGGGGATACATTGATTCACTGCCGGAATCCAACCTACTTATGACGACGATCTCTGGACATCGTGCAATCGCACTTCATCCAACAACCCTCGCAATCTGACCACTCCAACCTCTCTATACTCTAGCGACTACGGTTATCATGCCGGCTCAGTATTGTACAGAGGCCACTTTACTGCTAACGGAGAAGAGGAATCGTGATACCTATCTACGCAGGGAGGCTACGCATACGGCCATTCTGTCTGGCTCAATTCCACCTACCTCAGGTCCTGGCAAGGGAACCCGGTCATCCAGAATTACAACCAAACACTTCAATTCCCACAGAGTCTACAGAGAGACGAGCATTACATTTTGACCGTCTTGGTGGATAATCTTGGGTTAGGCCTCAACTTTGAATTGAATACCAACACCATGCAATCGCCGCGCGGCCTCCTCGGTTATGATCTATCCGGCCATGACTCGAAATCCGACGTCTCGTGGAAAATCGCTGGTAACCTCGGCGGGGAGCGGTATCGTGACCTTGGCCGTGGACCCTTGAATGAAGGGTCTATTTTTGTGGAGAGGCAGGGCTATCATCTTCCAGGGGCCCTGAATTCGACTAAAGCAGGATGACAGGCCCGGACTCCACAGGAAGGCCTCTCAGCAGCCGGAGTCGGCCTTTTCGCGACCACATTCTCACTTGACTATCCGCAGGATATGACATTCCCACCAGTGTGTTCACCAACAGCACATCTGTTGACGCAAACGATGACAAGTCGGGGGCTTTTCGGATCCAACTATTTGTCAATGGGTGACAGTTTGGGAAGTATAGTATGTCACTATCCCGCCCACTCACCAAAGCATTACTGTGAATCCATATGCTCCCACATGTACACATATATTAATTTTGAAGCCATTGGCCAACTAACCTAGATACAGTAAATAACATCAGCCCTCAGACTAAATACCCTGTTCCTGAAGGCATCCTCAATTATCACAGAGAGAATTACCTCGCTATTACCTTCTGGACCCTGGAAGAAAATGGGGCAAAGTTGAACGGGATCCAAATACAGAGCAAGGTCATTGTGCAGAGAGGATATAGGAAGCCGGCATTGGCCGCTGGGCAGACGTATTCGCCTAGAGAAGGAGCATACTGAGTAAGAAGAGCGTCTTATGATGAGGCTGCTTTGTCCGTCATTGAAGTGAGAACGAAGAGACTGGAGAGGTGTCTTGGTAGGCATTGATTATCTTTGACGTATTTCTCTTGCGGGGCTATTTGATTCATTGGAGACTCTCAGATTAACTGTAGGCTCTATACTAGACGCAGCAGATTCTTCCTACTGAAAGAAACTTGGAATTCGAGGGGCAGACCATATATTCAGACAAAAACATGGTGATTAAGGCTCAGCAAAAGCTGTACATTTTTCGTGAAATAGGCACCAAGTCTTCAGTTCTCGTATGGGCGGTAAGGCTGTGCACCTCCAAGAAATGCGGGCTTATTTACTAGTATATCTTTACCAACACCAATCAGAACGGGACTTAAAATTGATCACCTTTGCCCCGCATAAGCAATTCAATTCTTTGATCACTTCAGGAAAATTTTTCAATCAACGCCCAGCTAGCTTGGAGGTGATCGGTGCAGCTGGACACTTTTCACGACGACTTCCCGACATTCAAGCATCCGAACCCCCTCCATGATTGCTTTCAAATCTACGCTAGAAACTACACAAGAAGCACTGAGCCTCATCTTCGAACAGACAAGTGTTACCGGGCAGGCCGGAATGGCGGACCCCCTCGCAATAACCGGACTGATTCTTCAAGTTATAGAAACCGCGGGCCAGGTATATAGATATTGCAAGGAGGTCAGGAATGCCGACAATGAGATCCGAGAATTATTTGGCGAGCTTTTCGCCCTAAAGGCAGTTCTTGAGCAAATGAGTAGAGAACGGCAAGGTACTCTAGACATACAGGATCCCAAGTCTGCACAATCACTTTCATCAGAATCGTTTCGACACGCCTTGCTCAGCGCGAACGGCGTCTTGAAGGACATCCTTGACGATTTGATGAAAAGGCAAGCACGAGGAAAGTCATTCTTCAAGCAGTTAGGATGGCCCGGGAAGAAAGAGAAGCTTCAAGATAGCATCGTCCAGCTTGAGCGGCTCAAAAGTTATTTTATCTTAGTTATGGTGAACGAGAACTCGTATGTTTCCCCAGTCTATAAATATCTGGGACTGAGGCTGATTATATCATCAGGACAATGGACAAGGAGGTCCTATCGTCAATTAACTACTTGACGGACCTGGGAACGCTGATGAGACAAGACAGTCAAAGTGAGATATTAAAGAAACTTCCATTACTATTCGATTTGAGCTTTAGGATAATCGTCTCTTTTCACATTTTTCGAGCACCATCTAACAGCTTCTGTCATAGAGGACCTGCGTCAGAAGATAAGGGAATGGATATGTCCGTTTGATGTGGAAACAAGTCATCGCAAAGCACGGTCTGTATGCCAGGCTGGCACTGGATCTTGGTTTATCAATGGTCCTTTTCAAAGATGGTTTCGAGGACAGGAGAAGTCTCGAGTGCTCTATCTTGAGGGTAAATGTAAGCTTTTGGCTTCCCGATGATTCACTAAATCTACGTACTAACCATTCGTTTAGCTGGCTCTGGAAAAACGGTTCTCTGGTATGTTCGACTCTTGGAATAATTTCATATCTTATACAGTCGTTAACATGCACTGGCTGCAGTTCGACTGCTATAGAAGAAGCAAGGAAGGCCACCCAAAGCACAGACTTCAGCCTAGCACTATTTACGTATTGCTCGTTTCAGCTCAGTGCTTCCCAGAAGCTGGTCCATGTTCTTGGTGCTTTACTCGCGCAGCTTTCCGATCGCTTTCCGCAAGCCCTTGACGTACTGGAGCCTGACTTTAGGAAGAAGTCACTTCCTTCTCCGAATACACTTCTCCAGATACTTCGCAATTATGCGCGTGAGCTAAAACGGTTGTATATCTTTGTCGATGCTGTTAATGAGAGCGATGAGTGTGAAGACATTATAGGGACATTGCTAACCCTCGCAGAATCTGAATATCAGATACATGTGATGGCAACCAGCACTGCAGCTTCAGTGACACTGAGTAAGGATGACCTCCTGAGAGCACAAATGAAACCATCTTCAAATCAGAACGACATTCAGGATTTCGTAAACGCGCAGTTGGAGACACGACCAAGCCTTCGTTATCTCCCTCCCCACACCAAACGGGATATAACTAACACACTTATAACCAAGGCCAACGGAATGTAAACACCACCATTAGATTTCATAATGCACATAAGTTACATTTTCAGCTAACCGCCCACGTAGGTTTCGATACGTTCAGTGTCAGATTGACCTGCTCAGCGCCCAAGCAACCGGCCGAGGTGTCCGGAAGGCGCTCGCGACATTGCCAGAAAGCTTAAACGGAACGTACGAAGTGATTCTTGAACAGATTCCCCCGTATAGCCGCGAACTAGCAAGAGATGTACTTCTCTGGCTTACATTTAGCCGGCTACCAATAGCTTTGTCGGCATTGAGCGAAGCTGTGGTAATCGTCAAGGAAGATAAATTTCTAGACGACGAATGCAGGCTATATTCACCCACAGTCATTTTGAAGATATGCCAGGGACTAGTAGCGTATGATGAGGTGACTTCGGTTATAACACTAGCCCACTCCTCGGTCAAAGCATTCCTTACATCCGACGCTATCAGACAAGGCCCTGCCGCATACTACAGTTTGCAGGAGGTTGAGGCTACACGATGTATCTTCCAGAAATGCTTGACGTACTTGATGTTTGATTCGTTCCAGAAACCATGCCGAAGCCGACATGCCCTTAGAAGGCGTCTGAAGGAGTTTCCACTGTTGAACTATGCTTCCATGACCTGGGGACAGTATTGTGGATTGCATGCTCCTGCTGGCTTCGCGCTTGGGGACTCTGAATTGGACGAGATAATGGCCTTCTTCGCAACATGTGCCCTACACAATGGCGGTAACTTTAGATCCTGGGTCCAGGTCCTGATCCCCGAGGCTGCTACTGAAGAGGCTTGGTCCACCGAGCCACTGTACTATGCGGCTTCATTTGGGATGACGCTCGTCGTGGAAAGGCTTATAAAAAGCGGCATCAATTTGGACTCCCCTGGTGGCCGGCACGATGCCACTGCCCTTACAGTCGCGTCATACAGAGGGCAGCAGGCAGTGGTCAAGATGCTGCTTGATGCAGGCGCAGACCCGAACTTAAAAGATTGCCATGGAATAACAAGCCTCGGATGGGCAAAGAGGAAAGGTCACCACGAGGTTGAAGCTCTGTTATTGGAATATGGCGCTCAGGCTCAACTAGGGCATTACAAGGAAGTTGTGCCAAGAAATGCGCAGCTGGCAGATAACGACGACAGCGACTCTGACGGTCATGAGGAGTGATCGAGATAGAAGGCAGTTCAGGTACAATGCCAACGCCTCCAGAGGAATCGGAATGCGGCGTTGATCAAATCCCCAGCGGGCCGCTGGTCAGCCGGAGTAAGCATACAAAGTCTGTGCAAGGGCTTCCTTCATTGTTTCATACTTATTTGTTAGTTGGCCTATTTTTCTAGAGTTTGGGTGAATAGATAGAATGTCGGGTCACAAAATGCGACTCCCTCGGCATGAGAAAGACAAACAGATAGAATATTCGACGCTAGCTGGACATTCAATTATTGCTGCTTGTATTTTTCAACTGTTATTTCTTTTTACTTCTTATTCTATTATATTCTTTTGTGTTAGACATCGCAGGGAAGACACATCTCAGGTAACTGATATCCATAGCAAAATCTATAAAATGGGCAGTAGAACAAGGTGATCGAACCTTCAATTGATGCTGCTGTACATCATGGAAAAGCTTATCAGAGTACTAACACCAAAGACGGTACTCGAAGCTATACTGACGAAGGAAAATGACGTGAACTACAAGATGGATATAGCATTATACGTAAATCGGTAGAACTACCGAGGGGGGTCTTCACCATAATATGCGTAAGCCCTAGCAACATCACCCCACACGTCTAACCCCAGGAATTAGGGAATCCGTAGTACGTTGCTTCTCCTTGAAATGGAATCAATGGCCGACGGGTAAGGAGTTTGCCGCTCTCCACAGCGCAAGTTGTGGGGAAAGTGTGGAGAGAACGCCACGGGGGATCATCCGATATGGGGAAGAAATTTCCAAGTATAGATAAGCTGCATTTAAAACGTAGCGCCCCTCCTCTTCTCCAACTTTCGTCAATCGGTCAAAACTACTTCAATTGCTATCCAACATGACACGCGCGCAATCAGACAAGCCTACGGGCGAGTACCGCCAATATCTACCCGACCTGAGCCTGAAACGCTTCCAGGTAATGCGCACTCAAGATGCGCATGAATATGCCCATGATTTCAAGACGCTCCACAACCCACCATGGTTGCATGCGCTGTACATGCACTGGCTGGATTTGTTGCAGGAGCCATTTAAGGGTGTCACAACTGATGGTGTGGTATATCCTTTTCCGCAATTGCTGTTCTGTTATTAATATTCGACAAGGAAATGTTCGACCCGGGCTCTTCACATTACAAGATGAAGACATTCCCATTGGCAAAATAGTAAGCGCAGTTGAATCGCTACTCTCTATAGTAGACGACAAACAACGCCAAGCGCTCTCATATCACATCGACTCTCCTGAATGGCGCACATGGTCAAACCCCGAATTCCTCCTCAGCCACAAAGGTCTCCGCCTCGATGAAATCAACACTGAAACCCGCGACGCAATTCTCAACGTGCTCAAGGCCACGCTATCACTAGAAGGCTACGATAAAGCCATTAAAGCTATGCGCATCAACCACTTCCTAGGCGAGCTCGTCGAATCACCAAAAGTGATGAACGAGTTCTCCTACAACTTCGTCCTGTTCGGAAGCCCCTCTACCACTAGACCCTGGGGCTGGTCATTCTACGGCCACCATCTCTGTCTAAATGTGTTCTTGTACAAGGGCCAGATCGTTGCCTCGCCGTGGTTTACAGGCGCAGAACCTAATGAGATCGACTCCGGTCCGTATGCAGGCACCCGCATCATGCAGGTTGAGGAGGAACTCGGTCTCCGACTTATGCAGTCGCTCAGTCCAGATCTTCAGCGGGAGGCTCGCGTGTACGCCGATATGCATGACCCCGCAATGCCACCTGGTCGCTGGAACAAGGATGATCAGCGGCATGTGTGTGGTGCGTATCGGGATAACCGAGAGGTTCCGTATGAGGGTATCGTCGCTTCATCGCTCAACGAGGAGCAGAAGAAGTTGCTTTACGGTATCTTGGAACAGTATCTACTTTATCTCCCCGAGCGATCCCGGAAGATAAAGTTGGATCACATCCGGCAATTCGAGTCCGAGACATATTTCTCCTGGATTGGTGGTTTTGGCGATGAGGATCCGTTCTACTATCGGATCCAGAGCCCTGTTATCCTCGTTGAGTTTGATCACCACTCTGGCGTCTTCTTGAACAATGAAGAGCCGAAGAAGTTCCACATTCATACTTTGCTACGCACGCCTAATGGTGGTGACTACGGATATGCCCTGCGGCCGTTGATTCCCGCTGTGGAGGGAATAGTGGGGAAGGACATTACGTGGGAGAAGTCGGCTCTCTAGGTGTACCGATGTTGATCTTAGATGATGTTATGCAATAGATTGTATATAGTGAGCATATGAGATACTAGATTGTGCCAAATGAAGCGTCCATGATATGCTGACTTCCATCTTGCCGGCTAGCCCACTCTACATAAATGCCGATATACCCGAGCATATAGTATTGTGCAAACCCAGATCCACCCGGCAATGGTTTACCCATGAACTTACCTGTGGAGAATTCGCCACTGGACCGTACGATCAATGGCTACCATTGTCGAGAGCTATGGTGTAATTCGCATGTGTAGACCTATGGCTCGGATCTGCCGAGAGGCTCGGACTATTGCCTGTACCTGCTGATAGGGCTCGGATAACAGAAGCTTAGAGATGGTTATTCTACGAAACAACCACATAGCTATGAATCGTTTGCTACACTACCAAGACTAGGATTTTCAACAGAAGAGGAGAACACACCACAATAAAGTAATAGCTCTATCAAGAATCCTAAAATTATCTATTACATAAAGAATGTACCTCAATCCAATGAAAACCATGTAGCCCAAAAACTCACCGCAGAAACTGAAAAGCTATACGTGACACATGTATCATGTGTGGACCCCAAAAGCTCAGACCACCAGCTCCAAATTAGCCCGGGGCCCCATATCAACCTCACATACGTAGTAGGGTCCTCCTTGTCTAGCCCAATCAAGACCCAGCTAAAGATGTCAAAAACAGCCGCCAGTTTCTGCCCAGCCGTGGAATATCCGATAGCGTCGGCAATTCCGACCCCGGTAATGCCTTCACGATCGTCTGATTGGATGCTGGATTGCTCGTATTTGAGCTTCATTTGCCCCCTTGCGCTGACTTGACTGTTATGTGCAAATCAATTTGAAATTTCTAGTGAGCAACGTATCTCAATGTTCGACTACATTTATCGTCTTTTAACTAGGTTATCGGGAGGAAAGCCGCGCAAGGAGGAAACAACTATGGTAAGTTCATCGCGTCGTCCGGTTAGACAAGGGGGGGAAAGGCTAACTTAATGGAAAGGTCCCAGAAGACGCCCACCTTCACATTATCATAGTCGGCGCAGGCCTCAGTGGCCTCGCGACAGCTATATCCTGTGCTACATCCGGCCATACAGTCGAAGTTATTGAGCAAGCAAAGGAACTCGCCGAGGTATATACACATAACCATATACGCCACGCGGCCCCCCCCCCAGATCCACTTCCATAATCTCCCCGATATAGAAGCTCCAAAAGCTAATGATGATACCCAGGTCGGCGCAGGTCTCCAAATAACCCCCAACGCCTCCCGTCTCTTCAACCACTGGCGCCTCCCATCATCCCTCTGGAAATCCGCCGCCGAACCAACAGCCCTAACTGTCCATAAATACACCGGCCAAATCCTCGCTCACGAAAACCAGTTCCACAACAACATCCGCTCAAAATACCAAGCCCCCTTCATCGACCTCCACCGCGTCGACCTTCAACAAGCGCTCTTCGCCCGCGCGCAAGACCTCGGCGTGAAATTCCACCTCAACGAGCGGGTCGATCGCCTCGATTTCGACTCCACCACTGTCCATACACTCTCCGGGAAGACTTACAGTGGCGATCTCATCGTCGCGGCGGACGGGCTGTGGTCGAAATGTCGGGAGTGTTTCGAGGGTAGGAAGGACGATCCTCTACCGACGGGTGATTTGGCGTATCGCATTGTGCTCAGGGCGGAGGATATCACGGATCCGAAACTGAGGGCGTGGGTTGAGAACCCGGAGTGTCATTTCTGGATTGGGCCCGGGGCGCATGCGGTGGCTTATTCGTTGCGTGGAGGAAACATGTTTAATATTGTACTTCTTGTGCCGGATAATTTGCCCCCCGGAGTATCGAGGCAGGAGGGGAGTGTGGAGGAGATGAAGGCGCTCTTTGAGGGATGGGATCCTGTGTATGTTTCTTCCATCTCTTGGGAAAGAGAATTGGCTGACATGGTCCATCTAGGTTGAACCAGTTCCTCAGTTATGTCGACACGGTCGATAAGTGGAAGCTGATGCATCGTATGTCCCTTCTTCCATCGTGCTTTTCCCCCTGTCATTGGGTGTTTGCTAATTATTTGATACAGATGGCGAGATGGAATCCTGGATTAACGACAAATCCAATCTCGTCTTTATGTACGCTCCTTTCCCCGCACCTCTTTATTTAACCTATCTATCTCAGCAATTCTAACTAATAGCCCCAGCGGCGACTCCTGCCACCCAATGCTCCCCTACCTAGCCCAAGGTGCAAACTCCTCCCTCGAGGACGGTGCTGTCCTCGGCGGCCTCCTAGGCCACATGAAGAGTAAATCACAACTTCCAGAGATTCTCCGCTTGTACGAGAGTTTGAGGAAGTCAAGAGGAGAAGCGATTGTTAAGGAGACGTTTAAACAGGTAAGATCTATGTCTCTCTGGCTCTATCTTCTCCTTTATGATCTTTATTTGGTTCACGGAAAATAATACTAATGGACCCCTATAGAGAAACGATTTCCACATGTACAACGGACCCGAGCAGGAAAAGAGAGATGAGATTTTCTTGTCGCAGTTGGAGAAAGAAATTAAGGGGACGTTTCCTAGTCGATGGTGAATTACTTTTCCCTTTTCCCTTTTCCCTTTTCTGAGTGTTTTGTGGTCACTGGCCGGGTGCTGACGGGTATGTGTGTAGGACGTGTCCTGAGGTGCAGCCCTGGTTGTATGGGTACGATGCGCTGCAGGAGGTGGAGAAGGCTGTTGGGCGGAATCCGGAGTTATTTTTGAAGAAGAAGGCGAATCTTTAGATCTATTTTCTTTTCATTATTTGAGATGTGCGTATGTATGGTCAATACCATGTGCTAGATTTATAGGGATTTTGACATTGTGAGATTGGGTCGTAGATAAATGGATGGGCGATTTGGGGTGACGTATGTACAAGAACAAAATATTTAGCTACGAATAACATTATTTTACAATCAATTGTCTAACATAGGCAGTCCCCCTATATCATCGAAGAGCCGCGCGATTCCTTCAAATGAACAATCCGGAAATCCAAAGCCGTGAGCCCATTCCTGTCACGTTGCCGTTAGGTTCCGAAAGCATTGAATAGTGAAATGAAAGTCACATACCGGTATGTCAAATGTACCCTGACTAGGAGTCTCCGCTGCATATGCTGGAACACTTCCCTCAATGTTTGCCATACTTGATTGGGCGTCCGACAAGCTAAATTCCCTGAGATAGCGCTTGATAAGATCAACGGACTTTCGTGCCACGATGGATTCATCCATTGCTTCCAAGATTTCCAGCGCCCTCTCCACGGATCGTCGCCATGGGATAGTTTCAGGGCACATGCCAAGCTTAATCATGGGGAGTAGCAGTGTTGATGTGGCGAACATCACGTATGTTGTGTTATACCACCTATCAGATAAGATTAGAGTGGAAGGAAACCTGAGAATAATATGGTAGAACATACCAGCACCGAAAGAACGTGTGGACTCGGTAGATATCGTAGATGACTTCAATTGTTTTCATCGCAGCATCGAGACACTTCCCGATAGCCTGTTCCAGCTCGATCGGTGGGTGTCTTAATTTGCGTGTAAAGTGACTCAGGAATGGACGAAACAGGAGCATCTTGACGTTATAATAGCCTATCTGGATTAGTCGTTATTTTCGAATTTTTCACGGTGGATGACTTACGAATGCCCAAGACTAACCGTTGCCGGCGAGCCCACTTTGGGTCTCGCAGTGCACCGCCAGATGCTCGTTGTCTCAGGACATCCGGCTTAATTCTCTCTGGGAGTCTCAACATCCATCTATCCAACTCAGCCTCGATTTGCAGCGCAACCTGCAATTTATCCTGCAAAGTGATGCGTGAATGATAGATTTGCACAGACACCTTTCGAATCATTTGTGCAAAATCAACCATCCATGGTATGATTGCGTATTCGGAATCGTCTCTTTCTGGCAGAGCTCGATTGTGGTATTCATCCATTCCTAGAGTGTCGGGACGACCAACAGAAAAGCTCATCTCACTGTTTCATGAGTATACATCACAGAAATTTACAACTTCAGAACCAACTCACATTTCGAGAGAGAATAGGCCCCTGTAGATCATTAGCACTGGCGATACCGAATAATTCCAGGTGTACCTACCACCAAGTCTTCGAGATCCAGCCCGCCCGTTGCTCTGTGGAGTTACGCACTTCCCTGTTGAAACCAGCAGCTAGACAGGTGCGTATAGCAAGGCCCAAATACATATAAGCCACTACCAGACATTAGCAACACGATATTACCGCAAGAATAGGATGACTGACAGTTCGGGTTGAGCTCGTTTTGGCAAATTTTAGCCTATCCACCGTTAGCCAAATTATGTGTGTGTGTGTGTGTGTGTGTGTGTGAGAATAGATAGAAGCCATGCATACCATGAGGTACAAGCACTGGACTGTGTCCAGATTATTCGAAAACTGCAAATGGTTCAGATAGACTTGAGCTTCGCCGAACAACTTCCGGCTCCACTCGAAACGCGTTAACCCTCCCAGTCGCTCCTCATCCCAAACACGAACCAATGCACCAAATGAGAGAATGCTCAGATACAACGCGACAAAACTTGGTTCTGGTTGTTTAGTTCGGTTGAACCACAGATCATGGGCTCGCAGGCAGAAGTCCTCTTTGTCAATTAGAGGATGGATAAAGTGGATGTTCTCGAAATATCCGTTCATAAATGCATGAGCCTGTTCAAAGTAGTAGTTATGTTCATGAAGTGCTGCGGGTTGCGCTGGACCAGTCGTGTATGAGGGCGAGAAGCTTGAATTATGTAGTGTCGAGACTATAGAATACTCCGGCACACCACTGAGACTATGTCGCTCTTGAGTTCGTCTGGGCTCGTGTCTCTTTTGAAGATGACCTATTAATGCAGTTGACGATGTGCTACCGTGGAACTCGATACCATTGGTATGGTGATTAAGCTCGCTGATTTCATCCTCCACGGAGTCCCCAGCCTCATCATGGTTGTCGTAGGACAGTGGTATCTCTTCTCTTGGAGTCGAGCCATGCCGAGGCATAGAACACGGGGTCGCATCTATTATGGAATGGGGCACCTGTCTGGTTTCAGGGGCTGTCGCTTCTCTCTGAGACTGAGGAGAGCGCTGCGAAGCAATTTCAGATTCAGCCACCCGGAGCTTTGCAGAAAGCTCGTCTACTTTCTTCTCTAGATCGGAAACATAGCTAATAAACTCCATCAGAGACGTTACCACAGCACACCAGGAAGTATAACTCACCTGGCTGAGCGGTCATTTTCACGCTGTCGGTAATTCCCTTGATATACGCAATTGATGCCGCTTTCTGTGCAGGTTAGATCTATTCACTGAGAGGAGGCTAGATGGATGACTTACTCTTACAGTGCGAGCAAGGGTATGATTCATCGCATTTATATTTCTTTAGTCTGCACCTGTCGCAGGCTTGAGCAGCACGCGGCCGCTTCGTCCTTGGTGGACCAGAATCATCCACTGTGGTACGAATTGATGACGATCGCTGCGTCTGGCGTTGCATCATCCATTTATAATCATATCCGTTACATCAAGATATGTTGTACGTTATATATGTGTGTATGTATGGGGTGATGATGCTGGAATGTGCATCTGGGTAGACACAGCGTACAGAGAGTATGCGACGCGACAAAAAAATGATCGGAATTGCCGAACACCGACTCAACTGCCGACCTGCCTAGCCGTCACATGACAGCCCCGCGGGGCACCCCGCGGGGAAGTTAAACAACTATTTTGGCCTAACTTTTTCATTTGTTTCAGTAATTTATATTGAACTCGTGGTATTAACTAGCGAAAGGAGGCATGGGCGGTGACAGTAACTATTACAAGGTGATTTCCACATTGAGCTCTTTTGCAACAGATCCGACCTGGGTCGAATCCCATTCCAACTCGGTATCAGGCAGAGTAACGCCTTCAAATGGCTTCCCCAGCCGATGCACCAGGCTCTCAATACCATTGCCATCTGTGAAAGACCAGACACGCACGTACCTGCTGTTGAAAGCAAGGGTAAATGTCTGACCTGCTGGAATGACCACCGTCTCGCCTTCACGGAAGACGGCATCCGGTAAGCCCTTTAGACGGACGACCAAGGTTCCCTCTTGAATACACAAGCAGTGATCCACGTCGTGGAACGTCATATCCTTTGATAGTAGTGAAGGGCCATACTCGTTGGATGATTCAATGCTTGAAATTGCGCACACCCCGTTACTCTGGGTCGTTGTGATGAATGGCCGAGACATAACACCCCCCAACATCCACCTTGGGCCGGTGTTAGCACGTAGGTAAAACGGCTCCGAGGAGTCCGGGAGACGTTCATCATCTTTTGTCCAGTCTCCTACATCTGGGGGTTGGTAGTTTGGTTGGAAAACAACATCAAACTTTTCCTTCGCAGCCATAACCTTGGGTATCAACAGGGACTTTAAATCACGGTCGTCACTCTCGGGAACAAGTAGCCCTTCGTAGGGTTCAGAGACATGTCGGAAGAAATCAACCCAGTCACCGGGAGTGATCAGGCCGTAGATTTCTGTATGTGGACCTAACATTTCGGGATTATGAACGACTGTCTAGCGATGTGTCAGATCTCGCTTCTCTTTCTATGCAAAAAATGCGGAAGTGAAGTACCGGCGGCACATATGCAAAGTCACCTGGGCCCATGATGCGGCATTTATCTCCATTCCATAACTTCAGATAGCCTTTCGTAACTAAAAATACGTCGTGGGCGTGGTTGTGGTAATGGAATCCCGGTGCATCGGACAGCACTGCGCCACTTTGGAAAACGGCCATTAAACCATTTGTCTGCTTTGAAGATGCCAGAATGCGAAATACTCCCTTACTGCCAGGAATTGTGATACGCTCCCCCTCCAATTGAGGGATCGCGTAGGGAACCCTCGACGGAGGGGGGAGTTTCGTCCACGAGATAACCATAATAAGATGAGATGAAAGTTCTGGAATCAATTGCAGAGTGTTTAGAAATCTAAGGCTTCCCGTCGCGAAAAAGGGGGGTTCATATTGATCGACCTGATGGACATGTAGATCATTTGAGGGGATTCGTCATAATTAGTCCACCCGCATGTTCCCCGAACTCGGAGAAGCCGCGAATCAAACGACCGGAATATCCGATGCTGGCGGGTGTTAATGAAAGCTTTCGATATTTCGTAAGTTGTCATGTTCTACTCCACTTTCTCCTTTGCCGTATGTACGTATTCAAAGCCTAAAATGAGCGGTAGTGCATCGATAGGAATTTGAAATGAAGTCGGGAAGCCAGACATAACGCAACCTTATATTCTTATGGTCATCAATTTTTCTCAATCTGCCAGGATTGGGAGATAGGAGCATACATGAACGTTGTAAGTCAACATACGCAAAAAGAAGAGAGAAGACAAGGAGGGAAAGGAAAAGGAATGGGATAATAACGAAGGGGACACATATACACTGAATATGTGGAAGTTAAGATGTTGCCTCCATGACCGGCATTTCCCTAATGCTCCTGTTCACCTGCAACAACCAACAGTAGGCAGAAAGCAAGGATTGATCCCTCGGTCCCAAGCCAGAATATGAGCAGCGCCAGGCTGCAGTACACTATCCACTCTTCCAGTTTCATAATGAATATTGCCAACTCCCAACTGTCTCAACCTTATCTCTGGTGCCCGCTATTTTGCGAAGACATAGATCTAGAGGAGCTTCTGCTCAGCGACGTGGGAGAATTGGGCTGGGACGATTCGGGGGTGGAATGATGCAGCGATGATACTGCACTTCGTACTGTCCCTGCCGCTGCCTCAGGGTTACAGTGCGCACAGACGAATGTGTTAAAGCCCAGCCCCTGGCAGCCACTGCAATCCATAACTCTGGGGAGTCTTAAGCTAACATCAGAAGGTTGGGTACAATGAGGGGAGCAAACCTTCGAGGATTCCCTGCACAACTTCTGCATGTCAGGGCTATTCGTCCTCCACCTGTACAGGATATGTGTTCTGGATCAAGGTGGATTGTTGAACGTGCCTGGTGGGCCATGTTTAAACAAAATGATGGTGGAACCCTCAGCGAAGAAGCAATACATAGACAGTCAGAGTGAACAAGTTGTTTGGACGATTTGGCGGGAGAATCCATACTTAAATACTCTTTTCAATCGCTTCTTCCGACAGAGGGGTATATTTTGCATCCAGGTTGTCGGCATACCATTTCATAAAAAGCCAAGGCCAAAGGCAGAAACGGGAAGGCAGAAGGATGATGCCAGCGGTGAAGCCAGGCTGCTCCTTGCACGGAGCGATTACTATTTGTCCTCTATATTGGAACCGTGGCACTATGCCAGGGAGATTGTCCTACCAAGTTTCTTCGAGTCAATGGACGCTGGTGGAATCCGTATTGGCAATGTCGAATCATTGTCCAACGTCCTCTTGTCGGAGGATACTCTGAATGGATCAGCAGGACATCTATCCCAGTGATTGAGGATGTTGCTTTTCGGTAAAGTCGGTATTCTACCCATATCAATGACACGAATACGGGCAATGCGGCATGGTCCAGGGTCGTCAGATGCATAACCAGCTTAAAATGCAGTAGGTAAGCTAAGGTTGACTGCACCCAACAGATATTTTGAGCCATGCCGGACTGTGGGAACTTCGAGGCATCCTTGACCCATTAAGCCGGGTCAGAACCATAGTTGTTATTCCGAACATTATCAACCGGACCGAGGGTGTGCCTGCGAGATGCGCCTAGGGCGGGTCGGGATAAATGCGGCACATCGAACATGATATTGAAATTATCAATCATCAAATAGCAAAAAGAAAAGAACGACGACAGGCACTTGTCAGTGCCGAGGATAATAGAAGGTGGGGTGTATATGACGGGCATTAAAACTAGAGGCATGGCAGCCACAAAGTGTTGTGTTACTCAACTTACAAAGTGGTTGAGTAGATACATACGGACGTACATACATACATACTGACCGCTTCTAATCAGCCGGTATGTCGCTTTTAAAGTGTCCAGGCCACTGCTACCCAGGACTTGTGCAGGAAGGCATGCATCCTTGGAATCATCCTCGGTATTGGAATGTCTAATCAGCAACCGGAAACTCTAGACGGGGTGGTAACGCTGGACAAACGGTCAACATGTGTTGGCACAAACGGATGGCATTCGTAGTGGATATGATCAGCCGTCCCTACTCAACGTTCGCAGGATTTGATCATGCGCAAGCTTGAACAATTGTTGGTAGACCATCCAGTTAGTAATATGGCAAGGCCCTTAGAGTAGAACTGCATATCTCTGTCTCCTTGATGAGGAATCGGAAATTCATTCGATCACCAACAAGTGGTATGTTTGGCTACTGCTAATGCAGAACCACGCAATGCAGTCGCGCCCCATTCCCAGTCGTGCTGTGACAGAAAGGTCAACAACGGCTGGGGCTGCAATATCGGAGGAAGTGCTACCTCCGATTGGACTAGAGGCCGAGATCTGAGAACGAGAAAGACAGAAAAAGAAAAGAGTACAGGAGTAGTATCGTAAGAATCCTGTTCAATCGAATCCTGTGCGGGAAACAGTCACAACATCGGGTAATGGAACGGAAAATATGAACTGCTCCGAAGCTAGAGTACAACACCAACATACGTTAACGCCATGATGGTTTCCTCGGCGCCGAGATTTCCGCGCTCTATCTAGATATGAATGCCTCATCTGCACGCTGCCGCCTAGCATAGAAGCCGGAAAGACTTGATGTGGTGCTCTACAACGGTTCAGTGATTCGGTGTGGACTTGTACGCTCGGCGAGAAAGGATCCTTATTCAAACCAATCAGGCTCATGAAGCCTACTAGTACCGGGATGGCCTGTGGTCGTTTATTGGTCACATGTAAAAGGGTGTTCCTGGGAATATGATGAAACAAGGCCATCGAGGAGGCTGTCCTCGGATTACCTGTACGATGCAGAGTGATAAGACTTCGTCACCTTGCAGTCGTCTGCGTGGGGCTTTACCCTCTTGAAGACGGGATTTGGCTGCTATTTGAAATTCAAGATCCGGTCCTTGCAGGGGGAAAAAAAATAAAAGAAAAGACAAAGAAAAGAACAGAACATATGGAAACAATCAAAAGTTGCCTAGTGTTTCTGAGCTCGGACACTAGAAACGGGGTCGGCTGCTGAATTTATTGCGTTCGTTGGACAGCCAAACATGTGTGGCTTGGTGACGAGGAATGCCAAACAAAATCTGAAAAGGGTAAAATATTATGCGTATACGAGGCTAAATATATGCAAGTAGCCGGGCCTCCAAATCACGCGCGTATGCAATCTGGAACTGGCCCGAAGCGTGTACCATCCTGCGCTCTGTGTGTGTATTTCCGAGTCGCCTGCCACTTAAGCTGCGGCTGAATGGTATCCCGGAATACAGAGTACAAGTGACTAGTGAATAGTTAGTACAGTGGAACTGGAGTCGGTTGACTCGGGAAAGAACATTGTCACATCATCTTTGATTGTTCGAGCATGAACACTGGAAGGCACTTGTCACACCACGAAAGCGAAGCACGGCAAACACTCGCGACGCACACCGATCATTATATTTATCAGCTGATTCAACACGGGCCGAGCACTGTTGATCGAACACAATATCTTGCCGAAGACCGGAGAAAAAAGAAGGTTCGATGCTGGCACAGCCAGAAGGATTTTGGAACAACCGGGTTCCTGTAAGCACGTAATCAGCCTTTGACTACGCATCCCGGGTTACCTATGAGCAAAAGTAGGTCCAAAAAGGACCAACCCTGGAAGATGAAGGCTACTTCACCAACCGGCGCAGCTCGGCCAAAAGTACGGTGCGTCCAACGTTTGAAAGTAATAGATCTTATGCAAGGTACTGAACTCATTGCTATTATTGGCCTAAAGGAGAAACATGTCAAAATATCATATAGACGAATGCACCAGCCTGCAACTCTCCTGACCCTAACCCTGACCGATAATACCTAAGAGCAAAAGACAACATTCCCAATCATTAAACTCACGAACGAAAGAAACTCCTAGTTGAGTGATAGTGTATCATAATCGTAAAAGTCATACAATGGCCAAGAAGAGACCCAACTCGTATCAAAAGTAACCAGCTGGGTTTCTAAGCAAAGTAATCCGCAGGGAGCGAGGCAAGGATAGCAATAGTACCGACTGCACCAACAACTGCGCCCAGGGCAGCACTAGCAGCATGACTCTTGATATTCGCTGTTGTAGTGGTCTTCAACCGCTTCGACGGTCTTCCTTTGTCTGGAATAGAAAGGGAATGGCTATCGGACAATTGAGATGCGTGTGTGGCAGGTAATTCAGTGAGTTGTGATGGTATGTTTCCCAGTTCGGATACAGTGATTTGTGGCTGGGCATCAGGAAGACATGAATCAACCTCTTCCAGTGTAGGTTTCTCACCCACCGAGCAATCGCTCTCAGTACAGGGGTATGTATCATGAATAACAACGCTATCCTCATCCTGAGAATCTATCTCTGCATCCATTGCTTTCCTCTTGTGCCCCTGCCCAGGGATCCTTGACGACGACGGATCAACGTCATTATGGGATGATGAAAAGGCATCATACTCTGGTCCACATATTTTCTCTAGAAGTGATGAAGATTGCATGCCAACATTACTCAAGTCAGTGTCGTCACCCGCGTCCGTTCCACGGATCTCAATATCAGTAGAACGGTTCTGCATGTTTTCGTTACCAAGAGCAGGGGCGGTAGCGGTAGGGACAATAGTGTTATCTCGATGATTACTATCAACAAACTGGGACAGCGAGTTGACAAATGGACCATCTTTGTAAGGAGGGCGTGGGCTGCAGTGATCTGAAAAAGGGTAGGCAGGACCGTGAGCAGCCTGTGCTTGCCAAGGCTCCATTGCCTGTGTGAAAGCAGTGCAATGGAACCCGGCCAATGAGTGATCGAATAATTTTCTGCCCGGATGTAAAGGGAGGCCGGAGTTCGTGTCATCTCTGGCAGTGGCCGACCAAGGCGTACTCGGTTCATTAAGGCTCGGAGAGGTATTGTTAAAGAGAGGACCAACTCCGCAGCTGGCCGCGGTCTGACGGGTGAGATCCGGTATGCATGCCTCTGCTTTCTTGCCTTTCGAATAGAAATCCGTAGTCGAAGTATCATAATCGCCACAAGTCGTGTCTGCCTGTATACCCTGATTGATAGTCATGTATGGATCAGGGTTCAATCTCACGGAAAACCTATCTGGGTCAGATTCTTCGCCATCATATGCTGACTGTGACTCGGACATTGAGTCATCCATGGAATCAGCTTGGTCGTCCTCTTCACTCTCCCAATCACTAGGTTCAGCAACCGATTGTTCTTCAGAAACTAGGACTATTGTATTTTCGGGGTTATGAATGACATAGGAGGTTTTTTCTTGAACCTTGTTACTGGCCCCTTCTGCGATATCAACAGCTGAGGGTGGAGTCATTCTTGGGGTTGCAAGAGGCTGTTCGGCCTGTTCGCTGTCGACATCAATCGGACTTTGCTGTGATCCGATGAAGTCACCACCTTTAGGCGGGGAAGTAACTGGGGAGGATATCTCCATGACTGAGTTGTCATCCGAATCCGAGCCAAGATCCGAGTCTACTGACTCAGAGCTACTTTCAACAGCCGTCACTACTGGGGCTGGGATTGAATCATAAATCACTTCATTGTCATCATCGTCGTCCTCGTCAGGAACACAGAACGTATTAGTTGCCCGGTTCGGCTGGTGGTTGTTACTAATATCTAAGGCAACCTCGTCACTATATGCTGTGTTAGAGGATCCCAACATCAGTTGTACGCGCATAGCATACCCAGAATCTATCCACTGGTGTTCACAGCGAACTTTGAGTGGAGGGAAAGTCTCTTTGGAACAAGGTCAGGAAAGTCTCTGAACTCTACTTGAACAACAGACTCACCATGGCCACGGACAACTTCTGTTCCAAAAACCACCTCATCGCCGTTCCTAAGGATAGTGTCCTCCCCAACGCGTACCTTTTCGCCGTTCACCCAGGTGCCGTGCATAGAGTTGCCGTCACTGAGATAGAGAGTCTAATGCCAAAAAGTATTAGCACAATCCACATGATGGATACGAGAAAATAATGGGTCCTGTTAGAGACACTCCGCTAGCGTACCTTGTTGTTTAAACATACACGTAACGTTGCATGATTCCGTGACATCACGCGAGAGTCAAACAATCCATTGTGGTTGGTAGGGATGAGGTTCTTCCTCTCACGTTTCGAGGCGCGGCCAACCTCGATATGATCGGAGTCCGACGTGAAGGTCAAGGAACGATATGGAAGGACGTCCGATATGTTAAGCGGGTAAAGATTGACGATGGCTAGAAAGCAGAGTGGTATAAGCCAGTCAAGATTCACTAGCTATGGTTGACTAAAGTTGAAGGAAAATCCACATACCCTTTCTGCCAGGCATCTTGGCTTGATCAGCACAACTCCGTTCCAGGGAGATAAGGTATAGCCAAAGCCAGTATTAAGGAAGCCAAATATTCCCGACGCAATCTACAACGCGAGTCCTTAGTAGTTGGTACAACAAGTAGTGCGAAAACATCCACCAGCTATTTAAACGCTGTGGGGTGTCGGGGATGTTGCTGGTAGTAAAACAAGGCGTGCTCTGTGGATGGTGGAGATGGGAGGAGGGGCAAGAAAGGGGAAAGGAATGCGTACCTTATGCAATCAAGTCAGCCTGAGTGTAAGGGACGGTCACTGTCAGGCAGTGAAACACGACAACCACTGGCTTATGCTATCCTGCTACGTAGCAAGTGCACGCATCTGGAAAATGACTCAAGCAAAACTTCTCGTTGATAGGTAGAAAGCTGGAAACCTCAAATCTCGTAGATCAGGCAGTAGTTTGATGATATGATTGATGCTACTAGTACTATGTAGGTGGGTATGAGAGCGACACGAGGTGAAGAGGGGAGGAAGGAGCGCAGCTTCCGGGTCAGCCGACAGTAGTCCACAGAAGCGAGTCCAAATGTAAGACCGATATTCGCAACCGGAGTGACTCAACAGGAGGAAAGAAAATCCTAAGGGATGGATGAGTTGGTATCAAGATGGAGATTCCAATGATGACGCTAATACGCAGAGCACTGATAGGCGGAAGAGTGGGGTTTCCGCCCCGTCAGGTGGACACCCCATGACCATATCATGAGCTGTTTAGTTTTAGTTTTGTCCCTTGGGCTGGAACCAGTCCATATATCATAAAACCCCTGCCCCGAGTATTATTGGCCCACGCTTGCAGAAGCATCAGAGTCACTCTCAGAACCATGAATTAAATTCCAAGAATGCGGATCAAAACCTCCATCATAGATTCTTTAATCGCTTACTGATTTAGGCAGATACGGCAGGACTGTTTTGACACCCTTCCAACTCTTCCATTGGCTATGATACAAGATTTCTTCCCATCTTCCCTTAAACATGACGCCTCAGGCACCGAACTTGCCTTCGTTGCAATTTCCTGCTCATTTCAGCCATTCTTCCTACACAAAAAAAAAGTAGCCGGTACTGCATTCGAAAGAAAGTGAAGTATAACGAAGAGGGAGAAAAAAAGAACAAATATGAAAGTAGCCACCCTTGTATTACCCGAACAAGGGGACTGCGAAAGGATATGGAAACCGGGGGGGAAAGGGGAAGCAAAGCTAGTAAGTACATGCGCAGATGAAAGGCTCCGGCACCCTAGATGTATCGGAAGAGACTAGAAACAAAAGGATCATGGCCAGACATGAACCATCGCCTGTTCGTTCTAGATGAGGTATGAAAGTGGGGGGAAATGAAAATGACAAACACTATTAATCCAACATATACTTCTTGGTCACTTCAAACGCGGGGGAAAATAAAAGGAAAGCACGTCTCAATTTACAGGCCCGGGGGTCCTCCGAGGCCAGCACCCATGGTCTGCAAGCGTGCAGCGAGCTGAGGGTATTTCTCTTGCACTTCGAGCTGTGTCCGGGTTGCCTCAGCGTATGAGATAGCGTTGATAATTTCAGCTTCGGTACGAGCCAGCTCTGCGGCTCTTTCGAAATACTTGAGGGCCTGTGAGACCTTGCCCTGCTGCAGAAGGAGCTGTGCCATGGTTCCCACAGCGATGTCACATTCGGGGTCAACTGGAGCGGGGTTAGACTATAATCCGTTTTGCACATAATAGCGGCGGTTACTTACTGATCAAAGCCTTCTGGCACAGATTCTCGGCCTCTTGGAAGTCATGCTTCCACTGGAACAGAGCGAGCGCCTTGTTGATAAGGGGCAGAACGTTGATTCCCATGGGCTTGCTCTGTTTCTCCATCTCTACGGCCTTATCGAACTTCTCAATGGCTTCAGAGAAATTCTGCTGGTCAAGGAGAAGTTCACCGTAGTAGTTGTAGACATCCGGCACGTCCTCGAAGTTCTTCACAGATCTCCTGAAAGTGGCCATGGCGGATGCGACAGATCCCATCTTGTATTGTGTTACACCCAGCTGGATGTGAGAATAGATGAAGGTACGGTCAAGGTCGATGGACTTCTGGTAGTCCTTAGCGGCTTCGGCAAATTCGCCGAGGATGAAGTGAAGCTGGGCGCGGTGGTAGTAGATATCAGCGTCGTCCTTGTTGTGGGAGATGGCGAGGTCAAAGTCGTCTGCAGCGGCATCCTTGTTACCTATCCATTCTCTGTTAGAAATGACATTGACTACGCAACGAGGCTACTGAAATTGGGAGATGGTGTTTACCAAGTTCAAGGTGCAGGCTAGCACGTTTGATGTAGCTCTGAACCAAAGATGGCTGGAGTTCAACGCTCTTATTGAGGTCCGCCAGGGCAGCCTGAGCATTGCCCTCGAGGTAAGTGAAGGTGGCTCTCAAATTGAGGGCAAGGGCTTCGAATTCACCAAGGTCGCCAAGCTCCAGGGCCTTTTCGAAGGCTGTGGCAGCCTCGTCATAGCCATCACCGGTCTTCAGCGCCATTGCGAGCAGACCCTTGCGCAACTGACCCTTGCCAGAATCCTCGCTCAACTCAACGGATTCAGCGAGACCCTCAGGGAGGGGCTTGGGACGGAAGCTCTGAAGGTAGTTGGACACGAAGGTCGGGCTAGGGAGCTTCTTGCCCTTAGCTTCCAGGATCGCTTTGCCCTTTTTCTCCGCAACCTTCTTCAAGAGTCTCTCAAGAGCGACACGGCTGACCTCGTTGGAGAAGCCGTCGATGATGCAGCTGGCAGTGAAGTCGAGAAGGGCCTCGCTGAACTTCTCGAGGTGTTCATATGCAATAGCTCTCCGGTTCAGGGCCTTGACATACTCGCTATCCATTGAAAGGGCAGCGGTGGTGTCCTGGACAACCTTCTCCCATTCGGACAGGACATTGTAGCAAGCAGCGCGGTTGGAGTAGAAGACAGGGTCAGGTTTGCAAAGAATAGCTTTTCCGTAGAGTTCGATCGCCTTGTTGTAGTCTTTGGAGCCGTAAGCCTTGTTACCGGCAGCTTTCAGCTTCGCAGCATAGGCTTTCCGTGTCTACAGGTCAATGTCAGCGTCAGCGCTCATTTGTTACCACAACGCCATTAACCCACCTCTTCCGATAGCTGTCCAACAGTAGCTTCGTCAACTTCGGGGAGTTCTTCAGGAGCTTCTTCGGCCTTCTTGTTCTCTATGGGATCATTAGTTCCAGTGTTGAGCGGTCGGAAACCTGGGAGATCATCTATAGGGACATACCGTCCTGGACAGCAGCAGCCTTGGCCTTCTCTTTCTCTTCCGCCTTCTTCTTCTCCTTTTCCTTCTCCTTGCGTCGCTGATTCTTGCTCTTCTTCTTCTCTGTAGGCTGAGGAGCTTGAGCCGGCCGGCTCGAGTCGGAGAGATAGTAGACAACACCCGCACTGGTCACGACCACAGCGACACCAGCAATGGTATAAACAAGAGCCTTATTCTCAGATACCCATTTCGAGACACGATCCCAGACCGACGCCGATGAAGATGCCGGAAGAGAAGCAGTGTCAACAACCACGTTCTTCACTGGTTGAGGTAGTGGTGATTCGTTCGACATGATGACCCTGCTAGGAACCCGTATTCCTCGATCTTATCGAATTCTGCAACGATTAGCAAGGCAACTATTAACGAGAGGAAGTATATAAGGATAAAAGAAAATCCATAGATTGGGAAATACGAACTGGTCCTTGGTGCACGGCGAAAGCCTGTCGGCAGAAGGGCTACTTTTTCGGGGTTGGAAGATGGAAGGAGCGCGGCTTGAAAAGTTATGCGTAGAAGGGTGGTCCGGCGACGCAGGAGCGGCTTTCCGCCCGGGCAGCTCGTCATGCAACGCAAGCCAATCACACCCACTACAAAGGGATGCTCAGTGCCTTGCTTTCTCCACAATATCAGCGTCGAGTGCGAATACCAGGAACCGGACTGCAATACCCGATACCGAATGAAATTCTACCACGTCCATTTGGATCCAATGTTTTCCTCTTTATTGCTGTATGATCGGTCGTGTGCGCTGTTCGCTCCAGGCTAGTACTAAAGTGCTTCATCCAGATCCATAGGCTGTTGAGGAATCCATTCCAACATCACCTCCTTAAAGCTGGAATATTAGCCAATAAGACCCGTCGCAATGGCATCCACTCCACCAACATCCTCCTTGGATTCCTTTCAGATCATATCTTCTCTCCGTTATGACCCTGCGATTCCGCATGCGATCGGTGAAAGAACTGCAGAACCCCGTCTTCTAGCTACACCATACTACCTTCTACCTTACCACCGGGATCGGCTCCTAAACGCGGCAATGTGTTTCAATTGGGCAAAAGCTATTGAGTTTCTACGGCAAGATTTGGACCAGTTTACTCAGATTCTAGAGACGTTTGTACCAAACAAATCAAAACCATGGCGCCTTCGTATTGTTATTGACAGCAGTGGATTGTGCAAGGTTGAAGCCAACCCGACAGCATCAATGGACCCCCTAAACCTTCTCTGCCCTTCCCGAAACGTTTCACAGCCAAATACGTGGCGTGTATATGTTGACTCAGAGTCTACAGCCCCTTCGGACTTTACTACGCATAAGACTACTGCGCGTGGGGACTATACAGCTGCCAGGTATCGGTCTGGGATCCTTTCACCCCAAGAGCAGGCAGAGGTGCTTGTAGTGAATCCAAAGGGCGAAATCATGGAAGGGAGCATCACAACCCCGTACTTCAGGCGGCGCAAACCTGGATCTGAGAAGGATAGCGCGAGCAAAGACTCCGGACCAGAATGGGCCACACCACCGCTCTTAAGTGGTGGCAATGCAGGTACAACTAGACGATACGCCCTGGCAGAAGGGTTTTGCACAGAGGAGGTCATTACAGTGGCTGATTTAGTAGACGGTGAAGAGTGTTGGCTTAGTAACGGTGTCAGAGGCTTCATCCCCGGTAGGATTACATTGATGGACCCGAAAGGGTCCGAAAGGGTCCCACTTCCACGGTAATATATAGAACCGTTCATCTCGAATCCGAGTATACCCTCGAATTAAGTCGGAACATATAGCGTCTTTACGTGGTCTGAAATGAAGAAGTGCAAGGGACATTGTGTGGTGGTCATTGATCGTGTAGCTGTAGGGTAATGCATCTCTAAACAGAACTCGTCTAAAACTGTAGTGGCTGAAAAGCACCACTTGCTCTAGTTCTTTTTTTCGATAACAATTGGGTTGGGGTTACCCTTCCACTCAAGTGGACGAGTACTCATATACTCCTTGAGCATCTCCTCAGTTACCTGGGCCCTACGCTCTTGAAAATCTTTAACATAGGTTTGCAGCTCAGCGATACACTTCTGCTTCATCTCGCCAGTGAGCATCTCTCCCTTCTCATATGCAGTACGAATACGCTCAAGTTCTTCATCATCCTCCAGGAAGAAAGTGAGGTACTGGAACGGAACATCGACTTTGCTGTTTCCGCCGAGCTGACGCTGGAGTTCAGCAGTGTCTTGGCCGCCCGAGAAGGCATACTTGTTGATCTTGTTCTTGATACGGGCGGGGGTATCGTTCATGAAGATGGCGGATGTGTCCACGCTAGCGGACATCTTGGAGCCAGGGCCTTGAAGGGCAGGTAGGAAGATTGCATGGATCAGTGACGGCTTCTTGTACTTCATCTTCTCGGCGTTTTCACGGCATTGCCGGAAATAAGGATCTTGGTCGATTGCGCAAGGGATCAGACACGGGATGGACGAGACCTTCTTCCTGTCTGTGCCAAAGATATGCGGGAAACTGGTGGCAAATGCCGAGGCGGACTGAGTAGCACAGAAATGGAATTCACCAATGTTGTTGCTGTCGTTAAATCCGAACGTTCCCTTTATAGAGTTGATTGTAATACGCTTGGCCATCCTGCACATGTTCTCGTAGAAAGCGCCGCCAACAAAATCAAAATCGCTGAAGATGAACGTCTTCTTCATATCGAAACCAACAGCGATAATGTCCATGGCATTCGCCTTGGTATATCTCTTTGCGTCCTCGACGTCGATCTTTTGCGAATGCATGAATTTCTAAAGGCCAGTTAGCATCACAAGAGGAATAACCGATCGATATGTGTGGAACATGCCTCGTCGTCCGTAAGCATGATAACCAATGGGCAGTCGAAAACATCTTGCAACCATCTATGTAGTACAGTATCGTCAGTTATTAATCGTGTGATGTACTTGGCAGATCAAGAATGCATACTTGGTGAATTCGAAGGGAATTGTGTGTCCAACGTGCATGCTGTCACTACTAGGTCCTCGTCCAGTATAAAGGTAGAATGGCTGGCCCTTTTCATAGCGATCCAGAATGGTAGTCAATTCGCGGTGACTAAAAACAATTCCTCTGCGCATAAACCTGTGAGGGCGATGGCCGGTAACTTTCTCAAAGCGTTCGAGCAAGGCTGGTGTGATAGGAGTGGCACCGAATTCGCGCACCAGCTTGTCATAGTCAACCGGTAAGAGCTTTCCAGACTCATCAACTCCACCAGAGACGTCAAAAGGTGTAATCTTCTGTCCGACTGCCTTGGAATCGGGCGCCTTTTCGGCAAGGCTCAAAGTTGTGAGCGCGGGGGGTTGACCAGGTTCGTCCGCCATGTTCGAAGATTGTGTCTGCAGAGACACAAAAAATTTGTAGTGTATAGAACTTGCTGGCTACCGCTCTGTGGCACCCAAAGGCTAGAACGGAATTAAAGACCGGGGTCTTTGTAATAGCGCTGCCGTTGCTAATCTTGACACCGATATAATTTGTATCTCTGCCCCTCCAAGCATGACCAACGATGAGTCATCCTATCAAGCGACCATTGTTCCTCTTATTGGCTTGTTGTAGTACATCACGTGAAGCCGAACGGCTAGCACCCCGCGTTCCGGATGAGGCTAGCGCAATGGCTCTAGAAGCTATCAGAAATTCTTCCGTCGCCGAAAGGAGTCCGGGTCCGAGCAGAATTGTCCGACCACTGAGAAAGGCGATTGAGCAGACGAGCACCCAACAGCTCACAGAGCATCACCCCATCGCCACAGCTCCTCTATCGCTTCCCCATTATTCAGACTGACTATATGCATCTGCAATCATGAAGTTCTTCGAGAACGTATTTACTTACGATTACTCCTTCCCTGCTGTCTCTCTAGCCTACTTCCTCCGCTATCCCAACCCGTATTCTCGCCATGTCCTAACGACTGATGTTATCGATCGCTACGTCGATCCCAAGACACAGCGTCTTCATACAATTCGCCTTCATCTAAAGAAATCAAAAGTCCCCGCTGGCATACTCAAATTGCTCCCCAAGGGCATTGGAGGATCCGACCATTCCGGTCAAAGCTACATTCTCGAGACCACGGTCGTCGACCCCAAGGAAGGCTGGATGGAAAGTGAATCACGTAACATGGAATGGACTGGCATCCTCAGTGTCGTTGAGAAGCAGGTTTATCTGCGTCAGCCAATTGAAGGGGCTCTTGATAGTCTCGAGGGGCTTGCCCTTGACGACAAGAGAGGCGAGCAGACGACTGTGAAGACGACCGTCACGTTCCGTTCTCGGTTCGGACAAGGAAAGCTGCTCGGAAGAAAAAAGGTAGATCCAATTGGTGACCACAATGGCGAGGTTGAAGAGGATGCACCGAAGAGGGGTTTTTTCTCCTCTCTATCAACCGCTGGTATTCAGCGGACAATCGAACTCATTGGGGTGAAGCGGACCCGGGATGCCGTGCTTAAGAGCAAACAAGGCATGAATGTTGTCTTAGAACGTTTGCGTAGCGGCGGAATAGTCGGCGTCCTCGAAGGGATGCGCCAGGATCGAGAGGCAGCCTTTGGACCTGAAGGCCCTTGGAAGCGTGTCTGGGCCAGGGGTCATGCACATATCGAAGACGATGACAACTAGTCTTTGTTGGATATTCAGGGAGCGGCGAACAATTTGGGAAACATATGCAGCATTCAAGCATGGAGTTTTTTGGCGTTTGGGACTTTTCTGACTGACACTCTCCTACCATTTCGACCTTGCATTCGACTCACATACTTTTTTTTTTCTTGTCAGCATTATTATCACACAAGCATATTTGCCGGTCATGCATTATTCCACGAAGATGTTTCACGAAACAAAATGTCGATTGTATATTAGGAAAAGGGCAAGAGGCCGATCGGTGATTTCACTCATTTGGTGGACACCTACTGTACTATACTATGTATGAATCTTTATTTACCTTGACAAATTTTCCCTTAAATATATTGATACTTTCCTGCTTTCTTGGCTAGCTATGAACTTATCTATAGATCGCGACAGAAGCACTTCAATAGCTAAATAGATGATCTCACGGGTGCTAAGTTAAACGAAAATTTGCCAACTTAGTAATCCTTACGAATTGTTTGGTGTAAGGAGTACAACCTACATTCACAGGTCGGTTTCCTACCCCCATCTGCACTTTGGTTCTTGCAACTTCTTTTCAGGTGAATGTCTAATATAGAAGGGAAATTTGAGTATAAACTGGAAAGTCAGCACTTGTTGGATGAAGCAAGCTATTAGCTCAACAACCCCTCGCACGGACATACCGAACCTTGTACAGCATCTAAAGTCAGGTTATTCTAGCCTCTTCTGAGGTCACAGTGAGACCAGAGTCATTTAGCAGCCATTCTTACATCACTGTCTACATATAATAAAAGGAGAACAATACAGGATTGGAGAGCACTTCCACGTGATTCGATTCACAAGAGACTCTTATTTACAGTCCACGCGTGGTGTGTTGTTCAATTTACCGTACACTAGGACGGCGTGAAGCTGGAATGGAAAACCGACTACCTACTCGTGCACTAAAGCGGGAGAGCGACAGCCATGAGCAGAGTTCTAGCTCTAAACGATCACACGGGGCGACGATGGATCCTCTAGCGCTCAAGGACTTGGGCGAGCACTTAAAGATTTTACCCGTGCCTACGGACACCGATGACCTGGAAACGACATCGCGAAAGATGCAGGATCTCGCCAGGGTTGTTGAGCGGGGCAATAGTCTTGCACTCTGGACGGGACTGAAGCTGGCGTCGCACAACAAACGCAGGGATCTGGAAAGCTCAGCTAGGGCACAGATGACGGAATCTGAATGGGAGCTGTATGAGCGCTGGAAAGGAATGCAAGACACCTGCAATGACGGGGACGAGCACAATAACCAAAGTGAGCAGCAGAAGCCATTGGATATTCCAGAGTTCAACTGGAACGAGAACAAAGCTCCTGTGCCAACAGGAGCTCACAGTGTCCGAAAATTTACACAGCGGGCAGCAGTCATGGACATGGTCTGGGGCCACCAAGGCGCCACTCCCGAACATGCATCATGGCTGACTTTTAATATGCCAGTTATGCTACCCCTCATTAAAACGATCACCAAGGTCTCTAATATCCAGAAGCACATTCAGGACGCCGATCCTCTTGCTGGTAAACTGACAGACATGGAGGCTGCAGAGATTGAAACCGTGCGCAGGGTAGTAGAGGTCGCAGAGGGAAACAGATTACGTGAATTGGAACGGATCCGCAAGCTGGCCAAATCCATCTGTGAGTCGGCCGCAATTATCAAGTCTCGTGCAGAGGGACTAGAGAAACTTGAGAGGTAGCGTGTTCCACCGACTGTTGTCGAGTCATGGAGGTATATACCTGAGAGGCACGGGAAAAGAAAAAGTGAGAGGCTTTGCTGTCAAACTTTTTTGTCGTAATCAGTTACCAGTCAGTCCACGCCATGATAGATATGTAGTGGAAATGGGAATCCGAGATGTGAGGTCTCCTATCCCCGTTCTCAATTGGGATGCAGGTAATTACTGGATTGAGCGATTCCATATATCTCGAATCACCCGATCCGACCGGTAATGACGCAAGGTTCGACTGCGGTAAAAAGAGACCCTAAGAGTCGCTCGCATCCATTATTGGTCACCGGGCTCGTCGGATATTAATCTGGGTCATATCCACTCATATCCGAGGACACCAAACCCGAAGCGAAACAAATCTCCATTTTGGCTGTTGTTAAGTCGTTCTATGGCTGAATTGCGGTGTCCTCGGCTTCTTGTACAGTGTACTTAGGCTTAAGTCTGACCTTGGCATACATTCCCAAACACCAAAACAAGGCAATTTAGTAGGGCTAGCTGTCGGATTCTTCCCAACTATGACGGCATCTTTCTAGAAGAGATTGAAATTTTGGCCGCCAGATGACCTCATGGCCAACCATCCGAGGGAGTGGACAACAATGTTCGGTAGTATCCTGTATGGAGTACAACCAGGCAGAAGTCAGCAGATGGCCATAGCGTACATACATCCAGAGTACTGTACATCCCTTGGACTAGAGCGTACACCACGGTGCACAACAGAGGATCTAAGCCAAGTCGTCTGTACGGAGTTATCTTGGCCAGAATAATTGCCATGCAGCTGATATGTGAGAACGAGTCAGGAATGCTGTTGGTGTTCACGGTGTCACCATTGGCGATATTAACCTTTCAGCCCTTGTAGTAATATTAATATTAATATTGACGGCATTTAGGCGATGTTCGTGAGAACGTTAGAAGCAACTTCCGAGACTCACCATCAAATACTCATTAGTGATGGAATAATGACAGCTCGGCGCTACTCAGGGTTGGCCGGTACGAAGTCGTATCTCGGCAACCATGATGTAGTATTATTACTCTATCGTTATTACCATTGCCATTGTTCGGTGTTGCTAGGGCCTCTTGACCCAGGGATGGTAATCAACGCTAAGGGAACCCCGTTGGATGCCCGAAGAACTAGAGATAGGAGCCATAGGAACCACAGGGAACCATGGTCGTTTGGAATTCTCAACAGAGGTTAGCTGTGAAAATTTGAATACCCCATCCGATTAAGTTTGTAAAACTTGGATGGCACTTCCAGTACTCCGTAGAAGCTGCTGTATTATTATTATTTTTTTTTATGTGACCTCTCCTGGCTCAGATTGCATGAAATTTTCTTTTTCTATCAAGACCTTCTGTCGGAGAGTCTACGGCGTTCAGGGTGCGGCTGTGCAGTAGTAATAAGCAATTTCACCTCGTGATGTTCCACTGGAAATCCGGTGGGAATATTGCAGAGAGTTCAGTCGATGCTACACTAAATTTGATAGGTGGCAATAAATGAAGTACTGTACGGAGTAGTTTGTTGTCCATCCTCGTCGAGTAACTACTGATAGGGCCCGAGTTGGGGGCAATACTCAAGAGTATTAACTTGGAACACTGGTATGAATTGTACAGTAGCACCACCATTAGTGTGATTGAGGGTCTTGTGGAATTATGTACCGCGCTACCACAATACTAGTTGGTTTGTTTCTTCCCTAAACCAAGTTAGTTAACCACTCCCGTTGTTTCCCCGTCGGTAATCATGTAATAGAGATTTAATTAGACATTGACCCATCAGCAGGTATTATTGGCTTACTATTGTTTATGATTTCCTCTAGCCCTTTTATTTTTTGCCTCTTCAATATGCAAGATTACTATCTGTAAGTACACAATGCTTTTCTTCATATTTTTATTTTACCTTTATTTTTTACCCCCTGTTTACTGTGAACAGCACACCGTACGACCAAGTAATAAAGATTCGAAAAATACAAAATAAAATGAAAAATCAAGTATTGCCTTTCCCGGGGATGCCTCGGTAATCAAGTATTACTCAGATTGCTACTTACTGTGCCTAGGTACAGTACTTCGCTGCCTTAAGTAATTTGGCTCTGCATAAGTTACATCTTACGACTACTCAAAGCAGTAGTACTTCTCTTAAGGACAGTACTCCGTAGAAGGTGGTAACTTGCGCCCGTCACAATACGGTAAGATTGTTTACTAGTTTGAATCTCAAGGTACAATTGGTGGCTGGCAGCAGACTATGTAGGCAAACCCATTGGTCCCTCCGGACCCTCAGAACCCTTGGAAGACCGAAATATGTGAGGATGCGGCGTTCTTAGTGGACGCCTCCTGGCACCCTGGGCGGATCAACCGCCGGAACTGCCGTATTCGGTGAGGAAATATGCGGGGACTGTCTGTTAGCGTCAGTGACCAAGAAGGGCCAAGAATGCCTCCTAAAACGCCAGGGAGCCAGCAAAAAGATGAGTCTCCTCTGGCCAATCCGGGATCCACACTCCCTGTTTCACAGGCAAGACAATAATAAGTCGCCGGTCACAGAAGGAGAGAAGGAGAGCGAGAAAAGAGAGTGTGCTGGACCAGCAGCATCGTGACTGACTTGCCATTCATGAATGATTTTCTTTTTTATTTTTTTCCCTTGTTGCAATCCTTCATCTATCTGACATTACCTTTGACCCTTCTGCCAGTGGTGGTTCCCCCCTGGGTTACAGCTCCTCTCTGCTGCACACCCATAATCAGCTGGCCTCAAACCCCCCCCCCCCCCCCCATTACTCCCTCCCAACTAGCGGAGGGTTCCGACTCGGACCTTACTCTACTCGATTCCCAAATTCTGACAGCAGGGAACACTTCCCCTCCCTCTTTATTCTCAGTGCGACCGCCATCTGATTTAGCGTTCTTTCGAATCCCTTGGCTTTTCGGTGTCAGGGCGGAAGGCGTTTCATGAGAGACCATTCTTTTGCTGACACGGAAAACGGTGACCTGGCGAATCTATCGCCCATCCAATTCGGAGTTTAGACGAGCGAAGCGCTGAAGATAGATACATCTCCTCTTTACACTTTCAGGTCCTTTTGCTGTTTGAAATCGCCGGACGCGACTATTATGTTCTAAAGAGTATTCCACTCTATTTTCGTGCAAGACTACGGTAGTGTTACTCGAATCCCTTCGACCACCATCGACCTCCCTCTTACCACCAACTCGGTTATGAGCATGCCAGTTGTGCTGGCCGCTGCTCCTCTATTATCGCTGCGCTTCTGAGCCTACTCGGTCATCCCCACGGAGACGGCTCTACTTCAATAGTCCTCGGCCTCCAAATGGCGGACCCTTGGAGAATGAGGTCGACGTTCCGACCATGTCTGGTTCTATTGGCGATGTTGTCAACAATTCTACAGCCAGGCCTCGCCCAGATCTGTTCTTTCTGGGATGGCGGATGTGTTGATCCCTACGCCCAGACGGCAGTTTCCTTCGATTTTTCCCCTCTCTTCTTGGACGATCTTACACTATATTATGCATACGACGCCAACTCTCGGGGTAAAGGTAACGAACCTATGACTAAAGCTAGTTTTTGGATGGGCTATGCAGCACATCATGTCGATAGCTCAGCCATCTCCACAAATCGCACGTTGGAGGTTGGCTTGCGTGTGGGAAACTTGACAGGTACCCCTTCCGGGGGGACGAATGGATGCGACGGTGTTTGGGGACCACAATGCTCGATGAACCTCAAGGAGACATTAAAGGAAGCTATCTATCAACTCTCCGCCAAGGGAGAATATTACACCTTTCCCCTAGATACTGTGTTACATGAAATGCTCGTCAACCCGCCTGCTCTTCCCAACTGTCCACCGCCTTTCTTCGATGTCCAGCGAATTCCAGTTAAGCGTACGTGAAGGTTCCTTGTCTCATAGACTACCCGTGTACTTTGCTCTGTTACTTACACTTTTGCCAGCGTTCGCCTCGGAGACGGTAAATGACAAAGTTGCTATGATGTCAACTTCTGGCTCTAGCGATGACCCCTGGAAGACATGGTATATCGACAATATGACTGCGAAACAACAAGCAGATCAAGTGGCCGTTGCCATCATCAGCCGAAGCCCGTCATACGACAGTCCACCCCTGAAGAGCAAAAACGATGTTCAAATCGAACTAGTGTGCCTTCAGGCTCCTTCAACCGGGAGTTCGTCATCGAACCAAGATTCCACGTAGGGTTCTCGAAATCACGTCTGAATATTCCCTTTCATACTCTAAGGGCCACAAGTTGTATACTTTGGTGGCCATACTAATAGCACCTTGCTGCATTGCACTCTTCGCTGGCATGTCTACCGCTTCACATGTCTCATAACAATTCATTGTTAAAGAAGAGATTACCAGATCTACTCACGATCTTTGCCCGTCCGCAGCAGGCTCTCAACTTCCCGGACCGTGTGTGTGTGTCATCGCATCGAAGTTCGATGCGATACGATGGCCGTGTTGCCGTGTTCTAGGGACCATAACCTTGGACAAACCGATTGCATGGACCACGAGTGTTGGCATGGGAGGACGCGACCATGATTCAGCTCTACTTCTGGGTATTTTGGATTTTTGAAATGACCCAGTTTCACTATGCGTTGCCGGGATACCCATCAATTCTCGGAAACTTGATATGTTCGCATTGGAGTTGTATTTAGTTGCACCTAGGACCGACCACTTTACACGCGGCATCCTTTCAAGAAATCTGTTCTTGGAACCTAGTATACTTGTTTGGTTATACATTGAATAGGGCAAAGTGAAATGCTCTCCGCTTTCGGGCTATCGTCGTGCCACGCAGACTGATCGGATTTCCCCCGTGAGCCCACGGCCGACAGGACCGGGTCTTGATTCCTTGAAGGAAGCCCTCGATGCTACCATGCCTTTTATCACAGCGTCGGCCAATTCATCTGTATTGGTTTCAGATTACCCGGACCACAGAAATCCTCCAAGATCTCGGCCTGTTCACTCAAAAGTATCCGATCGACTTGGCTACCGATTTGAGCCAAACTTCTCATTCGTGCTAGATCCTCTGGGATGCGCTTATCGCCACGAGCCGTCGTGTTTTCCTCCCAATGTCCCTTGGAAAAGGCTATCAAGGTCGTGATATGCTTCCGTGAAATATCGAAAACCAATGAACAGATGGTGCCAGTTTCCTCGAGCCAGTTACACTGCCATAACTCTCCGGGCCGGATGCATTGGTATGTGGCTGATTGAAACGCCGCACGCCCCGCCATGGGGCCCCCATGAATGGCGTAATTTATGCGGTCCTCGTTGTAGAACCACATTTCATAACGCCATTTCTCTGGATTTCCTTCCGTATCCTGCGCTGCATAGTCATATATCAAGTGACGATCGCGAATGTCCTCATCGAAGGTAGACCCTTGTAAAGAGGGAAGAACAGGCATTTTGAAGACAAGGGTGTGTTTAGTCTCGATCCTGGAGCACAATCGCGAAAGCAATGCGCAAGCAATAGCGGGGGGGGGAAACAAGGAAATTATAATAATATATCCCTTTTGGGAATTTTAAAATTATTTTTGGCCACTGCAGTAAACCTCAAGTTGTCGACATAGCCACTTCACCGAAGAGCCCACGGTGTATTCACTACTCAGTAGCTAGGTCAGTAAGCGGCTGTAATGACAACCAACGTACGGAGTTTAAACCTCTCAAAGTTTCTTTCAACTCGGGAGGCTCGGGATCTCATGACATCATGATCTTGCCGATAGCCCCAAGACGATAATCGCGTCGATCTTAAGCTTGGTCGCACCCGAGACAATGGACCAAGATCTCCGCCCGAATGTGTCCCTGGCAACCAAATCATGATTGAATGATGAGTTGATAGCCGAGAAGCTAGAATGGAATTTCAGGCTGTAGTTATAAGATCGTCGTGAAACACATCGACTTTTAGTGGAAGTGAAAATGTATCTTGCTCAGAATTGTTCTTGTGGTTGCTTTGGTGTTGATTTAGCAATAGGGTTGGGGTAGTTAATTGTATATATTAGTGCTCGTATTATGTTTAGAAGGGCAATTAGAAATAGGATTTATTCATTATGCCTCAATTAAAATTTAGAAATGATTATGGCTTTTATTGCTCTTATTATATACTCGTGCCTACTAGTTATCTCCTGTGCTTTAAATCCTTTTGTGGTTGTGGTTGCTTTTACAAGCTGAGACTAGATATCGTAGATGTAAGAACGACCGGACTCACCTCCTCCATCATAAGCCCAAGAGCTGTACAATGACAGGTTCTGATCCAACAGGAAGGGAGAAAATTAATCGAAGTTAAGAGGAGCTGCAAATCCCTTGAAAACTCTTACTAGGTCCAATAGCTAGGTAGCTTTCGTTTGAGGTGGCGCATCAACATATACCTTGCACGTCAACTTCAACCATGGAGATATTGTGAGAGGTCGCAAAAGTGGGAAAGAGAAAACAAGGAGAACAATAGGGAGGGAGCCATTGACGGCAGAATTCTTAGAATACATGGGAGCTGCCTGGAAAAAAGGTACAAAAACCGTCACAGGTTGAGTTCAACCAACTAAATCTCACGATTCCCTCAAAGTACCATGGGTACTGCAAAACCACTCCACAGTATGAGTATGTCTGCACCTTAACCCTCTATACTTACACCCGCACCATTTCCTCTTTTATGTCCAACATCATGTTGATTATCCATGTGTATAATTGCCTATGAATTGCCCGACTTTCTTGCCTCGTACTATGTACGTACTAGTTGTGACACTTTCTCCACAAATCTCACGGTGTCCAGTCGATCTAAAGATTAGCGCCACGTGCATCCCTTTGCTAGATAAGGAAGAGTCAATAATTGCTCAACAACTACCACCCGCCTATATAAAATTATGATGCATTCCGCAAATTTAATCGCTATGCTGATACTCGCACGTCTTACTCGCTGTGACCACATTGTTAGTAGTCGTGGGCGTCGTCTCGTCTCGCCTCAATTGCATCCGATATAGCGAACGCTCTGTGCTTATCGGGCTCATGGTTTACGCGTCCCATTTTATAACAATGCAGACCGTTCTGGCCGGTGTCAGCACGAATCTAGCTGATGCCCTTGCTGCCTCGTCACTGCCTGGGGCTCTGTCCTATGTAGCCCCGGCTGGCTTCCCGACCAGTGCCTTCTCGTACGTTTCGATTGTTCACCCGCAGCCCCGACTTGGAGAAAATACTCACAAACCCTCGATCTAGATCTTATTATTATCTACCCGCAGAACCAACCCAAGAGCCGCAACCAATTATTCATGATCCTATACTGAATATCACGTTCCCTTATGAATTGACGAATCCTGATACCATCCCGACGGAGAACAACGACCCCGTCTTCTTCCCAGAGCCATCTGTAAATCTATCGGAGCATCAACAACAGGCATTGGTCCACGGGGTCGTGGCCAATGTCACCCGCATCATCACTGCGAACAATACGAACAGTAACTGCACCACTTGCAAAGCAGCTTTGGCCGCGGCTAAGCCGGCTGCTTTGTTTGCGCCAACACTAGTGCCCGAAACGTTGATCTCCCTTTGCCAAAAGTTCAAGTTCGCTTCTGATGATGGATGTGGGGAGAAATATACGGCGAGTGTCTTTGGGGCGATCTGGACTCAAGTTCTAGCCTATGCAGATGTTCAAGGTCCAGACGGAGACTACATATGCAATTCCTTGAGCAGCACTTTCTGTAGTCAGCCCTTGACGAGCCCGTTAAACGTGTCAGAGTGGTTTCCAAAGCCAAAGCCGGCAAACCCACAGGTTCCTAGCCCTAGTGGTGAGCGGATTAAGGTGCTGCACTTGTCGGATTTTCATCTGGACCCACGTTACTCCGTGAATTCTGAGGCAAATTGCTCGTCAGGCATGTGTTGCCGAAGCAATCTCTTCAACTCGTATTCAGAGGACCAGGTTCTCCTTCCAGCCTCTGTCTATGGATCATACAAATGTGACACCCCATATGACCTTGGTCTTGCTGCTCTGGAAGCTGTTGGTCCTTTGACTGGAACTGACAAGGACAAGAATCCTTTGGCCTTCACCCTGTATACAGGAGATTTAGTCTCGCATGACGACCCTGCTACTCAAGTTGATCGGGCCTATACGCAATATACAGAAACTAGTGTATACGGTATGCTTAAGTCATACCTCTCAGGGCCAGTCTTCGCTGCTTTGGGCAACCACGATACCAGCCCTGAGAACATCGAATCTCCACACAGCCTTCCAGGACCATTGGGCCAGCAACAGAGTTGGAACTATGATCATGTTGCAGGGCTGTGGCGACACGAAGGGTGGATTGATGAAGCCGCTGTCCAGGAAGCCAAGCTTCATTATGGGGCCTACAGCATTAAAACCCATTATGGATTGCGCATTATCACGTTCAACACAGGTAGGTCAGTCATCTGGACCTTGACAATGCGATTGACTGACGCGTGACTTGTAGATTTCTGGTATAAGTCTAATTATCTGAACCTCATCAACACAACAAATCCTGACAACTCAGGGATCTTCGCTTGGATGATCTCCGAGCTTCAGGAAGCAGAGGACCATGGCGAGCGAGTTTGGCTTGTTGGTCACGTTCTCTCTGGATGGGATGGGTCCAACCCCCTCCCCAATCCAACAAATCTCTTCTACCAGATTGTAGACCGCTACTCCCCACATGTTATTGCCAACATATTCTTTGGTCACACGCATGAAGATCAATTCATGCTATACTACGCGAACAATGGTACAATGCAGAACGCCAAAAATGCATTGACCACTGGTTGGATTGGACCCAGCGTAACACCTCTGACAAATCTAAATAGCGGCTTCAGATTGTACGAAGTGGATACAGGCGACTTCAACATCTACGAAGCATACACCTTCTTTAGCAACGTGTCAGACTTTAGCTCTCTCGCGGAGACAGGACCTGTATACCAGTTCGAATATTCTACACGGGACACGTACGGCTCCGCCGCTGGATGGGACAAGGATGCTCCCCTGAATGCAACATTTTGGCATCAGGTTACCGAGGCTATGGAGAGGGACGGAGGCCTAGTAACCCTGCAAAATGAACTGCAGGGTAAGATGAGTGTCAAGAGCCCCAAGTGCACGACCGCGGATTGCTGGAAAGCCAAGATCTGCTACATGAGGAGCGGAAGTGTGGCACTCGGCAAGCAATGTGCTCAAGGGTGAGTCTACCACATTCCTGACATAACACAGTATACTAACAGAGGATGCAGGTACGGGTCTGTGCAAAGCGCATTTAAGCCATCTACAAAGTAAAGTTCATAAATATGTAAGCACAGTGTTGTATGGATCTTCTACTAGTACACGAGGAACCACAGTTACTCGCTGTTCAAACACTTACTGTAACCTACCATTTTCACAACACAGCAGCAATACTCCGATAAACTTTCTCTGTAGATCATAGAAACTCAATGTATAGGTTTTCGGGTATCATATGAGCTTTTGTCGGGAGTTAGCGCTGCATTATCCAGTAACTGCGGAGGCCTCCTAAGGTAGCCAGGGAACCCTAAACTGTGCCATAGGTAATGGTCTAGGAACGACCTTGATTATTTCATATTGGACTGGTGTGGTTCAAAGGACAGCCAAGTGTCTAGACCGTGACTGCCGAGTCACGCCACTGGCGCTTGAATATAGCTGAACTAGTTCCTTTCTAATACTTATGAGGCTCGTTCGTTCTCACTGTCTTCATTATGAACGAATGCCTTCATGATGCAAAACTCTGGTCTTTACCAGGGCGAGCTGGCGAACAGGATCCGTCTAACTTTGGAGCTATGGGTACTGAGTATAGGAACTGGTGACAAATTTTTACCTTCCATCGAAGCTAACTATATGCGTCGAAGCTAGAACTGGCCATGACTGGTAAAGGGGAAATCGTGTAGGGTTTCATTGGGCGACAGAGCGCCTACGTTTTGGAACCGATCGTCATCGGGGTCGATTTAAGTTTGAACTTCATCGAGAGTTCGAGGGAATGGTGACGGCATTTACATTTCATGTCGGATAGAGGCGGAAGATTGCATAGGATGATGGGCCGAGGAAGTTGCACAGCATACGGCGTTGCCTACATAAGACGCTTCTCCGATATTCTGTTACTATAGGATGCATACTATAGCGGACCAGCGCTAACTTCGAAGAATAAGTGATAGGCACTGCAGAAATGCCTGACAACTGTTTCTCAAAGAGGCGCGGTTGGATATTCTCCGAGAGGGACTAAGTAGTATGTAATGTAGGATACCATCATCTAGTACGGAGAAATTCATTCTCTCTCTCAGAGTGGTTGCTAGAAAAATTTTTTGTTGGTGGTGATTTCATGATTCGCATGACGTCGCAGCCATCCCGCAGCATATCGTCATCGCCCGCCCTCCCGGACATTCCGCTCATACAATATCAACCCCATCATCCCTAGAATTCTGACTTACCCTTTGTCAAACCATCTTTCACTAGCTTCACAAGCTTTTGCGCCTTTTTAGCGCCTGAGACGATTCCGCTCCGCTGTGAATACCCTACACAATCGACGCGCTGTACCCCACGCGACTGTCCGAGATTAAAATATATTTACCAACGCATACAGAGCTTAAGCTGTTGAAATGGCTATGAACGCGATTCAGCTCGGCCTTCGACTGTGGGAGGTATGTCGCTCTCGATAGTGACGGGGGTCCAGTATCGCACTAGGCACTCTAGAATAAGCTAACAAGATGCGCTTTGAAACAGTTCCTATGGACCCTGCTGGTCATGGCCCTGATTGGTAACATGATCGCCGATTCATTCAGTGGAAACCCGGCGACCGTCAACTATGCCATGTTTGTTTCGGCATTTTCCATGTTCACACTGTTCTACTTGGTCCCGGCATCTATCAATATCGACTGGGCAATCCATCCGATCTTCATGATTGTCTTGGACACTCTCAATGCCATCTTCTTCCTTACGGCCGGTATCGCACTGGCTGCTAAGCTCGAGGCCCACAGCTGCAGCAACAACGTACGTGTGATCAGTGAACCTCGGGATCTGAGATACACCTCGATCGAAGCAGGATTCGTGCTATCGGCAGACCCACCCACTATTGAGATCCACCGGCTGATTGTCGATCATCTAGGATTACACTCTCAACAACGAGATTACCAACGGCTCCGTGCACCGCGAGAAGCGTTGCCGTGAGGCGCAGGCATCCACTGCTTTCCTTTGGCTTGCCTGGGCTGGATACACGGCGTCCATTGCCCTTTCATCTTTGGCCGCCCGCCGGTCCGTCAACCTTCGGCCCCGGACGGGTCCCGCCCGTGGAGCTCGTCCCAGCATGGCCCAGGTCTAAAAAGGAAACCATAGGAAACAATGTAAGATGGTCATGTTTTGGGATTTGCTATGAGGAACTGACCGTGTTGCTTTCCACAGGATTTACGGTGCCAGCTATTTGGTATTCTATGATCTTACTAGTGCAACTAGATATGAGTCATATTCATGTTCTAGTTAAAATTTGCACGACAAGTATACGTTTGAAACGCCTTGGAAATGCCGTCAATTGATGAAAACCACCAACTGTGTCTCTCGGCAACGTGAAAATGACTATGCCGACGATTCTATACTAATTACATACACCAGTTAATAATACTCTAGGGTTCGGTGAGGGAGTTGCAGAATTGTATTTGTATATCTTCTCTAGCTATTGATAAGATGCTAAGAGCGGGATGGATATGGTGTATATTGGATAGTAGGAGATGGACAATAATTGGGTGGCTCGGAGAAGTTCGAGGTTTGTATCTGTTATGCTGCATGTAATGTTATATGAAGCTTGACTTTGGTCAAATTTGTTTATTTATTTATTTTAATAATCAGTTGTAGACACAGAGGTGAACTATATATGAATATGTGTAGGTATTCCAAAATCGTTCCAAGTTGGAGGGTCAGATTATCCTTTACGTTCAATCAATCTGATAGCTCTTGAGTCACGCCTCCGATGGCCCACATTCTCGCCCCTCTAGTGCTCTTTCGACGACTCATAACACTGGTAGTATCCAACTGTCATACAAAATGAAAGTGATCAGTAAAAACATTCATGAGCCCCTCAAGCCAGGAATACAGACTTGCAGACATCCTTAGAGAATTGACAACTCAACATCAGCACTCTGTGCTTGGACGGTAACGCTGCCAGTTTTTCGGACCTCTTCATTCGCCTCTCCAAAGTATCGTCCGGAGCGAAAGCTATGCAAATATTAGTGTCGAACCAAAATGCTATCATATGAACTCGCAGTTGGTCATCGCTTACCTCCAGTGAAGATTAGCTTTGACAACATTCTGTACTCCACGAATGTATTGCTGAACCTCCGAATCGATACACTCGCCCCAACTGGGTAGGTCTGCTAGCGCAAGGTACCAGTCATGATAACGAGAAAGGAGCATACCGCCAATGTGGTCAAAGGCCATCTGCGCGGGCATGCCCGCACGTCGACAAATGGCAACCATATTGTGACTTACACCTTCTTTCTACAGATCCAGCACGTCAGCAGAAGTATCTTGGATGATCTGGTTTTGTATATGCTTCAAAGATACTGACCTCTTCTTTGCAATACGAGAGAATGTCGTTTTGCCTATGGTCGTTGAGTTTTGGTTCGTTCCTCTTTTGGGTTAATACTCACAGTAGGACTAGGTCAATGCCGATTCTTTCTATCTCTTTGATGCTTCTAGTCTCGAAGACTGAGTCTGGGATATGGAGCTTGTGACCATACCTGCTCATTGTTAACAGTCTTGCGTGAATATATCTGTAGTGAGTGCGGTGGCGTACTCAACTAGGGCAAAGAGAGGTGAAACTCCGGCAGACTGTCTACGTAATGCGAGCATCTCGTCGAGTGTGGGGTATTCGCCCCTAGAACAACTGTGGACTTGTTCGATGGCGCCATTGCAATAATCTCTCATAGCCTTTGCGAACCTGCGACGGACACCTTGATTATTTCTTAGTGGGCGCCCAAGGGAGTCTCGGCTTTGAGGGTGGGTCATACCAACTGGAGAAGCCTATGAACTTTAGCAAATCTCTCCTGGCAAACAAATAGGAGGCAAGAAATTGGCTGATAGTTACCTTGGCAAGGCGACGCCATACGGAATTATGGACCTGAACCAGAGGGTGCTCTTCGCTATCGTCTGACACAGTCCCATTATCTTGCATACCATTTAAGAGGCTGTTGACCAATTGCTGAGCTTGTATAGGGTCATCTTTTAGACCTCCATTATCAAACACTGGAGATAAATGACTTAGTATCTTGACCAGAAAGATAATAACTGCAAAGCTCACTATCATCGAACGGGAAGACCTAGGGGTGACGCCGAGCGGCACAGGTTAGCATGTCGATATCTTCAAAAGGCATTAATCGTGTTACGACTAATACACATACCCAGTTACCCCAATCACATATTGTCTGGAGCTCCAAAGGCGAAGCATCCGGTACTACAATTGAGCAAAAGTACGAAAAATCACATTTCGTTATAGTCCTCCGAGTCCTGTCGCCAAACGCGCATATCCTGCAATGTGCCCGTTTAGCACTGCATGCTATGTCTTCTGTCGGACATACTGACCTTGCTATCCATAGCTCGGACTCCTGCTTTACCATTTCATAATACGTGTTTGTTGCTGGCTTCTCCGATAAAAAGAGCACAAACATGTTAGGAAGGCGTACAGAGACAAGGGCGTCTCTACACGCAGCCTTTCCAATTGGCAATATCAATCCGTCAGAAAGTCGTGGGATTTCCATGATGACGACAATGCCTAATGAAAGCTCTGGTGTGCAAACTGAAATGGCTAATTTGTGAAAACAAACAGGTACCCTGTTAGCTGCTACTATGCTTAAATACTGCGATTATGATGATACTCATTTTCCAGGCAAGGCTAGTCATCCCTCAAACCATCGCCAATTACGCAGAAAAATTTCAATGATGTCAAGGGCTATCCTGAAAAGACAATCTCGGGCCGCGGGTTACCTCGATGATGTGTTTTCCAGGAAAGTCCATTACCGGATTCTGCTACCTGCAGACAAGATGAAGGGGGTGGATTAGTTGATGGTCATATAGTTCACAAATGATCATCCCAATAATGCGGCCTATACTTCGCCACAGTGGCTGAGGATCTTGCGCTATCGACCTTTAGATCGTGATCTTGTTCATGATGATCATGGTTCCTTGTTCAAGCCATATGTGGAACTTTATTGTTGCCTCAAACTAATTCGATCTATTGAATTATAGGCCTGGGCGGATCTCTTATCCGGCCTCCGACGCAATGGGCGACTCTGGTCGAGTGGGGAACCGTTCTTCATTAATGAATTTAGCGCGCTTTATGGGGCATCGACCAAGTCATGGTTCTGTGTGCGATTCCAGTGGAATGGTACACGTATAGTTGCGCGTGTATATCGATTTCTTTCATATGATTTCTTATCATCCTATCCTCCCGGCAGCCCATACAATGTTGGCCAACGTCCCCACTATTCCCCTCGAAAAAGCAATACAACGCCTTGATGCGTATCCGTAGTTCTACACAATTGGACTACGAGACGCTCGGCGCTGATCTACATGGGTTGTAATCTCTCTCTATGGTCTCGGACGGCCTCCGGATGCAAAACTCGCATCTGTCGTACACAGCAAGCTCCATGGCACCGAAACCTGACGAATGTGGGGGCAGAACAGAGCCTGGGTCGTTCCGGGATTTGTAGAAGGACAGACTCGGCTGGATGCCGTCTGAACTTGACCTTGTATGTTGAACTCAGATGTTGTACTGACTCTAGAGCGAGTAGATGAGCATAAATTCTCGCATCTTGCCCTCAATGGCTCGAAAATGCTCACAGCTTTGTTTACATTGATATCCTCGAGTTTATCTTCAGGTTATTGACGAAATGGACACCACTCTGCCCCCTCACTCCAACGCTGGTGACCATATAAGCAAATGGGGCTACTCTTTTACTTGGACGGATCGCCATCTCTCTAGAGAGAAGACAGAGCCTCTGCGTCAGCAGTTCGACACACTGGGCGCTGCTGCTCTGGAACGGCTTCAGTTCATACGATCTTCGTTGCTAGAAGATAGCAAAGCAAAAGGAACCACTCCTCCCTCAAATGATCTTTACACCATTCTCCGAGACTACCATAGGGAGGATGAGGTCTTAACCCAACTCTGGAACGAAACTCACACGGTCCCAGACTGGGTTAACTGGGAGCAACTCGAGCGAGGTCAGCGGTTTTTGCACCGTTATATAATTGCCAACATTGTTGGCTTTGCATTACAGGGGTTTGTAGCAGAAAATTCTGTATAACTCCCTTTAACCATGGTGAATCCATTAAACATTATATAACTGACTCAAATTCCACGTTAAGGCGGCCTCCGGCGTCATAGAAGTCCTCGTCCGGACTGGCAGTTTCTCGACCCGTATGTTGTTAAAGAGACTGCTCGAGACCTTCCAATGGTTGATCCAAGTCACTCATGACCTCGCTGCCATCCAACCCGGCGGCGAAGGCCATGTTGCAACCGTCCGGGTCCGACTTCTCCATTCCTCCGTCCGACAGCGCATCTTACACCTGTGTCGCACAAAACCTCATTACTTCGATATTGACCGTTATGGTGTCCCCGTCAACACATTAGATAGCATTCACTCCATTAGTACTTTCTGCTGCAATCCAATGTGGCTCCAACTGCCTAGGTTTAAAATCACCCCTTCCCCCGATGAGGTCAAAGACTACATGGCCCTCTTTCGATACCTTGGTTACCTTCTCGGAACACCAACGTCATACTTCGAGACAGTGGAGAAGGGCAAGTACACAATGGAGAGTATGGTCGCCCACGAGCTGCATACCACCGAGACGTCACGCGTGGTCGCTCATAACTTTGTTGAATGCGTGGCGAACCTCCCTGCCCCGTTTCATGTCTCGAGGCAGTTCGTTGAGGCTGGTAGTCGGTGGATCAACGGTAACGAGATCTGCGACAATCTTGATCTTGGGAAGCCCGGGTTCTTATACTACTTAATGTTTGCCGGTTACTGTGTTCTTGTTCTAGGGCTTGCTTGGCTGCAACGGATGATTCCTATGCTTGATGATTTCATGATTAAGGTAGGTCTTACAAGCATGGCACTATGAGTGACTTAGTTGCACTAATTACTACATGCCAGCTCTCCCGAAACCTCTTGTATCAGGGGATAGTGCTACGAGAACGCACTCGTTTTGACTTTAAACACGTCCCGCGCATGGGCAAGACTATTGGGAGAGAAAAATACAGCCCCAATGAAGGCAATCGGCCTTGGAAGGCGTGCAAGTATCCTCCATATCTGAACTATACTTTCATTGATATCACAGATATAGGGCATTTTGAACTGGTGTGTCTTACTGTGGCTCTTGTTACCGGGGGACTATTGACTGGGTGTGTGATTAAGAGCGGACTATGGGTTTACAGTAGGATGCGGGATGTCACTATGTAGGCGTGAGGGATTTTACATGGGTTAGTTAGTGAACAGGATCTGTAGGCTATATGGGACATGTTATGTGACGTTGCCTTACATGGTGTGGTTGTGATAGTAGTGGATGTGATGAAATATATTTCTTGTCGTCCGAGCTCTACGCATGAAGATAAATCGAGTAATACCCCACTTTACTGTTTCGTCGTAGCACTTACTCCCAATTTTATGAACCCTCAGTCTACATTATAACATTCTGATATACTCGGGCATCTGCCCTGTCGGGCTTTGATCTTTGAGTTTCAATAGTTGAAGTATGGACGCGCCAAAACTTAGGTACTCCCTTGTCGTCTCAGGGCCAACCGAAGTATCAAGTGGCCTTATTCGGATCTAAACCAGGAATTGAACTAAAACAAAACAAAACAAAACAAAACAAAATAAATTAGTTGTTTGGATGCACTCCGTTCATGTTGCCAGCGTTTCGACCGGGTTCGAGTGCTGCTCTAAAGCTTAGCGTGAAACTACAGAGAATCTGTCGCTTGGCATAGGAAGGAATATGATCCCACGTGTATCGACATGGGACTACAGTACACTTCGGAGCAACTGGTCAAGTGTGAAGACTTCGAGTGTGTTTTTGTTGTTGCTGTTTGAGTTGACCGAAAGTTTGTTGTTGTGTAGAAATGGTGGGGTTGAAGCAACGAGGCCGGATCTATATGTGCCGTAAGAATGGTTTCCTGAAGGACCCCTCAAATATTCGAAAAATGAAGCAAATTGAATTAAGGGCGAGTGGAACTATAAGGAGCGAGGGAAGTTGTTCCTGACAGGCGGGGCAGTGTGAGTGAGAGAAAGTAGCCAAAAAAAATCCCCCCTCCGCGCGGCCCGTGCAAGAATTTCTCCAGAAGCTCTGGCAAGTGTGTTTAATTGCGTTCCCTCCACCAACTCCTTTTCGTGGCCTTTTCGCTCCCCTCATCAACCAGTCACACACCCACCGCACACAATGGCTATCCAGTGAGCTTGCCCTGCCAATTATTGGCAAAGGGAGTGCGCTAATTTCCCCATCTAGCTACTTGATTCTCCTCTCTCGTCAGGGCAAAGTGGTTCGTTTACCCTCGTGGCCCACCCAACTTTTTGACCGGTCCGGAAGTCCGGCTGGATCTGACTGAACTCTTTCTCTCAGCGCCTGGCGAAATGGTTTACAACTCTTTCTCCCAAGGAGAAAGCTAAGATTATCAAAGATGTGACCCAACTCGTCCTGTCCCGTCGGACAAGGATGTGCAACTTCCTCGAGTATAAGGGTACGGATCCAGCCACTTACATACTTGCTAATCCACGCAACCCCCCCCCCCCCCTACTAACCGACATTTGTTCTCAGACAGCAAAGTTGTTTACCGTCGTTATGCCTCCCTCTTCTTCATCGCCGGATGCGCTTCGACCGACAACGAACTGATCACCCTCGAAGTTGTGCATCGTTACGTTGAGCAGATGGACAAGTATTACGGCAACGTCTGCGAACTGGACATTATTTTCAACTTCCAGAAGGCATACTTCATCCTAGACGAGTTGCTGCTGGCAGGAGAGATGCAGGAGAGCAGCAAGAAGAATGTCCTCCGGTGCATCAGTCAACAGGACAGTTTGGAAGACATGGAGGTGAGTTATTGACCGCCGTATCTTGCTTAGAAGTTCGCATAGACAATGGTAGGAGGTCTGAAGCACTACGATCGGATGCGATCGTATCCATCGTCAGAGCTCTCTACCAGGGCTGTTCTAGTATGCTCGTTTGATGCTTGGTTCTATTTGCTGCCCGTTGTTTCTCGGGCTTGTGGTATCTTTTGCGCGCGTTGCTATTTCGCTTCACTTTGCTATATATCACCCAATTGTTTTCCTGCAATCCCTTTTTGCCACCGCGGTTGTTTACTGCATCTCGTGCGTTCCGGTCCTCCTTTTGGCCTACCGTCGATTGACGCTAATAGCTATTGTCCCCTATCTAGGTTGAGGAAGATGTGGTTACGAAGATCATGTAGCGGGCTTACCATTCGGCAACTGAGCGTTCCTGTGTTTCTATATTTGGATTTCCGCTTTGGGGAATATTGGGAGGACATCTTGGCGTTGGACGTACATACTAGGCGTTGTTTTCTACACAGTTCACGACCACTAATTAATACCACATGGCTATGGACTTGCCTCAATTATTGGATTCAACCCAAGGAAAGTGACTTTCATCTCAATGTTTGGTACTGACCCCGTGTTCTGGATCGGCCCCCGTGAGGTAGGTGAATGATATCACTGGCCGAGACCACCCCCACGTGACCCTCTCCGACCCGGGGGCGCGTTGCGCAACTCCCGCTTCAGCTAAGCCCAGGCCCCCCAATTGCCGTACGACAGCCCATCCCCAAGTGTCCCTCCTGGCTCTCTTCCCATCTTCTCTTTCGTCTTGTTTAACTTGTCATGGCTATTTGGTCGTGATTCACTCAAGTAACTCACCTTCTGTCCATTGAATAACTGCCCAGCCAGCCTAGCGCTTGCTGCCAACTCACGACCTCTTATCTCCGATCGGCTACGTTTCAGCCGACGTGGACGCTGCCTTATCGCTTAGGATACCGTTGATACCTGGTTCATCCGTTTGTCGCAAGAAGGTCCCTTCCTGCCTTTCACAAAGTGTTAATCGCCTTGTTTACCTTGCGCTTTGGATCGACCGGTCAGGACTCTTGACCGCTATTGTCGAAGATGAAGGTTCGCATCCTATATATCTCAATCGTGAAATCCATATCCCTGATGCCCATGCTAACGTATTGCTTCTCCTAGTTTCTTCCCCTTCCTGAGATCGAGGATGTGACGAGTTCCCTGAACTTCGACACCGGTGATTGCCACATTCTCGGAGGCTGCGATCTTTACACGACAAAGGCGGCACGTGCCGACCGGAAGTTGTACAAGAACATCGAACAGTCTCTTGAAGCACAATATGAATCGACTCTTCGCCTGTCCGCATCATTGTCACCTCCAAATGCGTCGGACGCGGCCGCCTCGCTCAATTTGTCCCGGTCTAGCCCCTTCGGACCGCTGAGCGAACATTCCAGCCGGAGAACCTTCGCCTATCTGATCGCAACTTTGAACGCAAGCCATCCAGATTACGACTTTTCTCATGTGCTGCGCCCGTCGGACTTCCATCGTGAGAGGAACATCAAACGCGTAATGAATACGATTGATTCCACACTGTTTAATCTTCGGCCACGTGAAGCGATCGACCTCGCTCCCCCTTCACCAGTGACTATCTCGGGCTCATATAATGCCGGGGCCTCTGCTACGTGGGGACCGAGAATGTGGCAAATAATTGATGAACAGCTATCGCTCAATGAGTGCTCCATCTATTCTTACTCTCCGGAAGAAGATCCTTCCGATGCGGACGACGGAGCGATCTGGAGTTTGCATTACTTCTTTTTTAACCGTATCCGGAAGCGTGTCTGCTATCTCTACCTCAGAGCCATCCCAATCCTCAGTCACACGCCTAGTGACGGAGTTGCTACGCCGACCGCAAAGAGGACGTACGACGACGGCTATCTCACACCGGACCTCGGGTCAAGCAAGCGGGCCCGCTACTGGCTCGGTGACGTGGTGCACTTAGAAGACGAGAGCGAGTCCGACGAAGAGCACGTCAGCAAGCCATCCCGGCCCGTTGTGGACGAATACGAGAACTACGTGCTCAGCGACGAGGAATTCCGATCTAGATCTGGCAGCAAGGGCACAGTACGTGCTATGAGTGAGGAAATTGCCGACTCGATGGAGGTTTAAATTACGATTCAACCCGTTACGACTTGTTATTGCTTCACTGTTTTACCTTTTAATTCCGCCGATGCTCCCTTTTCTTCGATTCAACATGGATATTCTCAACGGTTTGTTTAGTTGTTTGCTACGTCTGCCGCATCTGCACAGGTTTGGGGCGTTTGGTGACCGGCAGGGATGATAATAGGGCCCCTATTGATGAAGTCGTCGTTTCGTTGTGTAGGTTTTGATCATTTTGCGCTGCATACCCAATTAGTTGCGGCGCGCCCGGGGCGTTGAATCGCTTGCATTCCTTTCTGTTCTTGTAATTACGATTCTTGATCGCTGAATTAATTATGCTATGGTACACGGAGTGAAGAGTCTAGAGAGTAGGACCCCAGTAACCACAAGAAAACAAAAAGTAAACACAAGGAACAAGGAAACCCAAGTGATAACCTTCAACCCCTACTCTAGACAAGAACCCACAAAGCAATAAATCCGGAAGGCCAACACCCTTAGGCCTCCAAGGTACAATTAGGTACCTTACTCGACAAAGAGTCCAAAGAACAACAAACTGGTCCGTGCACGACGGGGAAAGCTGTCCCTTCCGATCCGCATATACATGCCTCCACGCCCAAATCTCGTCTTACCCAAGCAATTAACCAACCTCACCCCCCTTAACCATATCCCAAAATGGCCGATGACGAAGAGCGTACCAAGGCCGAGAAGCTAGCCGCCGCGAAAAAGAGGGTATGTCTTGTTATCCTTATCCACCCCATGTCCTTTTGTTCCATTGGAAACCAAACAGGGCTCGGCGAATAATTGATTCACTCATCTCGAACAGGTCGCGCAACTACAGAAGCAGAAGAAAAAGGCGAATAAGAAAACGTCAGGTTCTGAGGCTGCTACGACGGCTAAGGAAACAAAGGAGTCTTCGCCGAGTACTGAAGATAAACAACAAGTAGTAGTAGTAGAAGAAGAGGAAGGACAATCACAAGCCCCAGAAGGGTCGAAAGAGGAACCGAACCTAGCAGACGATGCCCAAGATAAGTCCGAAGACCAGCAACAGCAACAACAAGAGCAGCAGACACAGACGCAAGATGAACCTGAACAACCCCCTACCGAACAATCCACCTCCCCGACGCCCTCAGCAGAACCCCAGCCCGCCGTGAAAGCGAACACGCCGTCGCGCCACGGCCGTCAGCCTTCGCTATCGATCCAGTCGAAGATGAGGTCGTCTTCGTTCCGGAAGGGGTCCGTGTCGCAGGGTAGTGCGTCGCCCTCGCCGTCTGCGGTGCTGAAGTCACCCTCTTTGCCGCCGTTGACGGCTGATGGGGAGTCTGTGCATGAGGTGTATCGGAAGCAGGCGGGGCGGATTGAGGAGGTGGAGAAGGAGAATCGGCGGCTGGAGAAGGAGCTTGAGGAGGCGACAGGCCGGTGGAAGAAGACGGAGGAGCAGTTGGAGGAGTTTCGGGAGGCAAGTGTTGATGTTGCGGAGTTGAAGGAGAAGTTGGCTAAGGCTGAGGAGAAGGTGGGGGAAGTTGAGGAGTTGGTTAGTTTTCCCCCCTCTTTTTCGTTTTTCGTTTTTGTTACGGATGTGATGTGGATGTGACTATGGTTATGGTTTCAATGTTGGGTTTGTTACTGACGGTAGATATAGAAAGCGGAGATTGCCTCACTTCAGAGACAGAACTCGCATCTGCAGAAGACGCATCGGAGTACTGCGTCGCCGGCCTCGTCGGAGTCCCCTCCTGCGGATCTTGTGCAGCAGCTTGAGTCGAAGTCCGCTACGATTGAGGCTATGGAGCTTGAGATCTCGAACCTGCGCGCTCAGCTTACGGATCAGTCTTCATCTAGTAGTGCCCATGAGGCGCAGATCAAGGCTCTGGAAGAAAAGCTGTCAAGCAGCGAAGCAGCGCTGGAGAGTGCGCAGAGCGAACTCACGGAAACCAAGAATGCGTTAGCCCGTGCATCAGAGAAAGCCGCCAAGGAAGGAGTGGACAAGACCTCCACGGAAACCCAGATCAAGAACCTAGAACGGGAACTCTCAGAAGTAAAGGAGAGCAAATCCGAATCCGAGAAGAAGATCGAAACGCTCGAGAAAAAGATCGAAGCAATGGGCAACCTGCACAAGGAGTCCGAAACACGACACCAAGCCCGCCTGCGCGAGACCGAGAAGACAGAACAAGAGGTCGCACAACTCCGGAGCCGACTAGCCAGCGCCGAGAATGAAAGCCTCCGGTTAAAGGAAGAGCAGGAGACGCTTCGCAAGCGCAACGCTGTTGGCGCGGACGACGACGGCATCGACGAACTGGAGGACGAAGAACGGTCCCGTCTGGAGCGCCGAATCCGCGATTTGGAAGGCGAAATCTTTGACCTCCGTCGCGGAGTATGGAAGGAGAAACGCGAGGAAATTGCTCATGGCCGTGAACCCAGTGTCGCTTATTCTTCCAATGCCAACCAGGCTGCCAATGCTTTCGATGATGTTGACCTCGTCGGTGGAGCTCCTGAACATGCCCGCCGACGCAGCATGCAGCAGCATTCGTCCTTCTCGACTGTTTTCTCTAGCGGACTCGCTGCCTTTACTGGGGGTAACACGTACGGGAACAGAGCCCGTGCGCCCTCGAATAAACAGCACCCACCTGCTGCACGGGGCAGTCTCGAACTCTTATCCGAGGAGAACTTCGACGACGAGTTCGACGAGGCAGAGTTTGCCCGCGCCCAGGCCGAGGAAGAAGCTCGCAAACGCGTCGAATGGGTCCGCGAGATCAAGAAGAAACTCAAGGACTGGCATGGCTGGCGGCTGGATCTGGTTGACAGTCGAGCTGGAGCGGAAGGAGCCGGAGTGGGAATGGGCGAGATATTCGAGATCTAGACTTATATTTCATACCTAAGCTGGTCATCTCTTTATGCATTGTTTATGAGAAGGTTCATGGTCATGTTCACGGGCTGTGGTTGGATGGAGTACGGCGGATGCGTAGATATCCCAATTGATGATGTTTCATTGCTCATTTTTTTTTCTATCAGATCTTTCCGAATGTGTTAATTGTTGTAGCTGTACTGATATCTACCAAAGCAATAGACAAGCAACAAACGGGGAAATGGTACAAACAAGAAACACCGAAAACAGGACACCATTCAATCAAAACCCAACAGCCCAGACAACAAAACAAGAAAAAAAGAATCTACTACTCATCGGCCAACTTCCCATCAAGCACACCCTCCGACCTCCTCCTCCCCTTCCGTAGCAGCTCCCCAACCCAACTCGCAATCTGATAAAGCCAGCCCCCGGTAACCATAACCCCGGAAACCGTATTCACGAGTCTAATCAACAGTGACAAGAAACTGCTCCTCTCCTCGCTGATCATAAGCAGGATCGGCTCGATGTTATACTTGAAGAAGATGCCGGGGATGTAGTAGGGGTTTTCTGGCAGCTCGGAGCCCTGGGTGGTGGCTGCGTATTGGTTTGTGAAGATGACGTTCTTGGAGTGGCTGGGTTTGGAGGTGTAGAGGGTGCTGTCGAGGGCAGCTTGGTGGCCCTTGGAGTAGATGGTGGGGACGACGGAGAGGAAGTACTGGTATTTGTAGTAGTGGGATTCTGTTGCTGCGATAGTTTTGTCGAGGGGGTTGAGGAGAGTAGGGTAGTGAGGTCCGAAGGAGAGTTCGGTTATCATGTGGGAGAAGTTGAATGCTGTGACGAATTAGTCCTGATCCTATATTGTATAAACCGTACGCTAATCACCAAGGAAGAGAGATAATGTGTGTGCATGTGCGCGAGAGAAAAGAAAAGAGGAGAATAGAAGCATACCCGAATGATCTAAATGTCCCCCCATATCTCTATACCCATGACCCCTAGCAGTGATATGAAAATCCCCCTGCACCTTATTCCCCTCCAGACTTCCATAAATGCGACACGAATCGACAGCATCTCCCCTCCGCAGCTTGGGACCCTTGGGGAACTTCCTCCTGGGGTTCCGTCTCACCTCACCCAGCACATGGTGCACATGGGCGTCCTCCTCCTGCGCCTCCAACCGGCTCGGATCCTCGCGACTAAGCGTCTGATAATCGTGGTCGTAGTTGCGCTTGTCCGTCCAGAGTTTCCAGCTGGTGGGGTCCTTCTTCAGCAGCTCTCCGGCAAGAATGCGGTCGCCGGAGGCGTCTTGGATGTTGACGTGCAGGGCGTCGCAGGGCATCTGGACGACGATGTCGAGGTTCAGTTGGAGATCATGGGAGACGCCCTTTTCAACACTGAAGTGGTGGTTTTCGGAGCCTTTGAACCAGGTTTTAAATTCGGAGATGGAGAAGACGCTGCAAATAAGGAGGATGAGGACGGTCCATTGGCCGCCTCGGCGGGAGGGAGCTGTGTAGTCGGGTTTGGTTTTGGCTAGATCATGTATGTTAGTTTTCGTTCTTTACATTTATGGTGGGATTCTGTTTCGTTCGAGAGACGTACGAAATGCATCGAATGTCTTTAGGCCGCCCTGCAGCCCGGACTTCTCCCCGAACGCATCCTCGTCCAGGCCGTGCGATGCGAAGCCATTCATGACGAATCTGTATGGCAAGGGGTAGATAAAATCAATGAATCAAGGCATGAATGAGAATTGAAGAGGAGGCAAAATGAATGGACGCCAATTTGGGCGGGGAGTGGGTGTTAGGGTGGGAATGAATGGTTGGGGAAGAACAATGGAGGCGGAGCAGTTGCGCGCTTGAGGCCAAGTATTCAATTCGCTGCTTATCGGGAGATCTTATCTGATCTATCGGCTTGTCGCCAACCATATTTTATACACCAAGGTTTATTTATTTGTTTGTACCGAGTACAATATAAGGGCCTCTTTCTCATTGCGATGGACTCACCCGTCCATTCATTGAATTCCCATTATATGTACACCGTCCAGAGTCTATGGATGCTTATGATAATTAACTATACTTGTCTTCGTCAGTATATGCATCGATGCTCTGATTCTAACATAACCCATGACTCCTAACATGCCTACCATCCAAGAATATGGGTAGAGCTGAAAAGTGACGTGACAGAACAAAAAAAAAAGTGTAAATATACAATGTCCTGTGCGAATGGAAAACACCATCGAGTCCATCGATATGGGTAAAACATCGGGCAGATATGGAAAGGGCAGGAAGGAAAAAAAAAAAAAAGAAAAAAAAAAGTAATGATAAGATCCAAGAGGAAATTGTAGTCAGCGAGCGACGAGGGGTTAGACATGCAATAAGGAGCATTAAGCTGGCTTCTGAGGTCGTAACAGAATTGCAGACAGTATGCTCAAAGAAGGATACAAAACGAAGGCATAGTGTAAAAGCATGCAAATGCTCAAGGGTATAAGATGAACTCTTTCCTCGTCCACCTCTATCGGCGCAGTTTGAATCATCAAAGGGGTACAAAACCGCAAAAAATTCCCGACCTCTTTATGCAACTTAAAAATCAAACAATTATTATTACAAAGATGCAATGAAAAGAAGAGCAAACGGAAAAGGGCAAAAGAAAAAGAAGAAATAGGAAGTTAGCACTCGGCCTTACTTAGTTCTCTAATGAAGGTTAGCGGTCCGTACGCTGATTTTGGTAGAATATTTAACTCACCAGGCTGGTCGCTGCCGCCGCTGTTGCAAGGTCTGGTTTTCCACTGATGCTCCTACCAGCAACGCGAGGCAATGCTGACCCAGGAGTCGTTGTAGAAGTAGTTGTACTTCGCTTTGGGGTGGATGGTTGTACACCACTCACAGTTGAGTGGCGCTTTCCGGCGATCGGCTTGACGGGAGAGCTACCTGAGACATCTCGGCTACGGAGAAAGGTGCCATGCTTGAGAGTCGTGCCAGGTGGTTCTGGAAGAGGGCGACCTGACGACGGGGTTGATAGAGTATTCCCTCGCTTGGCTGGGGAATTCAAGCTCGCTGTATATGTTCTGGGCCGGGAGGGCATTTTGAGCCCTGTTAGGAATTCATGTCTGAGAGCATCGTGCGGGCTAAGACGGCGAGACGGGTCCCAACGAAGGCAGCGGGAGATGAAGTCGAGGAAAGCCTCGTCATCGCATTTCAGGACCTGCCTGAGCTCCTTCGAACTTGGACGCCGACGTCGACCTTTTGAGGAGACCGTTAATCTCGGTTTGCCCAAGGAATCAAAAAAGAGCTTCTTCCGTGTACTCTTCTCAATCAAGTGTTTTTCTGGAGGGCCAAAAACCTCCATGATACAGGCGAGTTGCTCTTGTTCATTCTCTCCCGGGAAGATGGGATATCCCGTGTACAGCTCAGCTAGAATACATCCCAGACTCCACATGTCAATGGGCATGCCGTATGACATGCCAAGAATGACTTCTGGTGAGCGATAAAAGCGACTCTGGATATAGGTGTACACCTTCTCGTTCTCAAAACAGCTAGAGCCAAAGTCGATCACTCTGATCTCGGAACTCATTGGGTGTACAAGAAGAATGTTCTCCGGCTTGAGATCGCAGTGGATGACTTTCTTCGTGTGGAGAAGGACCAATGTACTCAAAATCTGTTTCGTAAAACGGCGAATGAGCTTGACAGAGAAGCCTTTAAAGTCGTGTGCTTTGATGAACTCATATAAATTCATCCCGAGTAGCTCCGTAGATATGCAGAGGTGACCCCTGAAGTAGAAGCTTTGTGTGAAATTGACAACGCTGTGCCGACGATGAGGATCCCACTCCTTGAGCTTTTGAAGCAGATTAACCTCAATTAAGGCTTGCTGGTGGAATCTCTTCTTGTTGCGGATGATTTTTACAGCAACTAACCCGCCCGTTTTGTGATCAACACATCTCAAAACTTGACCAAAGCTTCCCTTACCCAAAACGTCGATGACTTCGTATCGGTAGGCTAAATGATCCCCAATGACAATATTGTAATCACCCCGATCATCATCGTAGCCAAAATTAGCGGCCTGTGCATTCAAATCACCGACATGTTTCTTTGCATGTTGAGTTCCGCAGAAAAAGATATCTTTGAAGTCAATAATTTCACCACGCTCAAAGATATTGAGATTCGCCATTTTGAGAGCCTGAGCTGGACTGACACGCTCCTTCGGCCCAGCTTTGCGGCGCAGTTCATCTAACTCTTTCGCCGCGCTTTCGAAATCCTTTCGTCTGCCATTAAGTTTCCGCATCTCATCGTCCGCAACCTGAATATCGGGGTCGATGTTCGGATCGGAAGAAGCGGAGTTAGCGGCAGCATTTGACTTCGCAGAGTTGAGGATCCTGTGTACAGGGGAGAGGATTGATGATGCAGAACGGTGGGATGAGACATCACTATGACGCGACTCGTTAGAGATGCTGTGCTCCAAAGCAAGACTCTGTTCGCTGCTGAAACTGGGTTTCCGTATTGGCGAATCTGCTGCGTTGGACACAGAGACCTGTCGCTTTGACTTGAAATAGCTGGGTTTCAGCGTGGGACTTGTATTCTTCGCCGTTGATAGATTATTCCAGGTTGCAGACGCCGGAAGCTTAGGTGGCGGCATGGGCTCGAGCTTAGTGGGGTCAGTGTTTGCGTCCGTTATCTGTTGAGGCCGGGAATTGCTCCTGTGGCGGGTTATTGTGATCTTGTTTCTGAGAGAGGACCCAGAAGTGCTGTTGTTGTCAGGATCAGAGGGGGTAGAAATTTGGCTGATCGTCTCTGCATTGGAAGAGAAAGCAGATGATTGGGTTTGAGGGCGTGGACCCGTCAACTTGTGAGACTGTGACACCCTGGAAGAGTGATCCGCACTAGCCTTTTGGCGGAGATTATTGACATCACTATTGCTCTTCGGAAGCGAGTACGAAACATAAGGCGAGTTTGTCCTTGCCCCACCTGGAGTATTTTCGAAAGATGCCAATGCGCTGGAGCTGCTCGCTGTCCTCAATGTAGCACCCGAGGACGTACTCACAACAAAATGTGCAGTGCTGCTCCTCGCTTGTGTACGTGGTACAGCGTCGTCTTCGACAGCGAAGAAGTTAGCTTTCGAGGCAGTAAGAGGGGTACTTGGAGTCTTCGCGACAACCTGACCCGTTGGCGTATGTGATTTCGCATCGTCCTCGCGGTCTTTCATGGCTTGAATCTTGTTAGTCATTGGTGTACCCAAAGGTAACAAATTCAATGGCGGCAATTTCAGTGGCTGAAGGTTCCTTTTGCCTAAGCTAGCGGTTGGTTTGTGCTTGGCTTCTGGAGTCTTCAACGCTTGTTTGGTACGTAGATCCATTGTATCGTCTTCAGTTGCACTAGCTGCAGGGTTTGTGTCCGACTCCGTGTCCGACTTGCCTTTCAAAGCAGCAATATCCACCGGAATGTGCGATTTGAGAGGTGCTCTATAATTTGGTTGCTCGGGCTCCCCTTTTGGAGACTCGTAGGCCTTAGGAATAGCAGGAACAGGAGGTACTTCCTCGTCTGCTGCCACAGCGTGCTCTGCACGAGGTTTAGGTGTAGGGAGCCTGGAAGATGATGCAGCCTGAGCGAGCCGGGTTTGTAATGACCCTCCGGAGTTTCTTGCCGAGTTATGACTCGTGGTCGACGACAAAGATAATCCAGAGCTATATGATTTACGGGATGGATCAGGGGTAGTTCTGTTGGAGGAAGGAGTCACACTCTTCCGAGGAATATAACACGGCGACGGAGCGCATGAGCGAGGTCGGACAGGTAATGAATCGGTCTGAGTCGGAGGTGTATAAGGCAAAGGAGGCGCCTGAGGTGCCGTTGACATACGCTTCAGCCGTCGTGCGTCCGTCGGACTTATGGTACGAGCCCCTAGGCCTGTCGCGTGCGGAGGCATTACAGAAACCCTCTTTGATGTAGAAGATGGGGTCGTAAGCGGTGCTTGTGCATTCTTGACTGGCGTTCGGACGGCATTGGTTGAGGAAGATCTGGAATGATCCACAGACCCGGAGGTCGTCAGAAAGGTTTCGCGAGGTTCCCTCGACGGAGGCTGTAGGGATTTAGCTTTTATATTTCGCGCACTGGTGGGTAGTCTCGTTGCATCATTTGGCATGGATTCAAGATTTTGCGTGCGTGGATGGAGAAAGTTGTGGCTTGCGTCGGCACTAGCTTTCCTACTCGACAAGCTTTGTCGTCTCGCAGAGGGAATCGAACCTTGTCCTATGGATTTACGCGAAGTTCGTGGAGCAGCGTTGTTTGCATTTGACGGTTGGGCGAGACTTGGACGACGACTCCGAGCAGCTGTAGCCAATGTTGGCGGTCGGGAGGGCATCGAGTCGCTCGGAGGGTTATTAATGGTCACACTTTTCCTCCTGATAGAGTTGCTCCTCAACCGTCTAGACATCCCGTTCTCGTCACACTTAGTCGGGGCGGAATTAAGTGGAGGAAGGCCTGAAACAGTGCCCCCGTTTCGGGGCAAGGGAAACTGATTGAGGCTTGATTCCGTCATGATGCTGTTATGGAAGTCGTCGAAATTGACGGGCGTGAGGAATTCTGCGTTTTCGGGTGGAGTCTGGTTAAGGTCCGTTTTCAAGAGATTGCCCATGCTGGTGGATCGCAGGCTAGCAGGGAGATTGTTACTCTCCGTCGAATCATTCGTGGAATCGATTGACGAGTTAACGGAGTGGAAGAACGACCCGGGTTGATTGCTATAACGATATGAATCAGAATCATCCAATATACCAATAATCCAGAGCATTGGGTCTGGCGGGGATGCATTTGGGGAAGTAGCAAGGACACGAAAGCGAATGGGGAAAATGAAGAGAGAAAGCTCCGTCTACCTTCTTCGGGCAGGCTCCTGCGGTCGCGGGCCTTGCGGTACCTTCTGATCACGAATAGAAAACCTCCTCCTGCTTGTCACATTTGGGTTTGATACCCTTGCTTCGGTTGACGAATAGGATGCTTCTGAAAGAAATGGTGTTGAGGCGTGTTTTTGCAACCGTCTGCGTGGGGGGCCTTCTGCTGCAGTACAACGAAAAGACGTTAGCGGCCAGCTGCAATGAGAATATTTCCATCGCGCCGGTTGATCTTACCTCCTGAGCCTGAGTCTCCATTTCGAGACGGACTCGACGACCTCGATTGAACCTTACGCGACTGCCCCTTCCCTGAATATGGCTGGGCCGGCAGCTTTTCCGGCATCCTCAGACTCTCCCGACGGTGTCGACCCCGAACGTGATACGGGTGCCCTTAGGGCAAGAAACTGGTGGCTGAATGGCGATAAATTCGATGTGAAATCCCAATCGCTATGGGATTTAGAAGTAAACGACTTCTCTGTCCCTCAAACAAAGGAGTGCCTTGACCAACAATGTCGCGCGACCCAACAACGGTGGTTAGCGGTCCATTGCGGGGGTCAAGAACAGCAGTCTCTGTTCCAGAGTATAGAGGGGGAATCCGAAGTGGAAAAAGACCTTCGGGAAAAAAAAGTTGATCGCTGTCCAATCTTGTTCCAAGTTCTCCTGAAGGAATAAATATCGGCGCGGCGGCGATGTCGATGACTCTGCCTGGGGCAGCAGTTCTGATGGACTTTTTGGCGGTAGGGAAAGAAAGTTACGGGTTCGTATATAAGCAACCGGTAGACCAAAGCAACGAGAAGGAAGGAGCCACGAAACAATTTCTTTAATCAATAAATCTAAATGATTATCCCTCAGCTTGAAACCTGCTAGGACCTGCCAGGTGCACAAAGGGTAAAAACAAATTATTAGGAAAATAGCAAAAAAAGAATAGAAAGAGAAGTTGAAATCCTGGTGGAGTCCTGGAAGAAATTACCTGTAAACATAACAAGCCCCAACTAAGGATTAACCTCTAAACAACTATCACCAAAAAAACCCCCCCCCCTGCTCCTTTTCGCTGCGAGAGTGACCCAGTTGCATGCCTGCAAACAGCACAAACAATGTTGTGTGTTGGTTCATTAAGGTTATATTAGTATTACCTAAGGTCTACCCAAGGTAAGGCTGCCCGTTACCAACCTACGTACGAGTAGTCTGATACATACCGGGCAATACCAAGGCAGTACCCCGTTGGTAAAATAACCATGAGGTTGGTATTGTCATGATCATACCCACCCCCCCGATAAGCTAAGAAGTTCAACAGAGGCGCTGATACGAACTCGGCTCTCCGCCTTCTAGTAATGTGATGCATGTGCTTCCGCTTGCAAACAGCCGAGCGGCTTTCATCTACTGCTATTGTCCGCCGTCGGAAATGTCTTTGCTTACTATCGATCTCTTCTGGTAGCTGAACCCGTCATGGAAGAATATACCCCGGACGCTATCGTCAACCGCGACGAGCCTGTCCCTGTAATCTCCGTGGGGAAACAAAGGGATGATTCAAGAGATTCTAAACCTTCTGCTGGACATCAGCGATCCGCCTCGGGTGCTGGTCGGTCCTTGCAAGATAAACTCTTCGCCAAGTATGCCCTCACTGGATCTTCTTGAGCTTCTGATCTGTACGGGCTTTTTTCGCTGACTCGTTGTAAAAAGACTCTTGCAGCAAGTAATCCCAGCAGAAGATGTCAACGACGACTCTGTGGTCGTGGGCGACAAGCGGCCTGTGGACCCCAAACGGCCGGCCTTCAGTCTGCCCCTGATGGCTAATAACTTCCGCAGATTCAATGCAAGGTATGTATCATGATCCGGGCGCGTAGTCTGGACACGAGCACAGACTGAAACAATTGGTAGAATTGGGATTGTATTCTCGTTTCAAACGCGCGTGGAGCGTTTGCTCACCTGGAGAAAGTCCTCCCATACTTTCTCTTTTCTCTTCGTCTACTCTTTTGTCTGCTTAGACCCTCATCTCCTCGTAATTATACCCATCGCTTCTATCTTACTGTTTGTGATGGTCCCCGCCTTCCTGGCACGCCATCCTCCCCCTCCATCAACATCAACATCCAGTATCACTCCCTATTATTCATATCAAGGTCCGGCACTTGCACCAGCTAAGACAATCAAGCCGGCACCAGAGACATCTAAGGATTTCTTTCGGAATATGCGGGACTTGCAGAACTGCATGGCCGATTTCTCTGACGTACACGACGCAACGGTTTCTGTATTCGCACCTCTGACAAACTTCTCCAACGAAAAGGTGTCATCAGTTGTCTTTCTAGTCTGTACAATCATTACGGCTCTGCTATTCCTGACTGCGCACCTCCTTCCATGGAGGTATATACTCCTTGTGGGTGGCAACGCTGCCATTCTGTCCAGCCACCCCAGCCTTCAGGAGCTATTCCAAAATATTGCAGGCGACCTTGCGAATGAACCGGCTGGGAAAGCTCCCACAAAGTCTAACAATGGCAAGAAGGATACAATGGACGTTCTAGGGGTATCCCTGCCATCTTCTCCCTCCGCAACCATGTCTTCATTAAGGTCATTAGCGGATATCTCCCTGGACACGTATCCCGAAGAACGTGAGGTGGAGATCTTCGAAATTCAATATCGCTCTCTGGCCCCTTATTCCGACTCACAGTGGGACCACTTCATTTTCAGCCCCATGCCATACGACCCATTATCCCCATTGCGCATTGCTGGAGACCGCCCCAAAGGCTGTCGGTTCTTCGAGGATGTCCAGCCGCCTTCTGGCTGGGCTTGGAAAAGCAAGAAGTGGGAACTTGACCTAGATTGCCGCGAATGGGTCGTTGAACGAATGATTACAGGTGTCGGCTTTGAAGTTTCAGAAAGTGTCTCCGAGGAAAGCGCGGCTAATGACGAGATTGGGGGTTGGGTCTGGGACCTCCCATCTGCTACATCATACCGGGATAGTAGCGGGGTAAATGCTGCCTTAGGTTATGAGGAGTTTGACTCCGACTTGAAATCATCCGCAAAGGGAGAAATCAAGAAGGTAAAACGGAAAGGAAAGGGACGGGTGTCACAGGATTATGAGGAGAAGGGAGGTACTGGACCATCAGTAATGGGGGAATGGAGAAGACGACGATGGGTACGAATCGTACACAGGACGAGCATGCCAACAGAAAGTGATAAGGCAAATACGGCCAGTGAAGATAGGGATTGATGCTGAAATTATGCATGATCTTTAGTTGTTGAACGTGAGTTGATTGCTGTAAATAATGCTTTTGCTTTTTATACATAATGCCGATATGCGTAGTTTCCATCCGGATAGCGAGATATAACAATAGTATCGATAACCATCTTACCAAATAACTCAGTAGTATGGCTTACGAGAGGGTATGTTAAAGGTACACCACGTTTGAGTGCTAAACTATGCAGCCCAACAAATTCAGCAACAGTATGTATATGATACGTAGATATTCGCTTACCCGTTATCCACAACCATATACAGCATGAGACCAACACTATCAATCCTACAAAAACTATAGATCAGTTTCCCAAATCCTTGAGATCTCCATGTATATAGTGGGTTCAGGTGTGAGAGACATCACTAGCCAAAGCTCTTTGTAAATACACCACTAGTAGTAGTAGTTGCTCGTACACCATCACGGGATGTTTGGCGGACGAGATCTGGACCATGTCAATGTACATACTTTGACCACCTTACCGGAAATACCTAAGCTTTGGTTCGAGAGGGGAAGAACTGGTCGATGACTCGATTTCACTCATGGTGCTCGAATATATTGACCAACGCGGTATATTCCGTGGAGATGATTGGAATAACATGACCAGCCCATTAGAACAAACGTGTGGCTGATTCCAAATCAGTTCCTATTATATCATGTTTGAAGTGAAGACTCTGATATAACGTTCAGCCCTCTCGTGGGAATACTAACTATCCACAAGGCTTTCTGAATCCAGAATTCAAATCGCAGTAAGGAAGAGACACCCACTGAGGATCATTCTATTCCCAAGATATCGCTCGAAAATCATCAAGGTGACTGCCGACTGACCACCAAGAGATTTAGTTTCACCCATACAAGGATTTGGGATGTGGATCAAAAGCGACAAGACATTGTAGGGCTCAGCAAACAAGATGCTCAAAGAAGTGCCTTCAGCTCCGACCTACGACTTTGATCTGAGTGGCCAATTTGCTAGAATTACCAACGTTGATGACATGCTTAAATACCTCAACATGGTGTTGCCTAGTCAATATTTCTGGGAGATCTCAATTGAATCTGTCACAAAGATTCCCCGGCCATCTGTGACAATATGGATAGCATTCTTCGTGGAAAAGCGGACCGAGAGGAATGTAGTTTGGCCACACCGGAATGAAACCATTTTTTCCTTCATTGTCATATGAACCCTTCTGCATGTGTTTCGTCAGAATGAGCATATCCCAGAGTCATTGAAATCGAGTACAAGAGTTGACTCTCTTTCATTCTGCTCTTCCTCTCGTTTCTTCACCTCAAATAGCGTTCACAATGGAGAAGCAGTCTAATGAAAGCTCAATCACATCGAGTGCCACACACTCTCAGACTCAGGTGTCCAAGCTGCACTTGTTGCTCCGATACTGTGTCATTGCCCCGTGCCTTTTATTAGCAGGGATCTGCTTTTCTTCTTTCGGCTTGGCCGGTGCCAGACAAACGGGACCCACCCACGGAAGCTCTTACGCCACGACACGGAAAGTTCCCTTCGAAGTACACATCGAAAGCCGATGTCCCGACGCCCGGGACTGTTTACAGAAGCTCGTAGCCCCTGCATATTGGCAAGTGGAGGATAAGGTGGATTTTAGAATTAGCTACATCGGAGAGTGAGTCCAAACCCAACGACAATCATCACCAGGCCCTTTCACCCCCGGCCAGAGTACACTTTGTTAATCCTAACTCCCACATCATTAGGGTTTGGGAAAAGCCAAGAAGAGACGTAACCTGCCAGCACGGCATGAACGAATGCAAAGGCAACAAATTGCTCGTTTGTTCTGAGAAACACGCAGACTCCATTGGCGATGCCCTGGATTTTAATACCTGCGTGCTATCGGATTACGAGCGGGTTCCGGACGAGGGATTGATCAAGGAGTGTGCGCAGGAGCATAATATTGATTATCAACAAATCAGTGACTGTGCGAACAGTGAAGAAGGCCTGGAGCTTTTGATTAGCAGCGTTGAGCGTAGCGTTGCTGTGAATGCAAATGCAAGCTGCACTGTTCGTGTGGACGATAAGGTGTGGTGCAGCCGGGACAACTATGAATGGAAGTGTCCGCCTGGTCGTGGTGTTGTTGAGAATTTGGTTCAGGAGATTAGGAAGTTGGCTGAGGATGGGGAGGACATCACTAGATACCTTTAGCTAGCTAGTACCGAAGCGATGAACTGCTAGGAGAAGAGAAAAGATTGCCAGATACTAATGGGTAAGGATTGGCCTTTTAACCGGTAGATCTGAGAGTTAGGGTAACTTCAGAGGTGTGGCCCGCATACATAAAGTTAGTGTCCGCAGGCACACCCAACAAAACAGATTATATCCGTAGTTAGAAATGGACCACCGGCTCAGAGGAGCTCCATTGATGTTTGGCGGACTATATTTCCTATATGGTAGATGTGATAGGCCCAGATAGGTCTAAGGTAGCATGCCTTGCGACGCACCGTCAACTCCATATCTCAATATCTTGCCGTAGCGCAGGTGCCGCCTCCGCGCTAGACCGTGGGGCAGATTATACAGTCGGCTTACTTCACAAAAGAGAAATCGAATAGGCAGCGAACGCTGTAAGCGTTGAGTTCATTACATGACTTTTCGTTGCACACGCAAGTGGCCACATACCCTACTACACTGTGGCATGGGGTTTATAGGCATGGATAGAGGAAGCATGAGACCAACTAGCAAACCGCCATAGAAAAGAGATTAACTCTAGAATATCTAGCATCCCCAATCTGTCCCTCGCATCTTATGCGAGCACATTACATTTGTGGATAAATAAAGTATAACCACTTCAAGACTTAAGATTAACGTGTACTTCCCGAATCCCCTTTATAGAGACACCTTGTTCACTTAGGACACATGACATAATCGGGCCCCACTACCAGCATCAGGTTCAATGGAAATGACCTCACTATAAGTAGCAACTTCTAAGTGTGGTTAGTAAAGGGCGTATTCATCAAAAAGAAGACAACTTACAGATGGCCTTTCCACCAACATTCCCGTTGAAATTATATCCAGAATCGGGATCGTATCTCCAGGTAGGCCGTCCTGGAAGGAGACCAGAGCTCGCCTCGCCTCGCGCACGAGGCTAGCCGTGCCCCCCTGGGGGATCTAAAGCAGGTCACCTTCCATGGAGTAGAACTTGATTTGCACGACATCAGGACCCAGATCGTTAGAAACAGTGTTGTTTCCAGTAAATTTGATACTGTCTTCCATTGTTGCAGTATGAGTAGATGCCTTTTAGATGAAAGGTTGAATCTGAATGTGGGATGATGAGATTTGGCTATAATGCCTGAGCTCTTGGGATACTAGGGTCTTTTGTACCTGGGCTTGCTACTGCTTGAGACAGATGCACAATATCTTATAGTACATCTAGGTTAATAAAAAAGATGATCAATTTTGCAGACTTCGTTATCAACGTGGGTGTCATGGTGGCTCCAGTGCTGTCTCGTGGTCTCAGTGTAGTCCAACGTAGTATGGAAGACCTACTAGCCCACGACGACGACCTAATTAAGGTCTACCTTACCGAAGCTATCTACAGCTACGAAAAGATATCGATTGATGTACCAGTCAGTGATACACCGGATCGAGTGCTACTCGATTGTTTCTTATACTCGTAAGTCGCCACATCTCGGAAATATGCTCGAAATATCCACGTCCAGGATGGAACCGGACACGGCATGAATTCGCGAATGACCTGACTTAAGACCACACAGAGGACTTCGAATCGCCTTGAGGATGAGTAAGGATGAATGGATAGAGAGACTGATGTATTCTAACCTATAGGTTAAGGTTCGCTATATGGATATCCACATTTTGATGGGGAGTCCGTCAAGATATACATGACCGATACCGAGGAGGTCAGTCCTTCATTCGGGTCTCGTCCACATCTGTCTAGTTTCCTCTTCAATGTGATTGTTTTGTTAACAATAGTAGGGACGAGGAGTATCATTCCGACCCGGTTACTATAGCCCCTCCACAAAGTGCTGATATAGACTCGAGCTTGGTCAGCAGTAGTAGATCTTCCGAGAAGGCAATTAGCTCTGGAGATATTCACTGCGATCTATATGTAGAGCGGGCTGAATGGGTGGAAACTGCGTCGTGTCCGATTCATTATCGTTAAGTGAAACCATATAACTTGGCTGAATGTCCAAGAATAGCCGGACGCCATTAAGACTCCAGCATATATGATTATTACCCCGACGGGCGCTAAAGACATCGGATGTTCGGAAACAGCACTTGGGGGCCAGATCGCAGGCCATTTTAATTAAATATGGCGGGGAGGCTACAGCCTTTAGACAACATCGTTCCTTCCTAGTGCGTGGGACTGAGCCCTATTAGGAACAAGAACGGGGAGTTGGGTGATCAGCTAAAGGCGTCCGGCGCTTACACCAGTCAACGACCAAAACGTGCGGCGTGTTGGTTAGTCAACTTGGAACCGTAGCCTGTGTTACCCAAAAGGGTCCCCTGTCACTTTAGCCTTCCTATAATTTCCCTCTTGCTGGTCGCGTCTCTCGCGCTCTTCTGCCAATGTTTCAGCTCCTCCGACGGCATGTTGGCCCGCCGCAGAATCATTGTTGCAGCCTTTCTGGCCGCTTTCTGCCTCCTTAGTGCATATTATTTCTGGCATAAGGAGCCTCCAAATCTAGTTCGTCCGATACAAGAGAGGCGGACTCGCCTGTGGCAGCATCTTCACCCTTTACTGGAAAAACACGTGCCCAAGTGTCCCAAACCGACCCAGAACGGCAGCCCAGGCCTCCCACGATTCGATGCAGTACATGAGACCCCTCGCCGCAACCTCCTTACCAATGTGGATGAAATCCTACAGCCTATGCAAGAAGCCCACGATGGCTTTGTTCAGGCTATCCGCAATTTCGACGTCGGCGATGTTTTCGTTCCAGGAACAGTAGGCATAGTGTCATCGGCCGGAGGTACATATTTGCCTACCTTGGTGGTGTCTCTTTCGTTGCTGCGCCGTACTGGATCGACATTGCCAGTGGAAGTCTTCATGAAGGATCGGACCGAGTATGAAGCACATATTTGCGAGGTGGCTTTGCCCCGACTGGGGGCGAAGTGCTTGGTGCTTTCTGAGATGCTGGCAGACCGAGGTGAGACCGAGAATATCCAACCCATAGAGGGGTTCCAGATCAAGTCTTTTGCCATGCTTTTTTCATCATTTGAGAGGTTTTTATGGCTAGATGCGGACTGCGTCCCTCTCCATGACCCAATGGTACTACTAGAGTCTGAGCCTTTCACATCCACCGGCCTGGTCACCTGGCCAGACTTTTGGGCCAATACAGCCGCCCCAGTATATTTCAATATTTCGCGTCAGCCCGAACCCTCTTCCACAACACGACAAGCTACCGAAGCCGGGATAATGCTCGTTTCTAAGCCAACGCATACGCACAGCTTACTCCTCGCCGCGTATTATAATTACTACGGACCCAACTACTACTACTCCCTACTCGGGCAGGGCGCTCCGGGCGCAGGCGACAAAGACACTTTCCTTCATGCGGCGACTGCCCTCAACCAGAGCTTCTATGCCGTCAGCGAAACCGTGGTGGATCTCGGAAATGTGACGCCCTGGAATTCGCAGGTCGCGATCAATGCAGGATACGTCCAAGCGGATCCGATCCAGGACTATAATCTGACGAGCCAAGGGCAATGGCGAGTCCGGGATCTGTCCGTTGCGAAGCCACCTCGTGTCTTCTTTGTTCATGCAGGTGCTCCGGAGTTCAATCCGGGGAAGGAACTATTGGGGCCGAAGCTGCGGGGGTTTGATGGAAATCCTACGAGATTGTGGACTTATCCGCTGGATGCTATGAGACGGCTCGGTTATGACGCTGAGCAGAGATTCTGGGAGGAGACTATGTCTGTAGCGTGCACAATGGAGACTGTCTTCGTGACCTGGAAGTCTAAAAGTGGCCTGTGTGATGGTGTCCGGGCGCATTGGAAGGCTGTTTTCGAAAACCCGAATCTCGAGGTGCCGACATTTACTGATGATTGAATGTTTCGATCGATAGTGATGTAAGTAAAGTTATCTATTTCAAAATTCTCCTTCGGGTCATATCCGACACACTTATTTTGTATACCTTGTGTACTCGTTGCAAGAAACTTGGTAACACATCTTGAAGAGGCTACAGCAGGATGTTGTCTAACAACAATAACCAAAAAAAAGAAAAGAAAAGAAAAAGAAATTCCAACAGAGAAAGACAGAAAGAAAGGAAGGAAAGAAAGAAAGAAAGAAGAAGGCGAATGTTCCGACGCGCATTTGACTAAATACTGTATACTACCCATATTTCAATATGATTGACAGATGCCGGTCGCAACTTCCTGACAGTTTTGCTCCCGAGCGGCCCGTTCCGAAGTTTTAGGTTTGCGACCATGACATTAAAGTTCCCTACGTTTCCAGCCCGTCTGGAATTTGCTCTGGTTAAAGCGAGGTAGCACATGGGCCTCTGTATTGAAAACGACTTCGGTGAGCGGGAGGAATTCCCTTGGAGAGAAAAGAAGGTATAAATATTTCAAGGTTTCGGCCTGCAATGAGTTAGAACTACCGAACTCCAAATTAAGTTCGGAGCTTCTTACCAGCCAGAAGCTTTCCATATTATCACGTTGCGGTGTGGGAACCTTTGTGACATCGTGCAAAGATGCGTACCCTTCTCCGTCTTTTACTACCGTGTGTTCCTTGAACGCTTTGAAAATCTCCCATCCCCATTTTCGGTACAAGGGATCGTTGGTCACACGATACATCAAGAAAAGACTTTCAACAGTTTCCGGTCGCTGCAGGTTGTGAGCATCCAGAGGTTTGATGTTCAGGTCCCGCTTCCAGCAGGCCTTGTCATCTTTACTTCTAGCCGTGGGAGATGGACGAGATGATGGTCGTATATCGGCTTCGTCGACTTCAAACCAGGCAATCTCCGGGGATAGACCAGAGTTCGTGACTGCATACATCGCCCAGCAGGTCTTCATGAGCTCCCGCGCTAGTTGCATCTGGTGCTCTTTCCGGGAATTCCAACTGGGCCTTTTCCGCGCTTCCTTCTCAGTCAGTCCCTCAGTAGCGCCGATCGCGATGGAGCCCGGTAAGAAGCAGACAAGATGGTCCATCTTAGGGGATAATGGCCCACCTATACCCTGCGGTAGCTCGGCGATGAACTGGAGTTTTGAATGCTTTGTAGAAGTAATCAAATGCTTTTGTATCCCGACCAACGCCTCTTCCCACAACTCACGGTATACTGGCTCCTGTCCAGAAGTCTGCAAATATTGCTTGATTAAGTATTCTGTACCTATGTCAGCTTTCTCCTTCGCAACAAAGGGGCTGATATGAGAGTATACCATAGTATGAATCCCCCCGACTCCCAAGACGAATCTCCTTGTGTCTAAATTGTCCAGTGTCCGGGTGCACAAAGATCGGGAGAAGGCCGTCCTGCATACGGTGATTATCTATAACCTTCATGACGTGCTCAGCCTTACGCCAGTAAACCTCCTTACCGGTGAGGTGGGCAAGGTACTTCATTTCCAATTGGAGCGTAGTGGCTTCAGCCGTGGATGAAGCGCCACCATCTGCATGGGAGGGAAGGCCTTCTCTGGTCCCAATATTAACGCTTGCATATGGGATCCCTGACCTGGATTCATATGCACCAAGAAGCCGATCGCCCAGATCGACTGCTTTAGACAGATATATATAGTCCCGGCGAGATGAAACATCCGGAAGCACATTAGACAAGTAATGGGCAGACAGAAGTCCTCCAAGCATGCGAATGGTCATCTCAAAAGTGTTCACATCTTGGTCTTGGTTGTAAGTCAAGCCACGGTTAAGCCACTTCCGGGCATCGGAGAGCTGCGTGGTCAAATTCATGATCATCAGTGTATCCAGGCTATCGACGATGATCCACCCCAGACCGCTGGGGCTCATTTGTGAGCCAGTTTTAGAGATGGGATGGAAGCGATCCTGCCCTAGTCGAAGCGTCAGTGACATGTATTTGGGAAAGATGAGCCATCCAGCTTGCCGGATACTGCTGAGAGAACCTGTAGAATCATATATCACGAAATACGTACCCCAGGCATACTTAGTGTAAGCATCCCAACTAATCACGAAAGAGTCTTTGACCTCCTCCCGGTGACTAGACCAGTAACTGTCCTTGTCGATGGGTCGAAGATCGAAAGGGGTTTCCGAGCCTCGGATTTGCACGTATCGCCCTATTATTAGGGCTAGTAAGCTCGTGATTACAGATTTCACAATCCAATTCCAGGTAAGCAAAGCATAAAATCGAGAACCGTTGGGTTTCTGCGACTGTGCGCGCTTCTGCTTGCGCCGAGAAGTCTTTGATAACATTGTTTCTGACTGGATTGCTGAGGGAAAAGTTTTGGGCCCCGAGCAGTCAAATAGGGGCTTGTGGAGTAGCAAACAAAGAGAACAACAGAAGGAAATGACCGCCGAGGGACTTGTGCCTCTCTATCAATTTACCGAGTGGTCAGTATATTGAAACGTGATTGGCACTTTGCTCTAGTGTCTACGTGGAGTGACAGGGATTCTTCCCTAGTTTTGAGGCTTCTTTCGGTCATTGGAGAATATTGTCGCACTTGAACTATTAGTAGATACAGCACCAAGGAGCGCCTAGCGCCTGTGCTGCATTAGCCCTACACCAGTGTTAAAAAGCCAGGCTCGATCGAGGGATTTCTGACTCGCCAAATGAGCTTTCTAGCCGCCCGACATTGAGACAAGGGTTTTATTTATTTAGTGACCTAACAGCCCCCGCCCCCTTTGCCTGTATGCCTGTTAGCCTGATATCCCCTTCTGCGTTCATCTTAATCAGTATATCCCTTCGGAATACGACTCCTTGAGCCCATTTTGACTTTACACGTGCGCCACGAATCAACAATAATAGTAAACAATTCCTCTCAGCACCACAAATCAAGGGGTATTTCAGGGCAGTGTTCTGGGAGAAGTCATCTCTGTGACTCAAATCCAATGTCGGTGACGCTTTATCCGGCTGAGACGAGCGATGGCACTGTCACATCATTCATTCCTCTCACCACAGTGTGGCCCTCCTCTTCAGGGTGTGCAAGCTACTTTCGCTTGAACGGACCAAGCCTAGTAGCTTGGGACCCTGGCTATGGACTTGATATTGATACCAATGTGAGGTGTGCTCCCCCAGCAGTGACAACCTGGTGGGAGCAAGGTGCGTTAGGTGGAGGAGGTTCAGAACATACCGCAGTTAGCATCGGCCCTCTCACATGCCCGGAGAACTTTTCGACCGTTGCTTCTTCTGTCAAAGATGATTCTAGCACGCTGGCCATGTGCTGTCCTCCGTGAGTGATCGATCACTTCATCCTCTAGACGAACATTGTCATCTGACACACTTCGCTTTAGTGGATATTACCTGGCAGGTAGAACGCCTGGAAAAGTCAACGGAAACTGCCTGTCGGACGTCGCCTCCGGCATGACTCTTACGTACGCATCAACTCCATATGGCGACAAAACGGCCTGGAAAACCGAGACCACCACATTATCTAAAAGCTCAACTGTTGGTGCAATTGCTGTCGTGGGATGGAACATCAAAATCGTCACTCCAACTCCCACTTCAGCCTCCACAGCCACGTCAACAACGCCGTCCAGTACGCGGGACACCCCCTCCGCGGCAACCACCAGTGTCACTACCTCACCGTCGAGCGGTGATCTCACCACAAGCGCCAAAGTAGGGATCGGTGTAGGGGTAGGTGTTGGTGCAATCGGCGTGATAGCATTACTGGTCGCGTTATATTTCTTTAGGCATCGAAAGCAGCAAGCTCCGGCCGAACTCCCTGCTCCAGAGCCAAGACAACCCCCCATGTATCAAGCGGTTTGGCAGCCTGCCCCGATTGCAGAGCTCCCGGCGACAAAAGCTCGTCCTGGTCATGGATCCATGGCCCCTGCGGAGTTAGGAGGATGAGGTTGGATTTGGGTGATAATATGGTATGGCAGGCTCAATACCCCACTACGCTTTTGTATTTTGTTTTATAGGCTCCAATCCTTGATATTAGCGATTGCTATGAACGTGTATGTATGTGTTAATATTATAATGTACAATTGTCGAAGCGACGAACCCACTATTTGGAGGTACAACAAACCTCTCTATGCTCTCTGGGTAGTAGTATCTCATAGCACGACAATCTAGAATGCATGGCTTGTATAATAATAATACCTTGCGTGTAGGGTAAAAAGATTTTGAAACTGAGATACAAGTTTGTCATGACAAATTGATAATGGAAGTAGTTGATATATCCATTATGGAACTGTAGGATCATAATTCCAATAAACCCCGACAGCCCTTTGATAGGATATGGTCTGTATGGCCACAACTTTCATTAAGAGGCTCCGTCTATATAGGAGGTTATATTCCTGAACTTCTACCCCTCGGCCGATCGACGAAGATTTCAGGCTGAGGGTGAACCTCTTGGGCGATCATGAAAACATGCCTTTGGTCTTGCCAAATCCAACTTCACAAATCTTATTTATTATTTTTATTTTTGGCTAATAATACATATAATGGTTCAAAAATGTTGCGGCGCCAAGCAATCGTTTCCACAAACCTTAACTTTGTATTGTAGCGATCAACCGGGCCGCTGATAAAACCCTAACTTAATTGCAGCAGCCCTATTCCGTCGAGCTCTATATAATGGTGGTCGCGTTGGGCATTATTATAAATGAATGGCCCCAGTTAGTCAAGGCCGAACACGGCTCAACTCGACCTACTACTACAGCTTCAGCCCTGGTTTCCCTTTAATTAACTCGTGGGATTAAGTGGATCTGTGGTCTGGATCATGGCTTTGGGCAGGGAATTGGCGCTAGTGCGTATTAAAGTGAAGGTATCTGGAGAATACCTTGCCTATAAGAAACTACTGGTGCATATATATAGCTTTTATATTACTAAGGAAATTAAATAGGTCATGGCGAGTGGAGTCTGTGCTGAATCTCGAATGGTACATATGTCCCATAGTCCCCCACCCCTGGTTACTTGTTCTGTTTCCCGGACATTGTTTGGGCATCCTCAAGGTTATCTCCATGTTCACATACCCGGACTGTCAAGATGTCAATTGCCACCCCATAGACACATATAATGTGGCTATCTTAGATATAAATCGAGCTTTGTCCAACGAGCCATCGACAATGTCTTTGGTCAAAGGTAGTTTTGTGCATGGGAGAGATTTCATGGGTCATCCCATGGAAACGTTGTCGCATTTGGGTTGGCACATGGGTCAGCGGGCGCATTGAGGAGTTGATCCGCTTGTGACAGCAGATAGAAAACACTGCCCCGGATCAAACACTGCGCTTCGCAGGACAGTTCTTGGTGGATTAAGACGTCTCCAGGAGAGAGTCGCGGTTTATGTCCGTTTCAATGAGTCGGTGTTTGTTTACATGTGACCACCATGATCGTTCTTGGGTCTGTGATAGCACCGCCATAGGAGAGTATGAAGAGCAAATAGTTTCAGTAAGTGTAGACAGCAGGTACCCTGGATACGCCAGGTGTGTCAAAATGAAGTTTACTTTCTTTCCAACAATCTTAAAAGCTTCAATTAGCCATATTCGGAACATATTAGACTATGGAACGCTTTCTGCCATAGAGAAGGTACCAGTGACCCTAGGGGGAAATAAAGATAAAGACAAAAGGAACAGGTTACGGGATGTAATCCTAGGGGGAAAATGATATTTCGAAGGCCATTCAACGATCAGGCCATACAGGTTTATCTAAGTTTGTAAAATGCCAAGCAGGAAGTGGCCCTGGTAGATATGTCTGTGTCTCATTGACTTGATGAAAGTTTCGCCAAATATCCTTTAGCGTAAACTTCTTTGTCGACATGAATTCGTAGAATCGGAAGTAGATCTGGGTTGCACTGATCTTGAGCCGCCCATCGTAACCGTCTTCATCGGCACCCGGCCGAGACCAATCCGGGTTAATTGCCCAGGCAAAGCTGTGCTGTCTCGACTGGCTATACGATACACGAGCCTCATCTGTCACCAGGAAAAAGACGTTCGAGAGAATTCCAGGCTTGAGCTCGCCTCTGCTACGGCGATTCCGGAAATCCCTTTATTGTAAGGTCAATATCATTTCGATAAATAGTGGCTCAACATGACTCACTCCCTGAGAAGATTCAACTATTGTTCCTTCGAGCCTTTAGCCTCGAATTCCACAAATTCGGCCACTTTGAAATCCTCAATTTCATCCCACCCGACAACCGTAAACATCTGCGTCGTCAGAATATCCTCGAATTGGTGCTGGAATTCCGCCCAGAGTTCCTGCTCCCTGTAATGATACCATATATAACCCCAACTTTTGTCTTCTCCCTGGTCGATGATATTCTGAATCCACTCTTTGGGCAAATGGCTCGGCCTCTCGTGTCTCCGCCTTTCCTCTACCACGTCATAATGTGCCATCTGAATAGAGTAAAACACATCGTCCAAGTTCTGATAAGCCTGTGACTCTATCGTCGAAAGAACTGCAGTACGAGCTTGCTCTCTCTTAGCTTGGAGATCGGGCCGTGCCCGTATCCACTTCCGTCGATCATTCGCATACTTGAGTTGGTCCATAATGCCAATGACGTGGAAATCATCTTTGATCAGGCGACATTCTGCATACGTTAGAGAATGCGGATCTGTGACAGCTTTGTAGAATAAATCTTCGACTGATTGCCCGAGGTAGGTTTGGGCGTTGGCCTGCATCACCGCAAGGGGGGGGCCATTCTAGCATTTGGTGTTTTTCCTCTAGCGAAATGTCCGCCGGAGACTGGATTGCTTTGTCCCAGAGGGTCTCTAATTGGGCAAATTCCTCGAGTGTGGTCGCCATCTTGTAAAGAAAACACGTAACAGCTCGATGAACCTTTTGGGGGCGCACGAACCGAGATCCAACCGAGGTTGGATGTTGTGGGATGAAGGGCCTTTTATAGTTGTGGATGCTGGGTGACATTAGCAGAAGGTTTTTGCAAACCTTACCACTAGGAATTTTCAATACCGTCCCGTATTTGGAGTCTAGACAACCTTTTCTACGGCGGAACTACATCTAGCCTACGGACAAAACTTCGAGTTTTCGGATTTCTTACTGAAATCTCACGGATTTACTGTTACATCCAGCCACAGCTGCTATGTACCTCTAGTTCTAAATTCTAGTAAGGCCCAAGGCCTTTAAATTTACTTTCCTGGATTTTTATCGTTTAATATAGTATAAGTAACTATTAAATACTGTTATCCCTCTAAATTATAATGGAATAATTATACCTAAGCTAGGATTCCAAGATATGTTACAGCTCTTATAAATTATAGATATTATAAATAAAGAATCACGCTTGGTATTGAACGCAAGAACAGACCACCCTCTCGTCTTACCTTACATGGTTTGCCTACACGTTACAATGTATATACCATCATTAGATTCACTCAACAGACGGCTTGCGTCAGTAAACAAATAATGCGGTTTCATTCCTACTTGTCAAAGGTCTGTAATAAAGCAGAATGTCTCAACAAAAAAAAAGGGGTGACTCCTTTGCCATTACCCCTTTACATTCTGAAACAGACAGTGTTTGTGGGGTTGTCTATCAGTGTAATCAAATAGATCGTCCGAGGTTGACAGAGAGGTTCAGGTGTAAAGAAGAAGGCAGAATATCGGATATACTACGCCGATGTTAATTGACATAGCCTGGAAGGCTCAACATAGTCCTTGTTCAACACAGACACCAACTTTCCATTATGGACCTCATATTGTCGATGTGTCTTGCGAGTCATGTGGATCATTGGGTCTATTGAAGCTGCCAGCTCAGTGAGATGGTTATAGATCCATCATAAGAAAATTCCAACGTTCAAAGTGTGATATCCGGGCTCCTAGAGAGCCTGAAAAGAAAGAGGGTCGGTGAAATGAAGACAGGGAGTACGGCATCCGGAACATCGAAAGAGCAACCTTGGCCTTTGTGCAAAAAGAGTATCATGAATAAAACTTTGATCTCCCATGTCTGCCGTGTTTTCCGAAATCAGGCATTAGTATGTTGAGAGATATGCATTCAGCTCAACGACAGCCTACAGTAGAAGACAGGGTTTTAATACATGCTAGGAATTACACGAATGATAGGTGAAATTGGTCCAAATCTATGACCACCAGGGCCCTGAGATGCTCGATAATGCAAAAGGCAGACGGCGTTCTTACAAGGTAGCTCCCTGCACTCCAGTGACGAACAAAGCCTCTCCCTCCGTCAGAACCACACCATCCCCATCCACAATCTGCCCTCTACACACCCACTTACGCCCCTCACGTACCTCAACCCAGGTGCGGACAACCACAGTGCTTGGTGTCAAGACCGGTGCCCGGTAGGTAACATGTAAACTTGCAGTCATCCCTGACAACCCGCGTTTAGGATGCGCGGCCAAATGTAGTGATACCGTGAGACCCAAAGTTTCGTCCAAAATTGCTCCGGCCATCCCACCATGGAGTATCCCGGATTGTCCGTCCAGCCCGGGAGATCCTAATTCAAGGAGCGCGAAGCAATCTGGGTATTCTGGGGCGCGGTACGGTGTCGTCCGCGGGCCTGCGCTGAGAGATATTGTTCCCCTTGGACTTTCTGGTAGCGGAGAGAAATGCTTTCGTTGCAATGTCAGGAAGTGTGGGATTGCGGTTGGGCTGTTGGTGGTTTGGGCAAAGAAGCAGTCCTCAGTACTGTCTGATTTTTGAACACGACCATATGTGGGAATTGCCTTGTAGGTTGGGTTGGTCAGGAGCTTTTTGATCCATGGAATGGCAGCGAAATGGTCTAGGGCTTGAACAGATGTGGGGTGTGTCTCGAGGAACTGCGGGAGGTTATCCAATCTCCCACCCTTCGCGCCAGAAGCCCTCATCTCGTTTGGCAATGTTCCCTATAGAATGGCCTCTCTCGTTCTTTGGGCAATGCAGAAAGTAGGTGGTGGTTAGTCTTAAGAGTTCTACATCCTGGTTCAATAAATTCGGCATACCTCGGTTTCCAAACAAGGAACCTCGGTATTTGTGGACCCAGGAAAGTCGTCTATCCTGAATCGTGTCGGTGGTTCATGAGTACTCCGTATAGTCCCAGTATTTCTTCAAGCTGAGAGTCCAGCGGTTATTATTATTGCATAACTTTGTGCGATTGCTTACCAATTCTTACGAATTGTCAACTGTAGTGACCAGTTGCCCAACCTCGGCTTTTAACATTTCCTTCCGGCCATTAAAAGGCTTCCATTTGACTTGGTTTTCCGGGGCCCTAAAGTGGCTCTAGCACTAGCTTAAGGTATAGATTGAGCTGGCCTTCGACAGTCCAATTCCTGTGCGAGGTTACTGCAATTTCAATCCCATTGGAATTAATCCTGAAATAGACATGGTGTCACCTCCAGGCCTCCAAGGACTCAATGCGCCCGCACCCAACATTGGCTATTTCACGCCCCAGCATCGCCAGTCTCCTGGATCCCCTGTTACCCTTGATGCCTCGACACCTACACTCTTCACTCCGCTCAAAATCCGTGATGTCACGCTGCGCAACCGCATAGTCGTGGCTCCTATGTGTCAATTCTCAACTGCGCCCGAGGGTCCCTCTATTGGCGCATTGACAGACTACCATATCGCAACCCTCGGGCATTTCGCGCTGAAGGGCGCCGCCCTGGTCTTTGTCGAAGCGACAGGTGTCCAGCCAAATGGCCGAATTTCACCATATTGCCCAGGCCTCTGGGATGATGCGCAAATCCCAGGTCTTAAGCGGGTTTTTGACTTCGTGAAATCTCAGGGCGCTCTGGCTGGTATTCAGCTGGCGCATGCGGGGCGGAAATCCAGTACAGCGGCACCATGGGTGGCAGGGAGCACAGAGCATAGGAAGGCAAGCTTGCGCGTGGGGAAGGATCAGTATGGCTGGCCGGACGATGTTGTTGGGTCGTCTGGGGGAATTGAGCAGACATGGGATGGCCTTGGTCTACAGGAGGCAGGCGGCTACTGGCCGCCCCGAGCTCTTACTCATGACGAGATCAAGCAGTTGGTAGGCGACTGGGCTAAGGCAGCGAAGAGGGCTGTGCAAGCGGGTGCAGATGTTATTGAGATCCATGCGGCGCATGGATATCTTATCAACGAGTTCTTGAGTCCGGTGTCAAACCATAGGACAGATTCTTATGGGGGTAGCTTTGAAAACCGGGCGCGCTTGTTGCTGGAGATCATCGACTCGATTAGGAAGGAAATTCCTGCGGAGATGCCATTATTTCTCCGGGTTAGCTCAACTGAATGGCTGGAAGACACGGAGGTTGGTAAGAAGTACGGCACCTGGACCGTGGAGGATACGATCAGGTTGGCAAAACTTCTCCCAGAAGCTGGCGTTGACCTGCTTGACGTGAGCAGTGGCGGCAATCACCCGACGCAGACAGTCAGCTCGTTCCGAACCAAGGACTACCAGACAAAGATCGCTGCCCGGATTCGCAAGGAGTTGAAACAGTCTGGCGTGCAACTCCTGATTGGTGCCGTTGGCATGATCACGGAGGCAGAGCAGGCACGAGACCTTGTTGAGGCAGACAAACTGCTATCTCAAGAAGCGAAGGACGCTGAAGATGTGACGGATGCAAAGGATGGGAAAGAGCCCTCGGCGGATCTTCTGTTCATCGGCAGGCAGTTTTTAAGAGAGCCAGAGTGGGTTCTGCGAGTAGCGTGGAAGCTGGGAGTGGATGTCGCGTGGCCGAGCCAATATCTGAGGGTTCGGTTCCCTCGTCTTTAAGGCAGCACTTGTCGAATTTCCAGAATGGAATTCACTATAGTATGAATGGTTAGCTATGGACACGCTATATATAGCTAGTGATAGATCTCAAGGGATTGTCAACTACGGTGTTTGTGCACCAGCAATTTCCAATAATTCGCACTTGCTCACCGGTCCACACCGATCGATAAGGATATATGTAACATACCTAGACCAAGGAGATCCGAGAAGCATAAGACATGTGCTCTTGCACTCTTACGAGGGTTCCCACCTTAGTTAGATGGTAAAGTCATGGACACCTCACAAGTAGAAGAACGAACAATTTCCACCTACATAACAATTGTGGGACTTGTTTCAGATAAGGCTTTACCTATCATTTGCGAAGCGGCGAAGCTTGATAAGCTCCTGTCCCATCCTTGCTTTTACTCTGAACTACAAGAAGTCAGCCTTCTCCGAATCCAACTATTACTTCGCTAAGGCTGTGTACTATGGGGTATGGTTTATTTACAGTTGCCTATGCTATTCGAGAGGAGACAACGAAAAGTAAAGTGAAGGAAATTAAAAGCTTTAGCGCTATTGGTATGGATAAGGGAGCAATACCGATTGTAGCAAGAAAAAGACTTTAGGCAGCACTGCCTCGCAATCGTGCAAACCTTCACCCGGTCAGGCCAACATGTAGGCTGGCATTCATTTCATTGGTTGGCACCAACTAATAAAAACAGAGTTTACTCTGTACTAGTATTAGACAGCTTGTTATGCTTGCTCCAATCAGAGTAAACCTGGGCTACTTGAGGCTCTTATTCTGTACAGCAATAGTTACAGCCTTGGGATCTGTACGAAGAGAACACTGTGGCCTTCTATTATTATTGTCTATCTACGTGTTCAAAGCGGCTCTGCAATTCTACAGGCATCTAAATTACTCACTGGTTCCGTATCTGTTAAATTCCCCCATGTCCCAAGCTCTTGTGGTAGTATATCAAGAGACTGGTCTTCTCCATAATAATACCTTCAAAATTACCTTGGCATCCAAATCATTCTTCCGGACTCTGTATCATATAGCCTATATAATGTCTTCCGATCCGGTGTACACACAGCGAAGCACTGAGACACTCCTTGACATAGCTACCGACGTCATCCAGATACTTGTCCAGGCCGAGCAAACACTTGGAGTCGCTGAATCCCTAACCGCAGGTGGTGTGATGGCGGCACTCACCTCTGTACCAGGCTCAAGTGCAGTATTCCGGGGTGGAGTTGTATCCTATGCAACACCTCTCAAGCAGCAACTCCTGGGCGTGGATCCAGACCTGATCGCTACGATGGGCGTAATCAACCCCCTTGTCGCAACGCAAATGGCCGAAGGCGCTCGCAAAGCCACAACTTGTGACAACAGCCCAACAGCGTGGGGAATCGGGACAACGGGAGTCGCTGGTCCTGCATCTCAGGATGGAAAGCCTGTTGGCACGGTTTACATCGGCATTGCCTCGCCCACTGGCAACCGAGCTTGGGGTCCCTTCAACTTCCCCGGGAGTCGTGAGCGTATCCGCGAAGCAACTGTTCTGGAGGCCTTGTCTCGACTACGTGAGGAGCTTGTTGCCTATCGGAGTAATGTGAGGAAATAGAGGAGGATTCGTGCGTTATCTGCCGTTGCTTTCATATCCCAACATGGGTACACCAATTCATAGTCGATAGCGACTCCTAGTGTGCTGTTCCATTTCCTGAATATTTACTAGGGAGGAATATGGAGAGGGGTAGTATATATTACTAGTGGAGGTCGAGTCGATACTAGGCTTCAGTCAATGCTAGACTACAGTTGGCCTCTATGAATATACCATTATGTTAACGCCGGTCTGTCGGTTCGTAGTCCTTCACTTCTCAAGTAGGCCGATAGGATGGGCTTCGGTCTGCATTGCTTATCCTAGCAGGAATCGTTGGCCAGTTCCAAAATATGTACACGTCTTATCCTACGGTTATTAACCTAACCGGCTATGGTATGGCTAGGTCAGGGTAAGCCACTCTAGCCACAGTTAGCATCGCATTTGCGCACCAAATTCCGTAATAAATGGGGTCGGTCCAGGAACGACTTACAGCCACTAACGAAATAAGGCTAATCGTCGTGATCCGCTGCAATCACACCATTTCTCCACATTGGAAAGGAATAAATTGGATAAACGCGGTGTAGTGGATCCGGTTGTAGGTTGAAGGAGGAAATGGGGATATGACCCTTACAGTCCTTGATATAGTATGTCAAAACCTAGGAGGAGAGTTGGACACGTTATTAATGTTGCGAATACTCTTACAGGAAGTTTACTTGGTCTGAATCAGCTAGGAAGCCATACACCCTCCCTGAAGCAAAGGCCTATCCCAACTCTCAGCCCATACAAAGAGGGAAGTCATGCCTAAAATAGTCCGCAAGAACGGCAGCCCGGAGCCCAAGAGGTTACCCACTAGACTGAAATATTCGTTTCTAAAAGAGAGGTTCCGTTATGTCAAAGAGAGGGACAGGCTGTGTGGTTGGAGAGTATGACTCACAGGGTTCAGATATATATCTCAGGGCATTTTGACTCTTGGTTGGTATGTGTCTCCGCTGAAATCGCAAAGTCTAGTGACTGCCGTCGCGTACATGGACAACACAGCATGATAATGTACCAGCCCAAGCACTCTACAACAGACTGGCCACAAGTCTATTCTGAGAATATCCTGGATAGTTCTTATCAGGCTTAGTAGGAAATACGATTTTGCAGTGAACATCTGATGGACTGTTTTCAGATAGGAGTGGTATATTCCATGCATCTTTCTCTGCATCTCTGAGATGAAGGAAAGTTCTTTTAGAACATTTGGCTTGACTGTGGAAGGAGTCCTCCAGGTTTTTCCATGCACTACTCTGGCATAGTCTCGTAGATATCGGCCTGGAGGTGCCCTATGAGGAGACGATGGACCCCCCTGACGGCTATTGTGGAGATTGCTACATAGAACCAAGCGTCTGCTTGTAATCTTCCCTTTGTTTCTATCGAATCAAATCTAATCGCATCTATTAAACTTAGATAATAAAACCGAATTCTAATCCAGTCTTTTTATAGCTCTTCACGCACAACGTCGGATATCCAGTGGTCCACTACGTGCAAAAGCCTGTACTTAGTGAAGGCTAGCTTGGACAAGAGACCATAGGGCGCGAGTATATCGTAACTTGAATTTTCAATTGTCCACATTATCCCCCGAGGGCTAACGCCATTCGGGATACTCCCCGGATCATCCGTTTCGGGGAGGAAATGGGAGTGAGTCTCCAATGTGTCTACTATCACAAGTGCATCCTATCTCTAGCGTACGAGGTAGGACGTCCAACCTTTCTTCCTAGTAAGTCCTCTCCCTCCAAGTCAATTGCATTCATCTTTTCTAAAAGATTCGCCGAATATGCAGCGAACAGTGGCGACGTAAGTCATATTACCGAAATAGAAGGTAGAGAGCGGTCATCCCTTGTCAGCTGTGGCCATATTTATACTCAAAATTTATAAACCCTACGATTACCGGATTAGGCCAGGAAATCATTTGCGCTTGTCGGCTTTTTTGATCCTGTTGCTGTGAACTTGAAATCATGAATGTAGTTTTCTAGAAATTCGATATCGAGATTCCTTCATTAAATCTCTATTAAGCCATAGTAAATTCAAGATTAATAATTTTTTTATGTATCTGAACTTTTAGCGCCTCACTCCTGAATTCTGTATAGATTAATTAATTTACGAAATCAATCAGTTTCACCGCAATGGCTTACGGGAGCCTGAGGCATTCACCAATACCCCGGTCCGTGCCCCAGGCACTTTGATTACCGCTTCCGTCCGAAGGCGGGGATAAGCGGTCATTGTTGGAAACTCAATTCATCTCTCGGATGGACGACAATCTGACTGATCAACTAAAGCCATCCAGATGCTTCTGAATAAAGAAAATGATGCTCTTTATTCTTGCCCTCCAGTTTGGGTGCATATTCACCATCGATCGTTAAACCTTCGCCCTGGCTAACTCTCTCGCAGGACTCGGCCAATGCCCGGTTGTCAGCATGTGCCATGCAATATGTTTCTATCATTCCGGGTATCATAGTCTTGGTTATTGGATTGAGCCATGCGCTCACCCGTTCCTCTTTGGTTCGGTGTCCGAAATGGATGCGGCCTTTTGTTGCTGAACAACCACCAGGTGCTGAGCTGCCATCAGGGAGACCAAGACAACGAACGGGATGGGTGATTACCCTACTTGTCTTTTCCACGGTTGGATTCGCTGCTGAGCTCACAAAATTCGTGCCCTACGCGCCCACACCGAGCAATATCATGCTCCTGGTATCTTGGGTAAGTCACGGTTATTCTTTCGCGTAACATACACCAACTGATGATTTAGGCGGCTGCAATTGTTCTGATCGTTATAGAACGCCCAAGGTCCTGTCCAGTATCCATGCTGTCCTTTTTTGCTGTAGAACTGACCGTGGAAACGGCGGTCGTACTAAACCATGACGCTTATGCAGTGTCGAGGGTTTATGCTCATTACATTGCTGCTAGTGCTGCTGCTGCTGCCTGCGCAACTATCTTATTTATGCCATTTCGGGGACCTTCACTTCCCCGCATTGATATTGGCGTCGTGGGTCAATCACCATCAAGCAAATTTCGCAGCCCGGAGGACAATCTACGACTCTGGCAATTTCTTACTGTGTCTTGGATGGCCCCGCTGATGGCAGCCGGCAAGAACAGACAGTTAAATGATGAGGACGTTTGGTTCTTAGGTTTCGAGTTCCAACATCGTAGACTGCATGAAAGGTTTCGTCAGCTCCGTGGATCTGTCATATCTAGACTACTTCAAGCAAATGGTATCGATGTTATGATCATTACCGGAATCTCTACGGTGCAGATGCTTTGCGGTCCGTGTCTCACTATTACGTGATTTTGACTGGTGCTGATTAGCCTTACAGACTTCGCAACTCCCGTGCTTCTGCAACAGCTTCTTAAGTCAATGACGGACCCAGACGTGCCAAAACGTGTCGCTTTGACCTACGCGACGCTATCACTAATACTTCGTTTGGTTGCAGCGCAGTCCCAGGTATTGAATCTTTGGTATGGTAGACGCTGCTACGAACGAAGCAGAGGTGAAATGATCATGATGGTGTATGAGAAGGCATTATCAAGGAAGAATATCTTCGATCAGCAAATTACAGCAAGGGAAAGCCAAACTCAGAGCCAAGAGAGTGATGACAGTAACGGTGAAGTGGCGCCCAATACTAAACAGAGGAAGCTTTGCGGACTATTTCCGCTGCGACGGGCCACTGGTAAAGAGAAAGTGAAGACCGCGGCTTCCATGGGAAAGATATTCAATTTACTACGTGGAGATGTCTACGAAGTGGCCCAGCGGTTCTGGGAAGTTGATACCTTGGTCGACAAACCCCTGGGTCTTGTCATTGCCACAGTGCTCGTCTGGAAACTGCTTGGGCCCTCCTGCTTTCTTGGAATCTCGGCTATTTTGATAGCTCAGGTCTTGAATGTCTTCATAACACGTATGCTCCTTCGATGGGAAAGAGTGCGCAGACTGGCGACAGATACCAGACTCCAAATATCATCCCAGTTTGTGGAGGCCCTTCGCCATCTTCGTTGGTATGGTTGGCAAAATCATTGGCTCCGTCAAGTTATGGATGCCAGGCAATCCGAATTGAACCTTCGCATCGTGACTAGTCTTTTCAATGTCCTAATCCGCTTTGTCAATACCTTCGCCAGTGGTCTGTTCCCTGTCGTGGCCTTGTATGCCTATACATTGCTGGCTGGGAATCCCCTACGTATTGACATTATATTTCCGGCGTTGCAGCTCTTCACTATGCTAGAGCTTCGGCTAAGGGAAATCCCAGGTCTAATAACAGTGCTCATCAATGCATCTATCGCCATGGAACGTATAGAGGACTTTATGGCTGAACCTGACAAGGAGAAACAGACAACAGTAGAAGCGCACACTGAAGCCCCACTCGTGTTAAATTCTTGCTACTTTGCATGGCCTGGCAGAACGTCACCTGTGCTCTCTGACATCAATTTGACAGTTGCTCGAGGGTTAACAGTCATCTGCGGTAAGGTAGGTGCTGGAAAAACAGCACTTCTCCAAGCCTTACTTGGTGAATTGGATAGACTAAGTGGAGTTTCTGAGACCCCCAATGAGATGGTCGGATATTGTTCTCAAACGCCATGGTTGCAGAGCATGAGTATCCGTGACAATATTCTGTTCTCCTCCGCGTACGATGACCGTCGCTACAAGCAAGTTCTCGAGGCCTGTGCATTACTTCCAGATCTGGCTAATTTCAAACATGGCGACCTTTCATTTGTGGGTGAGAATGGCATTGGCCTCTCGGGTGGACAGAAGGCACGTGTGGCTCTTGCACGGGCAGTCTATAGTACTGCGAGAATACTATATCTTGACGACCCTTTGTCCGCCCTGGATCATAATACGGCAGAAACCATAGTTCGCAGATGCTTCTCTGGCCCGTTGATGCAAAATCGCACAGTTGTCCTTGTCACTCACCGCACCACTTTGGTACGCCATATTGCAGACCAAATTGTTCACCTTCTTGATGGCAGAGCTACCATAGAAGATAAGCAAGCCATTTCCTCAACCCTTAGCATCGATGATACAGACGAATGCTCCTCATCTCCATCTACGGATGATGAAGCTCAGGATGACGCAGCAGACATGGATGATAAAGCCGCGGTGCCAGACAAGTTTATTGAAGAGGAACACCGGGCTGAATGGGGAGTAAAGGCCAAGGTCTACTGGAACTATATAAGAGCCGGAAAGTATAAGTGGTGGCTGGTCCTTGCCATCTTCATAATCATGTATCGTCTCGCCGCTGTTGGTCAATCTTGGTTCCTCAAAGAGTGGGGCGAGGCTTATAATCACGACCAAACGCTTGTATTATTTGGTGCCTCGCCATCTTACAAGAAGGTTTCTCCAGGAGGACTGGGAGAACCACTAGTCCTCCCACAGGTGCTCAATTGGAAGCCAGGTAATCCATTTGACAAATTTCCAGCGCCACTCCATGACGTCCGACCATGGCTTGTGGCATTTTTTGTCATTACAGTTTTCCAATCACTCACTGTCCTAATCTCACAGCTCATGATGATTGTCATAGTTTACTGCGCGGGTAAAACAATGTTCCAGGAAGTCATGCTGCGTGTCAGCCATGCCACATTCCGTTTCTTCGATGTCACTCCTATTGGGCGTTTGATGAACCGGTTGACATCTGACATCGGTGTGGTCGACGGCAATATCAGCGAACAATTCCAGATAATTATCTTCCAGGCTATTGTGTGGGTTTCATCACTGCTAGTCATTGCCTCAGTCACACCTACATTTCTGGCTTTTTCATTGGTTCTAACAGCCGCTTTTATCTTTACCTTCCTGCGGTTCCTCCCAACGTCACAAAGCCTACGACGGCTGGAAATGGTGTCGCTGAGTCCTCTTATCTCGAATTTTGGAGAGCTTTTGCATGGTCTTACTACTGTCCGTGCATTCCACGCGGAGTCACGCTTTCAGGATAGGGTCATCGCCGTTGTGGATAAGTTTCAGGGAATGGACCACTTCTACTGGTCACTGCAGAGTTGGCTGATGTATCGTTTCGAAGGCCTATCTGCGCTTTCAACGTTCTGTCTTACTGCCATTGCACTCTACACAAATGTCACTCCTGGCCTGGCCGCCTTCGTGTTAATTGCAGCGAATAACTTTGTGGACTCTACACACGCATTATGCAAGCAGTATGGCCAACTACAGATGGACTTTGTCTCAGTGGAAAGGGTAGACGAGCTTCTCCATATCGAGCAAGAATCTCCAGGAGCACTTGAGCCACCAGCCTCTTGGCCAAAATTCGGGTCCGATATCGTCTTTGAAGATGTTACGATACGATATGCCCCTCATCTGGATCCATCGCTGAACAATATCTCCCTCCGCATCCCCGGGGGGTCCACGACGGCCGTCATCGGCAGAACAGGGAGCGGGAAGTCTACCCTTGCAGTCTCACTTCTTAATGTGATTCGCGCAGATGGCGGTCGCATCCTAGTAGATGACCACGACATTGCGCAGGTGAGCACTCAAGCACTCCGGACACGCGTAACATTTGTTGCGCAAGACCCCGTTCTTTTCCCGGGCAGCATACGTCGTAACCTCGATCCAACCGGCGAGTACACAGACGCGGAGTGTGCAGACGTCCTCAAACGCATCTGCAGCAGACACGGCTGGAACTTAGAGACCCATGTTGAAGCTGGGGGTCGGAACCTCAGCCAGGGCGAACGACAACTAATTGGTCTGTCGAGGGCAGTTTTGCGCCGGAGCTCGATTGTCATACTCGATGAGGCAACGGCGTCCATTGACCACGAAAGTTCGTTGGAGATTCAGCAAGTCCTCAGAGAGGAGATGAAAGAGTCGACTGTCATCACGATTGCACACAGATTGGAAGCCATCAAGGATGCGGACTACTATGTTGTTCTAGATCAGGGACGGGTATCCAAACAGGGATACGTGAAGGATATGTGAGCATACGCAAAAGCACGGACTAAATGAATAGAGCCCATTGACTTTCACCCGCACTATTGTAGCCAACGGAGTAACCAACCGTTTGTTTACATCTCTCAAAAGAATCCCCAACCCACTGAAGGAGGCACCATGGAGGAATACCTACCAAGCGCATCTCAAAGCCCAGAACACAAACAAAGCACACACATCCCAGACCCCATTCACCCCTACAGACCCAGTCACAATGGGAAACCTAACTGTGGAAGTGCCATCCCAAACCGCCAAACTCCCAGATGAAGTCGAGACATACGTACTCCCAAGAGCACTAGTAGAGCCCAGCCCCAGCCGCAGTCCAGACACAACCACCCCTCCACTAGTAACCATAGTAGTCTCCCGAGACCTGCTAGTAACAACCCCATCACCCGAGGACGTCCCACGATCAAAACAAAGCCGCTGTTTCCTCTTGCTCTCTACCAGGCCACTAACCTCACCAGTCCCAGACTTAGTCACTGGCCAAAAAGATCCCCAACCTCCACCCAAAGAGGGCCTAATCGCATGACTTGAGCCAGGCCCCAATCCGTAACCCAGAGTTGCACTCGTACCCATCGTTGAACTCACCCTCTCCCCAAAAGAAATGAAATCCACCCCATCACTCGAATCAGTTTCATCAGTCTCATCCTCACAGATCTCCGTCCCGGGAACCTCAACAGTACCACCTCTCAGCCGCGAATACCCCATCCCATTAAACGCACAAATAGCATCCCCAGCGTCGGGCGAGGACTCATAACCTATTCCCACCCAATTAGCATTATACCATATCCCTTGGGGGGAGAAGACGCGAAAGAACTGAAAGAGGTAAAAGGAGGTCCTGTACATAAAGCCCACCCCTCATAGCCTTGGGGATTATCCGCGCTAATCTGTGTGTTTAATTAGTAGTGTCTTCTCGGGATGTCAGCTAGGCCTGGACTAGGGAGAACGAACGTACTCGATATTGCAAGAGCGAAGTTCAGCTCGGGTCCGTGAGACGCAGGAGAGTATTTCTGGGCCGTGGAGGGAGCTGTACGTGCAGTAATGGGTGCCGGGGGTTGAGCAGAGGTTGTTGGGGGTGGAGTGGAGGAGGGAGTAGGAGGAGTACTGGTTGGTTTGGGGCCATCCTGAGTGAAGGAGGGTTATTATTGTGTAGAGGTAGTAGATGACGAGGAGTTTGGTGGACATTTTTGTGGTAGGTTGAGTAGTATGTGGTGGTAGAATGTTGAGCCAGGGGGCGAAAGGTGGAAATGAGGTGGTATAGCCGATGAGAGTCAGGTCTTAGGTTCTCGTGGGACGTGTTGTGTGTTTTGGCTAGGTGCAGGTGTAGAGGGTATGCTACTGGTGACTGGCGTGTATGTAGGAACATGTTTATGCTCTCTCTTGCGAAAAGCTATACCGTGGTTTCTCATGGAGGCCCGTACGATACTGTAAATTGTAAATTCATTCAAAAGTGTATGTTCAGATTATCATTGGATATTGATGCCAGACAGCACATAAAAGACGACGACTCTATGGTATGACACGACTTGAGACCACCAGGATAGCCAGCAGACCACCTCCGATCTGATCGAACGAAACCCAGCATAAACATACTTTTTATCCAAAATCAACCGTCTAACGCCAAACTCGCCGTGACACAATGCTACAACCGGATTTCTTTATTGCTGGCTTTCCTTGAATTTGCGAATCCTCCGTTTTATATCACCTTCGGTCTGCTGCATCGGGTTCAATTTCCGGTCACGAACCATGGCTGCGATGTTGTCTCCATGGCGGTCGATCAGTCTTGTAATCCACTCCACTTCTCTCTCGCTCATGTGTCGGGGTTTCTTCGCCTTGACGGCATTGCTCTCCTTGTCTGCTTGGCGTTCGAGCTGTTCAACAATCGCACTTGCGGGGATCTTCTTTTGCGATCCAGCATCCTCCATCTCGTCATCGGACGAATCGTTCAAAGGGTCATTAAGCGGGTTTGACTTGCGGACCTTACGTCCGGCGACTTCAATCATTTCGTGCTCGTCGGGTTGAATCACGCGGAGAATCTTTCCGGTCTCGGGATCGCGCTCGACTTTCGTTTCTCCTAACGTAATGTTCTTCGTGGCGGCTTGGGCACTGCTCTTGATGTGAAGAGAGTCCTCCGGGACGGTCTCGATGCCATTTTTCGTCACGCGCTTTTCAGAACCACCGGTGGGGGCATTCAAACGATGGGAGAGACCCAGCCGACGGTAGTTTTGTGTAAGGGTCAGGTTTCGGTCCCTACAGATCCTTATATTAGCGTTGCGCATGGTGCTTCCGCTACTTGGAAAATTTACCAATTCTCGGCGATGATCGCATTTCCGAGCACGTTGATTTTCTTGTTGCCATTCTTGAGGATACCGGATCTCTTAGGCTTCTGCTTCGGCAGGGAAGACTTAAGCTTTCTCTTCTGTCTCGGATTTCCCATGTTGTATGATTGTGTGTATTAACGGATCCAATGTCGACAAAGTTGCTGCGCTGAAGAAATCTGCAAATTAATCTTATCGATTTCTCCGAAAAGGTTGGTGGGTGTTTGCATTGGCCGTCTTGGCATGTTTGTTATTTGATTCCGATAACAATCAGTAAGTTTTAAGGGTCCGACGATCGGGCCCCATGCGAGTGTCACTTACTTCCGATCCGAGTGTCACTGCTCTCCTGGGCCTACAGAATTATTCTCACGGCAATGGCTCGGCTTTTCTCTACGCCGCGTAGGCTTGCCCTTGCGCTGGCTGCTGGATTGGTTCTTTTTAGTGTACTGGCCGTTGCCAAAGATGCGATCCCCGTTGGAGAGCTGTCTGTAGGTCAGATCGAGGATGAACTGCAGGTAAATATGAGGCTGTCCCCATGCCCCTGGAGAGTCTATATCGATATGTGGAACGCAATCGCTGTCATATTTTCGCTTTTCTATCATATACTAAAAAAATAATATACAGAACTGCCCTCTCGTGGAATCTCTCAACGAGCACAAGCGTGCCACCAGTCCCCAAACCGCCAGCTTGACCTCGAAGATCTTCGCCGTGCTTTTCCCTGGTAGTCCAGCTGTGAACGCAATTCTGGCCACTGCATATATCTCCGGACCACCCAGTACGTGCACACATTTCTCCCGCAGTGTGATATATCAATTAACCAGCATTAGACTTCCTCTTGGCACTATGTCCCCCCAACATCGACCCCTCATCCTTGTCCGTGATGGTAGCGTTCGCCGTAGGCGGCCTGATGGGCGACACATTATTTCACCTACTGCCTGAGATCTTCCTCGGCGAAGACAGCCCCGACCACGTCCGCTTTGTCATGGTCGAGCCGAACAGGAACCTCCTGCTCGGACTCGGCATAATGGTCGGCTTCTTCACCTTCGTCGCAATGGACAAGACCCTCCGCATCGCAACCGGCGGCGAAGGCCACGACCATTCCCACGGCCACAATCACTCCCACGAACCCGCCACAGCAGTAACAAGTGGCGCCTCAACCGGCACCACGTCCTCCGGTGACCTCAAACAGCGCAAGTCCACCAAGGAGCCAGCTGTCGCGGACCCCTCTCCCGAGAAAGAAATCAACCCCAGCGTCAAACTCGGCGGCTACCTCAACCTGATCGCCGACTTCACCCACAACATCACCGACGGCCTGGCCATGTCCTCGTCCTTCTACGCCTCCCCTACCATCGGCGCAACTACCACTGTCGCCGTCTTCTTCCACGAAATTCCCCACGAGGTCGGCGATTTCGCCCTCCTCGTGCAGTCCGGCTTCTCGAAGAAGAAGGCCATGGGCGCGCAGTTTGTTACCGCTATCGGTGCCTTCCTGGGTACTTTTATCGGTATCGCGGTGCAGGAGTTCGGAGGCAGTCATGGTGCTGCTGCTGAGGCTGCTGAGGGAGTGGTGAATGGTCTTTGGGGTACTAGTCTGCAGTGGGGGGATATGCTTCTTCCGTTTACGGCGGGGACGTTCCTGTATGTGGGGACAGTGTCTGTTATCCCTGAGTTGTTGGAGACGGGGAAGGATAAGAAGGTTGAGATTAAGAAGACTATTGTGCAGTTTTTGGCCGTTGCGCTTGGCGCGGGGATTATGCTCGCGTATGTTTCCCTCTTTCTTCTCTTCATGATTCTTTTCAACACTCCATGATATTTGGGTGGGGCTTTGCTAACGTGGACAACAGGATCTCTTGGGATTAAGCGTACATCTCTCCCACCAGAATCTCAAAATACGACACACACTCTCACTCTCACTCTCACTTATTCTCCAACCTTGGAGGAACACGACCCTACTTACTACACCATCTACCAAAAGTTATCTAGATGAAAACGATATCGCGTGTATGTATGTAATAGGACCTAGAATAATATCCATAGCGCCAGCCCCGTTCCTGGTAATGCATAGTCTCAGACCAGACGGACCTCAATCCCACTCTACGTAGAACTACTTAATACAAGACAACCAACGCCCATCCGACCATCAAGTTTAGCGAGGAAGCATCGTAAGACAGAAGGAAATGCAAAGCAAAAGACCCCACGACCAAGGGAAAACGAACCTGCGCACAGCGCGCGGATGCAAACAACCAATACATAAAAACAATCTAGAATGAAAACATGACAATTTCTTCACTCATTGTAGTGATATACCTAAATCACACCCAAATTAGCATCGTGATACTCACCGAATGAAACGCACCGAGCAAACAAGAAAACAGGGTAAAAGCAAACATAATAAAAGAGAAAAACAGAAGAACTTACAAAATAATCCGGCAGCCCAAAGACCTGATACCCCAGTCTCTTAGCCATCTTCGCGAAGCCCTCCGTCTCAACGAGATGATAGAACGGAAACGCCGGGAACATAGCTCCGTCACGATGCACATCGGCCTTAACCATCAACGCCGTGCCACCGACACCATCAAGCTCGATCACTCGTCTCGGGTTGGGACTCTCCGTATCAGCCAGATAAGCCATGAGTGTTCGATACGTGGGCATCTCGGCATACCCCTCCAGCAGAATGTCATCGGGACCCATACTCTCCGCCAACGACTGGGCATTGGAGCTATCGATCCACGAATTGAAATCATACGGCCGGACCTCCATCTGCTTGTGGTCGTTATTGTAGTACCGCTGGTAGCAGTTCGGCACGATGACCGGGTAATTATGACCCGTCAGATCCTGGATGAGCGTCGCCGGAGTCTCGACGATATCTGCGTCGAGCCAGAGGACCCAGGAGGTTGCCGGGCCAAGGGTGGTGAAGAGGAGACTGTTGCGGGCGCGGGACATGCTCTCGCGACGAGCCTTCTGGTTCTCGAGCTTGTGACGCTCTTTTTCATCCTGGGATTGCAGCGGGGGCTCGAAATCCTGGCGGAGGATGCTGATGCTGGCGAAGCGGGAGGGGATGGGCCCGTTTTGTGTTTTGCTGATGGCCGTTTCCAGGGCGGAGAGGGCGGCGGAGCCTTCCTTCGTGCTGGGGATGATGAAGCCCAGAGAGATGAGTTCGTGGGGGTAATTGAGGTGCACGAGGTTGTCCCAGAATTCTTGGTAGAAGCGGGCTAGGGGGGTGAGGATGAGGACTCGTTCGCCTTTGTCGGCGGAGTCACTGGTGGTGGTGAGTTTGTTGAGGTCGTAGTGGACGACTGGTGGAGGGGCCTTGAGGCCGTCATTGCGGACGGGTTGGGATTTGAGGAAGGGTTTTGTCGGAGGAGAGAGAGGGTGGTCTGCGGCATCTTCGCGACGTTGCTGGGAGGTGTCTCCTCCGGTGGTTGTGGTGGCGGCGGAGGAGGACGGAGAGAGGAGGAAGAAGAGGAATCCGAAGGCGAGGAAGGCTGCCAGGAAGAAGGTGATGGGACTTGTGCGTCGCATTGGGCGTGCGACGGCCATCGTGGCCTGTTGAGGACCGGGGGAAGAAGTATAAGGGCGTTGATCGAGGAGGAGATGGAGATGTGGTCGCAGGATTGGTGTGCGTAACGTGGTCAATATGGGATCGACAGTCGTGGTCCGGCGAATCCTCGTTAGCCAGCGATAAAAGCAGTCCGGTGCCTAGTCCCTGTCATAGCGAATTCGAGTACGAGCGAAAGTAGTTGATCAACTCCCCGGATGTAGTCTCCGGAGGGGAGCGGACGGAGATATTGATGACGAAGGAGACAATCGAAGTTCGAGTCCAGTGAAGCTCTCCGGAAAAAGACACTCGGACCCAATTTTCTGTCTGGCGCGGTTGAACCCTTTCTTTCCGCCTTCCTGCTTTTTTGGCTGTGGCTGCTGAGTCGGCATTTCGGTGTCTCGATGCCTTGACTGGCGCCGCAGTTGCATTCAGGGATTGACAGAGAAATTTTGCCAGAGAGAGAGAGAGTCTAATGGCTGTTTTTGGTCGATGGGGACACTCGCTCATCGCCGAATGCGGCAACCCGACAGGCGTCACACTCGACACGGGCTTTTTTTTCTTTTTGGCCCTTTCTCTCGTTTCACCCAGGAAATGTTCTTGGTTAATTTGATTTTCTTCTCCTTTGTATTCTTTGCACATGTGGAAAGCATTCATTTATTGAGTCTATTATAATATATATGAAGTCGTTCATGCGTCGGTATAGTTCTATCGTATGTACAAATGCAATGTAGCCTCTTTGCTTTTTTCGTGTATGCCAAAAAGTGTCCACATATTTTTCAGGGCAGCCACCGCATCACACCCTCAAATGCAACCAGCGCCATCGCATTCGCCGGGAACGCTCTCAGGAAGCATGGCACAAATCCTCTCCAGTATCCTCTCCACCCTCGTTCCCGATAAACCGCCACGGCAGCGTCTTTCCACCACCGGAACTGTCGCTGCCCGTCACCCAGAGCACCGCCCATCGGGTCCGTCATCAGGCGCTGTTTCACCACATCAGACGGATACGACGTGAGCCAGAAGAGCTGCGCGGAGATACCACCGGCCCAGAAGTTAATGGCCGGGGTGGATAGGTCCGTTCGCTCCCTCATCAACCGGGATAGCACATCGTAGGATCCCCACCAGAAGAAAAAGAAAGAGCGGAAGAAGATCGTGGCGCACAGGCCACGATATAAGCCGGAGAGTCCATGCGTACGAAGCTACTCGAGTCAGTTATCATCCCTACCGTCCCTCGTCGATGGACGGCACTTACAATTTTACGAGTGCAATCGATCGGCCCACTGTACATGCGCTTCGATTTATCGGCCGCATACTGAATCTGCAGCCGCGCTTTGACATGCTCGACAGGCGCGGCAATGAAACTGACTGTTGTGCCGGCCATGATTCCTGCAATTCCATGACCAAAGCTGGGCAATGTGTGCAGGTCTTGGTATGTGGCAAAGGGTGTGATGCGACGAATCTCAGGCCTGGAGAAGACGTTTTCGTGGAGCAATCGGCGATACAGCGTCAAGGAGCCAAGCATGCTATACTTCGGGTCAGCTCCTCCTTCCTCCCCAGTGGAGTAAGGACCGGGCAAAGCTCACACAGAGTCCATCACCATCCATCCGACCAGCGGCGGCGTTGCTCCCTTGTATAATCCACTCACACCTTCTTTCCGCACTGTCTGTAGCACGCAGTCGAGCGGTCCCTTGAAGTGCCCATCTTTACTCGTCTGTAGACGGACCTTCACGGTATCGAATCTATGAGAAACTTGGCGTTAACATTCCTGATCCGAGAGAAGTGCATAACAAGAGAGGTATCACATACGGGTGTCCGACTAAGATCCGTAGAAAACAGAATTAGCTACGAGCATCACAATGACCGACACACCACAGAGCGGTCGGTAACATTTTTTTAAGACAAGACATACCACTCAGCTTCGCAAGACCAGAGAATACCCCAGCAACAAAGCCCTTATAGTCACGCTTCGAGCTCGTGATCGGGGGTGCATTTCCACCCCCTGCGGCGGAACCGTCCATTTTCTTCGATGTTTGATGCTCCGGTATAGACGGTGTTGGGGATGTTTCCAATGGCGCTGGCGCTGTCGACATTTTGGAAAATGTATATGTCTCCTTTCACTTGAATATCCCTGTGGGATAGTTCTTCCCACCGTAGTATCGGCGCGGGGAGTCGACCGCCGTCCGTAATGAAGTCGCAAGGTAGTGTTTTTTTGGGAGGGGGTCCGCTATCGGACAAGGGCAATGGCGATGTTAACGACGTTGTGTTGGCCCCATCGGTCGGTGCGAATGGATTTTGGGCAAGGGAGAGTCCGGGTACAGTTGAGACCTTCTAGAGACTGACAAAGAAACCTCCATCGAAAAGAAGTTGGAGAGAGCGATGAGGTCGGGTTTAAAGATTCCATCCTTTGCGGCGCCCCCGCAGAACTGGGCGGTCGGGGAGCAAGGGTGCACCTCCGGAGCCTTGCCGATCGTCCCGGACTTGGCCTCTGCTTAACTCCGAGGTATTTCACTGGTTCGTTTAGACACGGTTAGAAGAGCGTTCGGGGCTAATGTGGTGTTAAAGTATGTATATAGAGAAACCTCCTAGGCTAAATGTGGGTAGGGTGTCCATGTGTCGCTACTGATATAGTGTTCGTAAAGATTGGTTTGCTATCGTCTAGCGGCTGTGAAGCCCAAATATATATTCCGAATGTAATGACAAAACGAACACTGAAATGCCCAGTCATATGTGGTTTGGTTTGCTTTCTTTTCCTGTTCTTTTCCCACTTTATCGCCCTTCATGCAATGTGCAGTTTGAAGGTGGTCAATTCATTGTCAAAAACATGCAGAACAGTCTGATTCTGTTCGGTCTTCCGAGGTAATGCAACTGCAAGGACCCAGAACACGTGGTAACAGAGAGGTGTGGAGTATCAAAACATGGGAAACAAGAGATATCAATAATCATAATAGCAACACAGAACATAGAAAAGAGTAGAATGTAAGGCTATGTGGGGTATAAAATACAACAGCTCGTAGTACACACAAAAGCGATCTTTTCGATGTCTGGAGATCGTCTATAGACTTGACAGTCAGGGTGAACAAAAGAAACAGAGAATGATAACGCCTGTGTGAAACCGGAGGCTCTGGCAGTTCTCGGCAACTACAGGTCACCGCCTGGCTCTGCATGGTAGAAAAATCTGCCTCTGGACGGCGAACGCTAATATCGAGTTTTGGTGCCTTTCTTGGCACCTTGACGGGCCCGCTCGGTCTCACGGACGATCAGCCGGTCGATTAAGTCGGGTGCCGGACCGGATTGGGCGTCCCGTGAAGCAAAAGGGGACGAGTTGGACGTTCCCGAGATCAGGTAGCCACTTGCCTCTTCCAGGGCGAGGGGGGTGACGGGCCCCGGACTGCGGAGAGGGTCCAAGCGGGGGGCCGACGGACTTGGGGAGAGTGGCCGGGAGGGTGTCTTCGACAAGGTCACACCCTCGACGAGTTCCTGGTACTGCCACATCGCGTCCCGAGAGCCCGAGGTGGTGCGGTAGGCAGATGGCCGCGGTTGACGTGGGGAGGGAGGTTGTCCCTGAGAACCGGCTGCTGAGTAGACCGCCGGATGAAATCGTGGCAGGTTGCTTAGATGGAAGGCTGGAACGGATTTGGTGGCATTCTGCGTGCGGGAACGGGGTGGTTGAGGAGAGGACGGACGTGCAGAGGGAGACATGGAGGAAGTTACCACGGGTGAGTAGAACGTGGAACTATCTGAACGCATTCTGGCTGATGGACGGAGGGAACGATGAGGGTGTGGGCGACTCCTGTGATGGGTCGGCTTCTCTCGGGCCCTGTTATAAGCCTGGTCACGATGGGCGAAATAATAACCCTTGTCGAACCGGCCTGTCAAAGGAGTGACGGGGAGGTCGTCCTGGTGTGTGTGGAAGGACGGCTTGGGGATGGGGATGGGCCTCGAGATAGAGGTCGAGAGGGAGAGAGTCTCCAAAGAGTCCGTGGTTTCTGAGAGAGGCGACGGAGACCGGGAGGAGGGAGGATTATATGTGGAAGAGGTGGCCGTTAATTCTTCCAAGGACGACAGCGATACTCGAGTGGGGTGACCGTGTCTGGCAATTAAGCTTTCCAACTGGTCTTGAGCACGAACAGTTGAAGGGTGACGAGAAGGCGGCGACCAGGAAGATGATGAGAGATTGGCTATAGAACACGCGATCAGCACCGGTATGAGTGGACGGGAGAATGTAGGTCAAGTATTAGTACTAGTAGGAGTAGGCGAGGCATGTCACACGTGTCAGGTGGGGAGGGGATAATCCGGGTGAATTTGCCAGCAACGGAAATCAAGACAATTCATCGTGAGAAAACCATCAAGGGATTGAAAGCCAATTGAAAAGCGACTGCCCCTCCGGTAAGACATTGTAAGGCCAAAAAAAAAAAATGGTGGAGAGGCAAACAAAGGGGTTATTGGACCAAGCAATCAAGAAACACAATCATTGAAACAGGGACAAGCACATATCAGATGATGTGGACGCGATACAGAAAAACAATCACCAAAATAGAAAATAAAAACAAAATAGAAAAAAAAAAAAAAAAGGGTGGAGCGGAATCCACTTACCACTCAGTAATGGCGGAGAATGAAGGGAACTGCAAGACGAAGGATAGAGCGAAGGTG